TTGATGCAGACATATTGTGACCGTCAATCGATTGACATGAACGCCATCGCATTTCTTTTCGACGGCAGACGATTACGACCTGATCAGACTCCTTCCGAAGTACGCTTTTCCGTGATCGTCGTTTTCCGCTCCGACCATGGTGTGCATATGCAAAATCTCATTTGTCACATGCTGTGTTTGTTTGCAGCTGGAAATGGAGGATGGGGACGAGATTGACGCTATGCTTCACCAAACAGGAGGTCGATGAACCAGTGTCTTTTTTTTTTCAGATGGTTGACTGGGTTAGATTTTTCGTGATGGCTGCTGACAGACGCTTGCAGTAGAACCATCTCTTTGCTAGACGTGTGAGAACCCCTAAGAGCTCAATCTAGGGTGCTGAAAGCTTGGATAAGGGCACTTGTTAGCATCTCGTTGAGGATACACAACACAGCCCTCCTCTTTCCCAGGCCGGCAGACTTCACTCGTAGTAACGTACTAGCATAGCCCCCCTCTGTCCTAACAGCGTTGTTCAATATAATTTCTTTTGTAGTGCAGATTTATTTTTCTCCAACTTCGCTTTTGGTCTGTCCACCGTTTTTTGGATACAGCAAAACAAATTGCAAACAATAATCAAGTTAGCTATGCCGTGACCAAACGCAGTGTCCTTTGATGAAAAGGAAAGTGTTACATTGTATTTTGAGACAGCAACTCATTGTGTACCACATTGATAATCTAGACTGGTTCGTAGATGGGCAAGCATAGAGCTGTCAAGGTTGGTCCTTGACCTTGATGTCCTCTATAGTGGAGGATGGCTGTGAGTGTGTCTTCGTCAATGGGGAGCGGTTGCGAGGTGTACCCAAGGTAGCTCCCAGGACCGCTGTCCGACGTGACTGCCAAGTGCATTCACTTTGAGTGCGGAAGAGAAAGCTTCTGCTTCCTTGATTGCCTGACACTTCCTCCTCATCCTCGCAGTCTTCCCCCTCCTCGCGTTCACGGCCGCCATGACCAAAGGCCTCCTTTACTCGCTCCTGGATGTTGCGCCACGTATCCTCAGGTGCAATCTGCGTGGATTTTGAAGTTTCCCCTTCTTCACGAGGTGGAACTTGGATACCGAAGATGTTGGAGCTTGTGGGTGCAAAATGGACATGCCGGGGAGGCTTAGATGCTTGAGGACCAGGCCCACCGACTGAAGCGGATTGTTGAAATGCCTTCTCTTGGACTGGGACACTGGAACAGTCCTCTGCAGGAACCGATGAAAGAGAGAGATCTTGTAGCGCACGTGTGCTGTCATCGTCAGCTGCCATCGAAAAGGTTGCCTAAGGTTGTCGTAAACCTAATGAAGAAGGCGGCAGTCGCGGGATTCGGTAATGCTGGGCCACTAAAGAATTCCCTGCTGACCAGGAAGACTAACAATCAGGTTCTCGGACACTGAACTCCAGGAAAAGTACGAGTCCAAAGTCAGGACTATTTTTGCTCGAACCTGAAGTAGACGCAGAAAGACTAAGCGCCACGTCAAACGTGCATTTGGCAGACGGGCATAGTGGCGGTACCTCTCCCTAAAGACATCTTGTGGGGACAGGGTAGGAGAGATTGATGAACACTGCTGTCAGCAAGCACACGGAACGAAATGGGGGGGTTAGGGCGGGTCAAACTTTGCACGTTTTCGCAGAAAACCCTACCCAACCATCTCGTGTTTAAAAAAGACCGCTCTGGATCAAGCCTTAACCTTTTTGAACCGCAATCGGACGTACTCTTTTGACCCGCCCTTAGTGGGAATGGTGTCTGAAGGCAAAACTGATGGGATGGGGAAGTGTAGATCTGTGACCAGGCCTGTCGAAGTCCCTGGGGCCAACACTTTGAGTCCTGAGCTGCTCGAAGTTTGGCCCTGATTTTCGCGATGGTGACCGGATTTTAGCCCTTAACGATCACGGGTGCAGGTCAAATTCAAAACTTGAAATCCGGGCTTCTTAAAAAAATGTACGTTTGCCCTAAATCTCACAAAGGCGGATGTCAAATATTTCTTAGCAGCGGGAAGGAGCTTGCTAACAACCCATCTGCAAACCTACAGCAGGGGGTGGGGGAAGAGGGGTGGGGGAGGGGAGGAGGGGGCTCGTAGGGCAAAACATCGTCAGCAAAGAAGTCGTTTGAATTCTTGTGTACATTCGCAAAGCACTTCCGAGGAGGTTCGTTCTCATGTAGAGTCCCTCTTCGCCACGTAAGGGTGTCAGTGTCTCGAGTCCAGCGTGAGTACTTAAGAGCTGTGAGGAGTGAAGACTGTCTTAGAAATATTTTGCAACCACAGCCATAAACATCAACACTAGAAAGTCGTATCATACCAAACTAGATAGAATGTGGGAGCTTCAGGGATAATGAGTACGGGAGGAGAAGAGTGAAACTTAGGAAAATCGCAGGGTTGCTTGTACTCCTGATCCGGGATTTCAGGGAAGGGCCCCAAACCAGCCCTTAACGGATCCGGGTTGATACCCCAATTTCTCAAAATCAGCCCGTAAGATAAACGGGCTCCCCTCGAAACCAGCCCTTCGAAATGCCGAAGCTGGCCTGGAGTTCGCCCGGAATGTTCAGGGCATTAAGGGCAAATGCCCTTGAATCGTCAGCCCTGTCTGTGACACTTCAAAGTGCCTTGCTGGCTTGGTCATCTGTACAATCATATGACCTTCAGTCCCTCCCATTCCCCTATCGCAAACCTGACGGTTACACTTTTTAGCAGTTCGCCGAGGGGCAAACCACATCGTTATCCTGCATCGCGAACAGGTGGGGATCTCTTGGGTTACGCGCCCGCGGTCAGGTGTGGGGGGGAAGGGGGATTTGACAAGACCACCCCCTTCGAACCCTCACGGATTCCCGTTCTTCCCCCCAAAAAACACCGCCACTTCCCCTCCCTTTCCCCCAACCCTGGGGGTGGGAGGTGCAGATGCAATCAAAATGCACATTGCCATTTCATTCTCCACTTGTCATGGACGTTGAAGCTGAAGGATTGGTTTCGCCTACTTTATCTACCAGCCGCCAATCGCGGTCACATCCTTCGTGGATCTCAAGGATCTTTCCCTGTAGCTACGCCACGATGGCGAAGGCAGGCGTCGTTTCCGTTTTGATTCTTGCCGTTGTCCTTCTTGCCGTGAACGTTGAGGTAAGCTATGCCTGAACTTTTTCGCGAATCTGCTCAATTTCTCCATTTCTGATAGAGTTTGTTCGTTCGCTCCTTCAGGCCAAGGTTAAGACGGCATCCAAAGAGGAGGTCACTCACAAGGTATTCTTCGATGTGGAGATCAACGGCCAAAAAGCAGGTCCGAGCTTTATCATTTCCCACTGCATTTTGTCGAGATTGAAGTTCCAACAGACATTGACTTTATTCGGGGTGTGCTTTACTTCTGCAGGCCGTATTGTGATTGGTCTTTTTGGCAACGCCGTCCCCAAAACTGTCGGTAAGTAGCTATAGACGTAGGATTCTTTTCCTGCGGTTGTCTCATCGAAATACTGACCGAATTCGCCGTTCACATCTTCCGTCTCCCGTTCGATCTTTATCTGCAGAAAACTTCCGAGCTCTTTGCACTGGTAAGCAGTTACTCTACTGTGTATGGGGTATCTTTAGGTCGACGAGCTAGTTCTAAAATATGTCATTTTGCTGCAGGTGAGAAGGGCATTGGAAAGAGCGGCAAGCCCCTGCACTACAAGGGCTCCAAGTTCCACAGGATCATTCCTCAGTTCATGCTGCAGGTACGTATCATATATCAGGAGTGCTTTATCCCTTAAAAGTCGCTATGTCTCACGTCGATTTGCTGAATCACGGCTCGCTTTGCAGGGCGGTGACTTCACTCTTGGGGATGGCCGCGGTGGCGAGTCCATCTATGGCGAGAAATTCGCTGACGAGAACTTCAAGCTGAAGCACACTGGCCCTGGTATGTCCCGCGTCACACAGCCCACACAGCCAATTCTTCACCCATAGCCCTCTTTGCTGCTCACTCGTTGCTATTGGCATGCTCTCGCCTTCCACCTCTCGTCAATCTTCATTCACCCCATGTGAGTGACTCACGATTCAGAAAAAGGTCGGCAAAGATAATAACAAAAACACTTTCAAGATAGCCACGTGATCCTATTTGAACAACCACATACTGGATGCCTTTTGAACATTGTTTCCCTTTACTCCCGCCTGTGCCCCACCTGATACCAGGCATTGTCAGCATGGCCAATGCTGGTCCCAACACCAACGGCTCCCAGTTCTTTATCTGCACTGTCAAGACCAGCTGGTGAGTGCTGAGCCCACCTGATTCTTCATCTGCTGTTTTGGAAATTGGTGCCGAGTTTGCTCAGAGACTGAGAACCATTTGGTGCTTGGCTTGTGTGTGCAGGCTGGATGGTCGCCATGTGGTGTTTGGCAAGGTGCTGGAGGGGATGGACGTGATGTACAAGGTGGAGGCGGAGGGCACACAGAGCGGCACCCCCAAGGCCACTGTCACCATTGCCGACAGTGGCGAGCTGCCCATGTGAATGCGCTCAGATGATTTCTGAGCTAACCATACACTGAGTTACTGGCTTATGACATGCTTGGTGCCTGACTTTTGATACTTGGATCCAGGCCCCTAAATTGGTTTCAGGGCACGCTGAAAAATCAGAGTCGTCAGGGTCTGCTTGGATCTGCTGGACAAATCTGTTGAATTACTCTTACCTTTACTTGAAAATGTTTATATATGCAATCCCACATGCTGCAATCACCCCAAACGCAATCAGCCCTCTCAACAGGGTCAGTTGGATAACTGAGAGCTGGTGGGAGTAAAGGCGGTCAAAAATCACAGCTGGTAGCACCATAGACACTCCCACAGAACAGACTCCTTCCACCACTGACTCCACTCTGTCCAGCACATCATACCTGCAAAATTACCGTAGAGGCCACAACAACAGGGACAATCTCTCTGACCTCTTTCAGCAAAAACGTGCAGACCATTATATTGTGAAGCCACTAGCGCTGGCACCTGAGAGAATTGGAAGCAGGAAAAAAAATAGACTCACGTGAGGTATGCTGTGAGGTAGCCGACGAAGGTGACAGCAACGCGAGTGATGCCCTCAGCTATCGCTGCAGGGATGCGCAGGGGAGCAGGAATGCAAGCGAAAAACACTGAACCTTGAGTGGAAGACTAGTGCCTTGCCTTCAATAATTTGCCAAAAAAAATGTTAGTACAGTGGTCCAAAACAAATGCAGCAGGTAAAAGCAGCAGTGGGGCCATGGGAGGAAGGAGGTACCGGAGTGGCGGTGTGGCACTGGCTGTGCGCTGCATTGGGGCGGTGGTAATCCACCATCAGCAGGGCAGACACTCTCCGCACCATCAGCAGGGCAGACACTCTCCGCACCATCAGCAACAGGATCCGCAGCACTTGGTGTGGGCTTGTGTGAGGAGACAGGCAGGCCGAGGCGGGCAGAGAGGTCGAGAATCAGCTCTGACATCACATACACCAGAGCCTTTTCATGGAGAGGAGGGGTTGGGATGGGGGGGAAGAGGAGTGGGAGGTGGTTTAAAACATGATGGCAAGAAAAGCAGCCACAGGTCAGTTTTAAGGTGCCAAGATGGGATACAGCTCAAGATGGGATACAGCTCAAGATGGAGGGAATAAATCCGGGTTGTTATTTTCAAGCGGGCCAATAGAGAGTCGACATACCGGTATGGTTGTAAACACACTGGCAGCGACGAGGAGAGAGAGGAGGGCGGAGAGGGAGACGGAAACGGAACCCCATTGGAGCAGAATGATGCCCACAGCAGCTCCAGCGTCGTCCAGGCTGGCGGTTACCAGCACGTGCACAGAGTCCCCAAAGTAAAGGTAGGCGAATCCACCCATGGTGGCATAGCTGGTGGAACGAGTGAAAGAGGATTGCGAAAGGGGAAAGAATGAAGCAAGTGAAAATTGTGGCAGAGCGAGGTGCGACCAGGCAGCAGCTCCAGCGTCGCCCAGGCTGGCGGTTACCAGCACGCGCACGGAGTCTCCAAAGTAAAGGTAGGCGAATCCACCCATGGTGGCATAGCTGGTGGAGCGAGTGTTAGAGGATTGGGTGAAGGAATTGAGACAAGCTACTGAAGAGTACACATCCATGCGAAATCCTTCGAATAGAAGGAAGCAAGACTGCCCATGGCTCACAGGAGGAGCATGGCGGTGGGCTCACAGGAGAAACATGCAATGTCGAAGCACCATGGTGTCTGCATAGTCTGTGCTTCAGGCTCAGTGGGAGACTCACAGCAACAACAGAGCGGTGCATTCACAATAGAAACGCACTGGTGGGCTCACAGGAGAAGGTGACCTGTGAGCCCACCAGTGGCAGAGAATGTGACTTTAATAATTCCCTCAAAGTGCTGCGGTGTCTGCATGCTGGGTGTTTCAGGTTATGGCTCAGCAATGGAGTCCAATCAGGAGCACGGTGGGAGATCACTGCAGGAACAAGCGGCAGACTCACAGGAGGAACATGGAGGAGAATGTGACGATGATGCACTGGTCAAAGTGCTGTGGTGTCCGCATGCTGCGCCGGAGGGATGGCAGACCCGCATGGCCTGATCACATGGTGTGACACAGCATGGGATAGCATGGCATGATTGCATGGTGTGGAATGGTATGGCATGGTATGGTATGGTATGGTATGGTATGGTATGGTATGGTATGGTATGGTATGGTATGGTATGGTATGGTATGTTATGGTATGGCATGGCATGGTATAACATGGCATGGAAACAGATGGCATATTCAAACATTGAATCCGGTTACAAAAGCACTTTCAGCAATGGTGACATGGGAATGCGAGATTGAAGGATAATCAGAACACCTGAAGAACTTCCTGAACGCCTGAAGATTCACCTGAGAGCGAAACCATGAAGATGCCGGCTGCCATGGGCAGGTGGGACCAGGAGACGGTGGAGTGGTGGTGAGCGCGGGGTTCTGGGAGAGCAGCAGAGGAAGGGTCACTCGCCCACGTGCCTAGCATCACTGGCAGGGTGGGGGGGAAAGAGAGGGGGGGAAGGGAGGGTGCTTAAATAAGCTGAGAAAAAACAAAATGAAGACGAGACTATAAAGTGCCACATCAAGGTCAGCCTCAAACCGTTACTTTCTGGCCTGCATTTTGAGTCCATCCAAAAGCCTCTCTCTGTGATCAGCCTCAAGTGCCCTCTCTCCCTCGCCCGCATCAAGGTCAGCCTCAAAACATTACCTTAGGCTGATGCGGGCGAGGGAGAGAGGGCACTTAAGGCTGGTCACAGAGGGGCTTTTGGATGGACTCAAAATGCAGGCCAGAAGTGCGCTGCTGGCGACACCAGAGAGGGCAGCATTGGTGAGGCGAGCAATGGAGCGCGCTAGCACTGTGGGGATGATGAGGCGTAGCAATTGAAGAGGGGTAGGAGATACCGGAGAAGAGAAGTGTGCTAAAAGAATACCGGAGCAGCAAAGGAGCCAGGAAATACCGGAGCAGAGCAGAGTGCTGCTGGCGACACCGGAGAGAGCTACGTTGGTAAGGCGAGCAAATGAGCACACAAGCACGATGGGGATGACGAGTACCAGGAGGAACCAAAAATAGGTAGGAGTTACCAGAACAGAGCAGAGTGCTGCTGGCGACACCGGAGAGGGCTACGTTGGTGAGGCGAGCAAATGAGCGCACTAGCACGGTGGGGATGACTAGCGCTAGACTGGCCGCTATCACGAGGTGCCTGCAGGGGAGGCACGGAGAAGAGAGGACGGGAGGGAGGGAGAGGAAGGGGGTAACCAGTGAGGGGAGTAAAGGAGCGCAAGAGCACTGTGGGGATCACTAGCGCTAGGCTGGCTGCTATCACGAGGTGCCTGCAGGGGGGGGCGTGGGGAGATGGTGGAGATGATAGGAAGAGGGGATAATGGGGGAAGGAGTAGTGAGATTGGTGAGGCGCACAAAGGAGCGCAAGAGCACTGTGGGGATGACTAGCGCTAGGCTAGCAGCTATCACGAGGTGCCTGCAGGGATGTGGTGGGGAGACAGATAGAAGAGAGGATGGGAGGATGGGGAGAGGAAGGGTGTGAATATTTCAGGGGATTAAAGGAGTGCATTGGCTTGATGGGGAGGGAAGGAGTGAGACTGGTGAGAAAACATGAGCACTGATGCATGCACGAGGCAAGTACCTCGGCAAGAGGCAGAGCGGAGCAGCAGAGGGTGCAGAGGCATCGGCAGCGGAGGTGGCGAAGGAGGGGAGGCAGAGCGTGGGGAGGGGCGGCAGGAAGATGAGAGCGGACTGCCACACTATGATGAGACACATGCCGAGCGCTCCCCAGAACTCGAATATCACTGCCACCATCACCTGATGCACACACACATGCCGAACAAGAGGATTGGGAGGCAGAGGGTGGGGAGGCGGAGGGTGGGGAGGCGGAGTGGAAGGGAAGATGAGCGCCGACTGCCACACTATGATGAGACACATGCCGAGCGCTCCCCAGAACTCGAATAGCACTGCCACCATCACCTGGTGCACACAAGGGACGGAGGGAGGGGCGGGGGTAGGATAAGAAGCATTTGGTTAGGGAGGAAGGGGAAGATGAGACACATGCCGAGCGCCCCCCAGAACTCGAATAGCACCGCCACCATCACCTGATCGGGACATGGCGAACAGAGCACATGGGTGGGATGGAGGGAGAGGAGAGGGAGGGCACGTGTCAAACACATGCTGAGCGAGCGCTCCCCAGAACTCAAAGAGCACTGCCACCATGACCTGATGCACACATGCCAACATGGGACAGAGGGAGAGGAGGGGGGAGGAGGGAAGTCTCATTGTTGTGTGAGTAAGGGGAAGGGGAGGGGTACACATGCCGAGCGATATCCAGAACTCACACAACACCACCACCGTCACCGGTTGAACACATGCTGTACGGAACACATGGGGCGGAGGGAGAGAATGTGTCGGCACATGCCATACGCACTCCGTTCCCCCCATTGTACTCACACCCCACTTCAACCCATGCCAATCACACCCCACTACGTCCATGCTACTCAAACCCAATCCTCCTCATAACACTCACAGCCCATTCTCCTGGGGGGCCGAAGGCGAAGCGGGCAAGGGCAGGGTAGGAGGGCAGGGTGGAGGGCGGGAGGGCGTCGAATGCACGGCAGAGCAGGCGAGCAGTGGTGCAGAAGAGGGTGGTGCAGAGTGCCAAGACCAGCTGTGGAGGTTGGCGGGAGGGGAGGAGGGTGAGGGGAGAGGAAGAAAACGGTGTGGAAGGAGGGTATGTGATTTGAAGCAGGGCAGGGCAGGGCAGGGCAGGGCAGGGCAGGGCAGGGCAGGGCAGGGCAGGGCAGGGCAGGGCAGGGCAGGGCAGGGCAGGGCAGGGCAGGGCAGGGCAGGCGAGCCGTGGTGCAGAAGAGAATGGTGCAGAGAGGCGAACGAACTGTGGTGAATTTAGAGGGGGGAGGGGGAAGAAGGAGGAAGGCGGGTGGGAGAAGGACATATGAATAGAAGCACGACAGAGCAGGCGAGCTGTGGTTCAGAGGGCGAGAACGAGTTGTGGTGAATTGAAGAAAGGGGAGGGGCAAAGGTAGGAAGGATTGGAGAGTATCGGGCAGCATGGACGGCTCAAAACATAGAGAGGGAGGAGAGGGAGGGGCGGAGAGCGGGGGAGGGAGAGCGAGGCTGCGAGGGATGAGCTAGATAGAGAGATGGAGGAAATAGGGGGAGGAGCGAACTCACAAGGCTCATCCAGCCGCCCAGCATGACTGCATAGCCCATGGAGAGCAGACCTGCCCCAACGAAAAGATTTATCTGCCCAAAGGCAAGGGCACGGAGAACATGGGTGCAGAACAGCGAAGTAGCACGAATTGGTTGGGATTTTTCTACCATCAGAATCGCTGCTTTACACTAGAAAAGCAAGACAAAACACGACAAGTCAAGACAAGACAAGACAAAACATACAAACACACAGTAAGGGCATGATATTAAGGCAGTAAGGGCTCTAATCACCTACCGTGTTGAGAACGGTTTGGAAGTCCGTCTGTAGGTGCGCGCCCAAGTCCGCCTCCGCCTCCCCTTCCGCCTCCGCCGCATCAAATGCCCCCAGGACCTCCTGCTTCGACAGCCCCGGGCTGCGCGGACTCCGCACGCCCTCCCCTCCACCCGGCCCTCCGCTTCCCCATCTCCCCCTCCTCCCCGAGCCTCCCGCTTCCCCCCGTTCGTTCCCAAAGCTAATTCGCCTCTTGGCTTCCGCGCAGAGGTCGCTTCCCTCCGATATTGTCACATTCGCTGAGTCGACGCTCGCGCGTCTGTTTGGCGGGGGTCCGCTTGCGGTGGCTTATTGTCAGGTTCACGCGCGCGCGATACTCATGAGATACTGCGGAGTCTGACGTGGCACGCGTGTTAGATTCCTGACCGCCTGTTGAAGGTAACAACGGTTCGCGAAGCATCGCGAAGAATAGCGAAGAATAGCGAATAATAGTCTAGGTGAGTGGGAAGAGGAAGTTCGCACGGTCAGGAGACACCAGAGGGGTTACGCTACTACCACTACTCGGTCTTGAAATCGGAGGCTCAACAATTCGCGGCAATTAACGCACTCTCTGCCAACAAACCCAACTAGCACAACCGTGAGTTAGCCAAGATGTCTAATCTGGCAACTACGGGGCGCTCGAGAGTCCATGCACTGCCACGAACCGCAAACAAACGCAGAGCTAGAGATGTTAAAATCCTCGCCAAACCCCCTACCTGCCTGGTCAACTAGCCTAAGGGCTCAACATCCTAATTGCCACGTGGAATTATCATGTAAAAAGCTCCCTCGAAAAAGCGTCCCACGTGGTGCCCGTTTGACCTGCCAAAAGTGAACCCAAATCGCTTTTGCGAAGCCCGTACATTGTCGTGCGGACTGTGTTACTTTTGTGTGCTTCGCAAAACCACAGTTCCGCTGACATCTTTTTCCGCCAGCACGAACCTCCAAATTATTCAGGTGATTGGCTGCAGCTGAAGTTGTTCAGCTGCTTGTCAGGCAGATTCAACTCCCTTGCTACACACACTTACCATTTCGGTTTCCAGGACTCCACAATTCACATTCACGCTCCGCATTTCCCCATTCTATATTCCATCGTTTTCAGCCCACACATATCCACATACTCCACATCGGTCGTTCTCATTCTACGCTCTCTATCGTTCTGCTTAAACAAAATTCGACGCGTGCATGCCTGCGTTGTGCCGGCTCCTTCAAGTATCAACGAGAATGGTTCTCAGTCCCCGTGCAGTGGCAGCTTCAGCTGCACCTAGCTCTAGCCTACATGCTCTGAACTCCATTTGCGGTATTAGCGCACGCGATGTGCTTTTGCTTCGTTTTTTTTCGTCGCATGCTACTAATATTCTCGTCGGAAGCAGGGACTAAAGAACACTTCCCGGCTCTTCGTTCAACTAAGGCAGCGAAGGTCCTATTTGGCATTGCAACACTCTCACCTTGTTCTCAAGCATCACGTGATTACTGACTCTCTTTCTCCCGTGCAGGCTGTATCTTATTCTCCATGCGGGAGCTATGTTCCTCTCACCCCAGAGGGCTCGCACCCTAACGTGCCTATGCCGAAGGAGGCACTTCCATCATCTTCAGGCTATCTTCCCGTCAGCACGTCCACTCCTGAGTCTCGAATGTTCTATACATACTACGAGGCGACGGAACCGTCAAGATCGCTTGCAGAGACTCCGCTTCTTCTTTGGCTTAACGGTGGTCCGGGTTGTTCGAGTATGATCGGCAATTTCTATGAGATTGGTCCCTGGAATGTCGCTATAACAGATGACGCCATTGACAGCCTTCACCTGAAAAAGAATCCATGGGCGTGGAACAGAAGGTAAGCTGCTGATGGATCATGGTATAACGCAATTAAGCCATCACTGATGCAGACTGACGCCTTGACTGTGTGTTGCGACAGATACGGCCTGCTATTTATTGATAATCCGATTGGCACAGGGTTCAGTGTCGCGGGAAGCATCGAGGATATCCCTCAAGACCAGCCTACAGTGGCAAAGCACCTCTATAATGCCCTATCAGCATTCTTTGACATGCATCCGAGCTTGTGTGGCCGTCCATTCTTTGTTACGGGGGAGTCATACGCTGGGAAGTATGTGCCTGAGCTCAGTTGCTTGTTGATGCAGCAGCAGCAGCGAGACCAGGGCCTTCCAGTGGAGTTAGCAGGAATCGTTGTCGGGAACGGTTTCACAGACCCTCGGATACAGGTAGGTGTTCCGGTGGGTATTATCAATTTGCGGCTGCTTTATGTAGCTGGTGAGACTGAAAATGCCGCCTGCTGCTTCAGGTTCAAGTTCATGAGCATGTTGCTAGGGCCTTCAACATGCTCACTGACCGCCAGGCAGACTATGTGAAGGAAGAGGCCAAAAGAGTGGTTCAACTCATAGACAGGTAGTGTTCTCCTTGTGATTCCATCAGCATGTTGTCTGCATTGACTGACTATAACGTCAAATGGACAGGGAAGAATGGGAAGAGGCTCATTATGCACGCACCGCACTGTGTGAGTGGATAGAGCACAAGGCAGGAACCCCAACGTTGCTGGATATTCGGCGGCATGCCAAGTACCACGCGACACAGGTACTGAGACAACAAGTGCCATAAAATTTCCTGCAAAATTTACGTCACTCGCCTTACTCTGCTGATCTTATTTCAGGGTGGAGTGGAGTACCTTTCATTGTTTCTTAATCAACCTCATGTCAAGGAAGCACTCCACGCTGAACCAAGTATTTATTGGGCCAGTTGCAGGCCACACATTCGACGCCACCTTGCTCGGGTGTGTGCTTCAGTTGGATTCGTGAAAATTCACATCAGACAATGCCAATATCTCAACCCATACACATAACTCGCTTGAGCAGGATACAATGAAGAGCAGCAAGAAAGCAATGGAGCAAGTGCTTTCAGCAGGTGTCCCTGTGCTGCTGTTTCAGGGCATGTTTGACGCTAAGGATGGCCCTACCAGCTCTGAAGCGTGGATGCGCACTCTGTCCTGGAGTGATGCAGACAGGTTCTGGGATGCCAAGCGAGTGGTGTGGCTTGTATGTGGAAGGAGAGAAGGATATTGGAGACAGTGGAAGAATTTGACGCATGTGATTGTTACTGGTGCTGGACACCAAGTGCCTGCTGACCAACCTGAGGCTGCAGCAGCCATGATTGAGACATGGGTGGAGCAACACATCTCGCTGGGAAGGCCAATCTCAGAGGTGCATATCGATCAGCCCTTAGCTGTGGGTATTCAGCCCGAGCTGGCTCTAGAAGCTGCAATGGCCTCGCTGGGCAATGGTACAGGGAATCATGCGCATATGAGAGCATGAATATTGCACAAATGAGTTGTATTTGGGGTATATGTATGTACGGAAGAGGTCAAAATGACAACTCCCTACCTCATCTTGTTGCCAGGGATGACTGTAATGAATGGAATTTGGCCAAGAGTGAGGAACGAGATGATGCTGGATTCTGTTGACAATATGGACAGTAGTGCGTGAACACCTACGGCTACCAAGTGGAACCATGGGGATGAGCAGAAGGCAGAAGGCAACAGGAAAAGCCCAATGGATGAATATGTAAGGTCCAATCCAATGGCAAGGGGTAAAGGAGAAAAGCATTTGCATTATATGCACTTATAAAAGATACAAGATTACACAGGGAGATCACAGGGCTACCATAAAGCATCGGTCACCCCGCTGGATGAGCCTCGAGCCTGCATGGCTCAAGAAGTTTGAACATCTTGGAAATAACCCTGCCTTGTCACCTTGTGGCACCAGCCATAGCCACTGAACGCTCAGCAGCAAGAGACTGCACGCGTGCAACATCTGAAGTTACCCAGGCAGTCCCCATGTACAAGCCATGCCATAAGGTACTAGGTATATTACTTATTCGGAGCTTCAAGACCTCCCAGAAACCGAGGGAGCGGCGTACGGTGTCCACCAGTCCGACTGATACTTGGGATAAGGAGCGTCCCACTTGGCAGGCTTGTAGTTGTTCTCAATGGGAAGTGATTTCAAGGCCTCTTCCTGGGAGTCACACTCGAACTCGCCCCTGAGAACACGGTCCAATCTCAGCTTCATAAATCTGAAAGGGTCGGTGGGGAAATGCAAGCCAGGCAAGAGTGAGTGATCGTGACCACCATGCGTGAATCTCCTCACTCACAGCACGCGATATTTTTAGCGTATGTACTACGCACTGCCTGTCCCGATATCTGGAACAACTGTCGTTCAAGAGCATTGAAGAACACTTACGTCATCCAAACAGCGTCGGTGGTGACAAGAGCCACAGCAGGCCTGTTCACTCGCTTGGCGATCTCAGGGAAGCTCGCGAGAAACTCGGGCTCGTACACGAGCCAGAAGTCCTGCGGGCGACCCTGCTCGTGCAGCCACCTGAGTCGCTCCTTAAGCTGCTCCTGGAAGTGCTCCTCCTCGTCCAGCATGAACTTGGCGTTCGCCACAATGAAGTGGTACGTCGTGCTCGTGGTTGAGGCAGAATCAGCCTGCATTGTCAGGGGATTTGGTACACATTGAGTTCCATCTTAAGGCTTGTTCATTTAGGGTACAAGTCGTCACCGGATTTACGTTGCTGCATCTGTCGGACCGGCCCTGGCATCAAGATCGACGGAATCAAGCTATGAAGAATGTTACTTTACCTGCTTCTTTGCAACATCGACTGAAGATGCCTGAGCCCGGGCGACGACGGCTTGAGCCCTCTCCACCGGCTGCGCCTGGACGGAGGCGGTGCGGGTCTTCACACTCAATGGAGCGAGCGCCACGCGAGCAGTGCATTGTTCCTGCCTGCTGACGAGGCCACTGAGAGCGACAACCTTAAACTGGCTAGCGGCGATTGTGGTGGCTGCCATTATTGCTTGAGAACGGATCAACAAGGATTTGAGCCTTGTTTTGGGAACTCAAGCAGGACGTGCTAGGGGAGCAGGAAACGTGATGGATACACAAACTTGGAAGCACGCATTCACATTTCCCTCATGTTTATGCCTTGGGAGAAACTGTAAAATTTTGCGCAGAACTCGAAGTTCTCGAGGCGCAGGAATGCCCAGAATTCTCACCCTACAAGGGCCTGCTCGATGAGTTGGCGATGTGAAGTTCCGCTTCGCCTATAGCGTGGGAGCAGGGTCGGTGTGCTGGACGAAAGCGCACCATCCTAGTGGGCGACAAGGTTGGGGGCCCTACACGTTTGCGACTAGCATCCCCGCGACAAGTTATCACGAGCCACGTGGAATATCATTTGCTCCAGACCAAATGCGTCAGCTGCGAAACAATCCCAAGATGGATGTGGAAATGATGGGCATGGCGAAGCCATGTTACCTGAACGCGCGACAGAAATCTTCTGAAACTGTTACACTGAACATACACCTAACCACCGCTATTTTCAACCCCGAACTCTTGCACTGTTCTCGGTTTCGAAGATACCCTGCACGCATTCGACTATTTCAGTTGGGCACTTGATCTACATGGGCTATGAAGCACCATAATTTTTAATGTTAAGAAACGCATGAAAGCAAATCTGAGACAGTTACCGCTCGTGCGAAGGGGCACTCTTGCTATTGCGAATTCCCTTGTGCCAATTCTACTCTTTTTGGGGGTTTGGAACTAACTCACTGTGAAATAAGTGTGAAATTTCTGACGCCCACACAACCCTCGGTCAAAGATTCCAGAAAGGGTGCATACCCACTTGCGCAAGTGGGGTTGAAAATAGACCGAAAGAAAATAGTGGTGGTTAGGTGTATTTCTATCTTCCACTTGTTCTGTTCCACAATACACAAGATGCCCAACCCCTGCACGCGAATTTGCTCTACCCGCGATGGAAACTCTGCACCCGTGTATTAGGGTACCAGCCAGTTGCACCCCATTTATAAGCACCTCGAGCAATACGAACCATAAAAACCGAAGTTTGACAGAAGAGACCCATGTCAAACGGTCAACAGCGAGTTACAAAATATTTTAAAAGCCCTTTTCGCTAAGTGCGGATTGACGAAAGCTTAGCGAAATGCAAGAATCGCTTAAGAGCCCTCTTAGCAAGGCAACCTTGGGTTAGTCAAACGGGCATCGTGTGTAACGAATTCCTCGTCGTTGGTGGACTTGAGGGACCCAAGGGAAGCACAAGGCTCAAATCTATTCTTGTCTATGGTGCTTCGTCATCACCAGAAGCGAAGTTGCTCGTATCGCTCCACCCGGCGGACCATCTTCCTGTCGTCAGCTAGGCTAGTCAGTTGCCACGTCGATTTTGGTGATCACAGATTAGGGCTCAACGTCCTAACCTCGCGGTTTCGTAGTCATCCTATTGTCGCGACTATGGCGACGCCAAATCCAAAAACAACGTTGTATGTTGGTGAGGCTGGTGGATTTCGTGAGCTAAAGGTTTTCGAGTTCAGAATTTCGCTGACATTGAAATTTCCGTCTTGTATAGATTTTTTATTGACTTACCTAGAATTCGTCAGTCCTGCAATAGTGCGATATTCTCATAATTGCGTCCGTGTGTTGCTGGCAGGAGGGTTGGAGGAGAATGTGACCGAGTCAATTCTCCACGCGGCTTTCATCCCGTTCGGCGACATCAAGGATATAAACATCCCGATTGATCAGGTAGCGAATGCTGTCTCTTTCTTATCTCGAACCCCTTTTCTATACGAGTAGTTTGTCTCTGGCCTACAATCCAATCACATTAGCCGCGAATAAATCAATTAGCAGCACCCTTGCGGATGCGTACGACAGCTAGTACACCCGCCCCACCCCCACCCCTCCCCCCTCCCCCTCCTTCTCCTTCCCCTTTCGCCCCCTTTTCCGGCTTTCCCCTCCCCGTCCCTCCCCATCCCACCTCACGTCCCTCTTCCGCCAGACGACGCAGAAGCACCGCGGGTTCGGCTTCCTGACGTACATGGAGAAGGAGGACGCGGCGGCCGCCATGGACAACATGCACAACGGCGAGCTGTACGGCCGCGTGCTCACCGTCAACATCGCGCAGCCGCAGAAGATCAAAGGCGGCGAGCAGGGCTGGGCCTCGCAACCAGGTGCGGTGGCGTTTAGGGCGCAGGAATGGGCGTCGCAGCCAGATACGCCGGGGTTTAGTAAGGATGGCTCTTGTGTTGTTCAGGGATGGGCTTCGAGGGCAGCAAGGTGTCGCGGGTGCAGACAAAGGGGCGTTGTATGTTCAGGGTTGAGGGCTGGGTCTTGCAACTGGTCACCGTCTGGGTGCAAAGAGAGATGATTCTGGTGGCTGTAGTTAGGCTCATGATGCACGTTACTCAAGGGAAGGGTGTTATACTACCGCCTGTCCAGCCTACGGTTTGCACCCCACCCCACTGGCTTGCACCCCACCTCACCCTGCTTCACTGTTGTCCTTTCCGCTTTGTGACTAACGTTGTCCGTGCAAATTTTTGCACACTTACCCCAGCCCTGCCACCTGCCAAAATTCTTTCCCTTCCCTTCCTCTTTACGTTTCACAGCTCCTCTTCCCCTCTTCCCCTTTGGCATACTTCCCCTTCTTGATCTCTCTTTTTCCCTCCCCCTCTTCCTTCCCACCTCGTGTACCTTTCCGCACATGTTTTTTTCCAACTCCAGTGTGGGCGGACGCAGACACATGGTTTGAGCGTCAACAGCAAGAGGAGGAGATTCAACGGTTAAGCAAGGAGCAGAAAGCTGCTGCTGCAGCTGCTGCCAATGCTCCAAAGGGTGGCGCTGCTGCTGATAGAAGCATGGAGGAGGAAGAGGAGGGGGATGCTGTGCCTGGTGCAGCTGATCCTATGGCTGCTGCTGAAGCTGAGGCCATGAACAAGACATGATAGTGTGCTTCTATGTGCTTGGCATGGAAGTACCTTGTGTAAATGCACATACGGTAGTCTACATTGTTCAGCCTTTAGGAAACCAGTGGTATGCACCCAACAAATTGCCCATCAACAATCCCGTAAAATAGGAAATGTTCCTGTACAAAACAACCACTACACTGAGCACAACAAATCACTCTTTCACCAAATCAAAACCTCCAAATCTTCCCAGCCTTCCCAGCCTTCCCAGCGAGAGGGTACCCTCCCTCCCCTCTAGGGCTTCTGCACATTCGTCACGCCATGAGCGATTAACAAATCGCCCTTGTACATTCCCGGGTCGCTCACCCGGGACCACGTCCTCCGCTTCGACCCCGCCTGCCCGAGCGCCACCCCGGTTCCGCGCTTCAGCCACCCCTTCCCCACATCGATCTGCACCAGCTGGCGGTCCTGGTAAACCGTGGGGAAGGACGAGCCGCTTCGGAGCTCCGCGAGCGTGAAGGACCCGTCGAGCACGTTCATGAGGACCGTGTCTAAGTGCGCTTCGACCTCCTCTTGGGTATCGGGGAGTTTGCCGTTGAAATATCGGAGTACGGCGGTGTTGTCTGGGATGAGGAGGGTTTTCGCCTCCGGGTTGGGAACACGTCCGCGCCGTATTTCGCGAGGAGGGAGTCTGGCGGGGGGAGGCGGGACGAGGCGGGAGGAGGCGGGGGGAGGCGGAGGGAAGGCGGAGAAAACGCGGACAACAGCACGGGACAAGCGGCATTACGCTCTGCAAATGGAGCGCCGCGAGGGACTGACCTTGCTTCTTGAGCACGTATTTTGCGGCGAGGTAGATGAGCGAGAAGTTGGGGCGGCTCTTGAGCGCGTTCGTCAGCGCGCGGACCTCGTCGATGAGGCGCTCCGACGACACATCTGCGGACACGAGCGACGTCGCGAGGAGCAGCGCGAAAAGCACGGCGAGCGCGGGCGATTTGTAGCCCATGGCGGCGGGTGCTGCACGTTGGTGCGCTAAGTTCGCTGGCTTGCGGTGGAGAAAGGTTCCGTTATAGCTGACGACGATTTTCACTTGCAGTCCGGAGAAAACACCTAACGAATTGACAAGCAACGGTGGGTGCTTGGCTCTCGCTTGTTGCCTGAACTAATGAAGGCGAGACGGGAAGCCATGACTTTGTACTACAGAGCTCTCGCGTGCGCAAATTGGTGGGGCGGAAGCGGGGGAGGTGGCTTGCGGTGGGGGAGCGCTGAGTAAGCGAGCAGCGCCAGCGGGTACAGATGGGGGATGGGCGAGGGAGTGGTGGTGCTTGTGGGTCGGAGCGGTGGGGCAGAAACTGTTGCAGTGAACTGTGGTTGCTGCTCGCGTGGCACCAGGGTGGCGGGAAATTTTTCACGTGGCGAAATTTTTCGCCGCAATTTCCCCGTCAGCCAAAATCCGAATATGCAAAAGGCATCTTGCAAAAATGCCCACTCGCCACCACACCCTTCCTATCTCCAGACAGCAAAACCTACCAATCAAAACCTATCAATCCTCCACCTCAACTCTCCTCCTATCCTCATCATCTTTCTCATACCATTATCCACCAATCAAACAAAAGATTCCATACCAAGCCTTCCAATCCAAGCCACATTCATTCCACTCACCAAGCCTTAAAATCAAAGCCAAATACATCCCATTCACCAAGCCTTAACTTCAAGGCCACATTCATTCTCTTCACCAAGCCTTCACTTCAAGGCCACATTCATCACCCCCATCTTATCCAACTCAACCAATCACAACCATTCATCCTTTCCTTATCCTTCATCCAACATCAAGCTCCACCAAATACAAAAGGGTCCTCTTCATTTCTTCAAACTCATATTCTTCAATGCTACTTCATACCCAAACTCTCAACAAGTTCTTCAAGCTCCTTCAAGGCCAACCTCAAGTCCTCCTCCTTATGCTCCAACTCCTAAGAGCGTATTCCTATCCTCGTATCAAGAAAACCTCATATCAAGATTGTACTTTTTGCCTGATAAAAGTAGCGAGAGGTTTTGGGTTTAGGGGAATTTTCAGTGAGAGGTTGATATGAGGTTTTCTTGATACGAGGATAGGAATACGCTCTAAGACTTCATCATCACCACCAACCTCTCCCAAGCCAAGCTCATAGCCATATGCTCCAATTCTAGAGAAGTTTGTGCCACATAGTTTTACTTCTAGATCATCAAGGATAGTTGATCTCAAGATCCTACCATGTACCTCCCTTTTGATTAATGTACTTTAAAGCTTCAAGCAAGATTGGTGTATTCTTCTACCCAAGGTCCAAGCTCCAACCTCAACATCCAAGCTTGGAGGTTTCTCTTCATTCAACAAACATTATCTACAAGTCAACATTCAAGATCAACTTCTCAACATTCAAGCTTTGAGGTTCTTCATTAACAACTAAGACAACATTTAAGCTTGAAGTGAAGATCAACTTCTACAACATAATAGTAAGAACTCTTTTCAAGTAAGTGGTTATCCCTTCCTCTCATTTTTCACCAAGTTTCTTTTACATCAAAGTTCATTTGCTATTATCAAGTTGTTTTATATTCAAGCTCTTTCCATAATAATCAAGTTCTTATTCTCAAGTTCGTTACAAGCTCCTTTCAAGTATCTTTCAAGCCCTTTACCTTTTCTTCAATACTTTCTTTTGAGCCAATCTTGTTTGGTCCCTTTTATCCCTATCAAGTCTATCTATCTTCTCCTTCAAAGCTTTCCTCATTCTTAATTACTCCATACTTCAAGATGTCCTTTCAACTTGTTTTTGCTTTTCAACTTGGTTTTACTTTGATCTTACCTTTTCTTTCTAGGTGTTTTCTTTCTTTCTCCTTACCATTTACCTTCCCTCGTCTATAACTTCAATTTCAAGAGAAACATGCTGCGCTGGAGCCTGAGCGCCAGAACATTTGCGATTTTTGGGTTTGGAATTTCGTCGTCACGTCGGTCGTCCAAACCAGACCAATCGCGCCCCTCCACTCCCCCGCGTCGCATCGCACACACGGTTCAGCTTCAAACCAACCAAGCATTATGCTGGTTCGCCACCCATTCCAACCCAGAGGAAACGTACAGAACCACATGTTCGCAAGTAGTTTTCCATCACATTACCTCCACCAGCTGTGTCGTGCGCATACTTCCAAACAAAGTTGCGACAATTTGGACGACCGAGCGGGCCTTTTTCGCACAAGGTCGCTGTGCGACAATCTGTTGATGTCAGGAGTTGTGCAGGAAACGAACACAGGTCCATGGATCATGGTGCACAGTCAAGCACCAACTGTTCTCAGCCGTCGATGCAACAAACACTGAGGGGGTGTCCAGTTCGTTCATTTCGGGGTTTTTAGTGCCAACACACGTCTCGAGGTTCAAAAATATTCACTGTACCTAAAAACGAATGCATTGTGAGTTGAGTCCCACCTACATGTAATTTCAGGAGCGCGGACACGTTCTCCGCCACACGAATCAACAGTGCTCTGATCGCGTTCAAAACGAGGTAACTGTTTCCGTCGTCAATCATAGCTAACGAATTTTGGGGCAGGCGGAGGGTGTGTTGACGAGTGTAGCGAGCTACTGGCGAAATTGCGCAAGCGATACAGGGGGCGCTACTGTAGTGGCCAGGACGCGGTGCTGTACCCTTGTTCGTGTCCCCGCTGATTCCAGTAACGTGAGTCAGACGACATGAGGTACGTGCAGGGGGCGTGCCGTTTTGTGAACGAAAGCTGATTGTGTCCGCAGGACACGTTCAATACAGTGTTAGGGCGTGTCCAGCGCGTACATTTACAGTTCATAAACCCATTCAGTTACCACATTTCTTATTGTAACACTGCATTTTACAAAAAGGTTGGACACGATCAGCTTCCGTTCACAAGACGGCACGCCCGCTGCGCGTACGACGAATCGTCTAACACAAGTTACTGGAATCAGTGTGCGCGCGAACAAGGGTACAGCATTGCGTCCTGCCCGCTACAGTAATTTTCGTTCAAGCGTGGAATTTTCGCTTGTGCGTGAATTTCTGTGCGATGATAGACGAGGCAACCAGTTACCTCGTTTTCCACGAACTGTAGAAATTTGTGTGCAGAGGGTTGTGTCCGCGCGCTGGAAGGCCCAATCCTTCGGACTCGACTCACCTTATATTCGTTTTTTGGTACAGTGAGATTTTTTGAGCCGGGAAACGTGTGAAGGTACTAATATTCCAAAAATGTACGCGCTGGACACGCCCTTACAACAAAAAATGTGGTAACTGAGCGGACTTACGAACAGTAAATGTACGAGCTGGACACCCCCTGAGGCACCACAACAGTGCTACATACAGGTCTAGGTTCAGTGACGGTGAACCACTTTCACGTAGTGGATAATCGATACTAGCTGATGCGGTATTACTATATTTCAATAGTTAATATCGGTATCTGAACTATATTGTGAAACACTGATGTAGAAATGCATTTTGACACACCTCACCACACCACCATCACCCATCCATGCGCCGTTTCGCCAAGAGCAAGCCTGTGCATGCCGCCGTCAGCCAGCAGCAGTAACGAATCTGTAACGACTGGTGGCTATCCGACAAATTCACGGATCCCAGGCTGTTGTTGGTGTCAGCCAGCCACATCCACGAGCGCATCGCGCGACAGTGCCGATTTCGCTGCTCAGTTTTTCGGATTCCGCCGCCGACTGAGCGATTTCAGCAAAGGCACGTAACCACTCTTCGCCAAATCGTCACAAGCCCCTTGTTCTATTCTAGCACCACGCGAAGGGGGGTAACCGTCATCGCTACTGCCTCGTCTCTTTTGTCGTACATGCAGCTCATTCTTGTGGTTGCTCAGTGCACTTCAGATTTTCATGGCAGAACATTAGCTGTCTGGCCCGGATTTCGGTCTAGGAGGCATCCTATCTACCTCCAGAATTTGGAGTTCAGATAACCAACACTCACCATCTCACCTCACCGCCATCATACCATAACTCCACCAACCATCCTATCCATTCATTCATTCATTTCATTTATTTGTTTTCTTCACTCGAGGCGTAGTCCTTTCGTAAGGCTCCGCGCTTCGTTTCGTCCCACCCGATTTGTCCCGTGGGTCGAGCGAACCTACAGCACACCCTTTAGGGAATTGGGTATGCAATTCGCCTGCCATTGCTTCGCACGCGTAGCCTCTCCGCACGCGACGGCAGAAGCAAATCGCGTTTTTCAGCACGAAGAGGGTATGGCGTGCGTGCGGCCTGTCAAAGGTCGATAAGCGTCGGACGCCGGAATTCCCATCAAGGATTCATTACCGTGCGAAAAACATCGCGAGATTTCGTTCACTCCAGACGACGTCGCGAAAAAAATATTGCGTTTTGTCGCCCAAAAGGTCGGACGATGGTTTTCCGACGTTGCGCGACGACGAGTCGCAGCCGTCGGAGGGAACGACAGCTGTCGCACAGTCTGCCAGTCGTCGCTTTGGCGCTGCTGGCCTTCGCGATACGGCCGTTGGAAGGCGCCTCGAGCAGCGCCGGCTTCGCGAATTCATGTGAGCGCCGAAATATTGAATCGTCGGGCGGGTAACCGTTGCGTCGTCTTTTAAACTCCTCGTGAATCGACGGGTTGGTGCGACGCCAATATGATGAGGCTGTGCAGGGCAGTCTCTTCGATTCGACGTGTTCATCGAAATGTCGAAGTTCTTCGCATTCCGTGAATGCTACGTGCGCTGAGCACGTTAGCGAATTTCATTATCCTCCTCTTATCCGCCCCGCTCTTCCCCCATCTCCGCTTTCCGCTTCCCCCATCCCCGCCCTCCATTCGCGCGGCAGGGGCGAATCATCTCCTCCGCTACTCCCGCCTCCCCCGCCACGAGCAATCCACTGACGCGTCACTCCTCCCATCCTCGTTACAGTCCGCACCGACATCATCGCACAACGCACCCGCTTCGTTTCTCCCATCCGCCCTTCCTTCCGCCTCCGCCGCCAACTCGCGCCGCGTCTCCGCCGCCCCCGCGCTCCCCCAGCACCTTCCGCGTTTCCTCCACTCCGCGCATTCTCCCCCATCCCCCGCCTCCGCCCCCGTGTGGCACAACCGCGTCACCCTCTCCCGCGTAGCCGCGCTTCCGCCCGCCACCCCGTCCGCGGGAAGCAGGAGAGTCGAGTTGGAATCAACGGTGAAGATTAAGGCGACAACGACTCGGCCAAAATCCGTGCCGTCCACTTTGAGCGCTGCTGACCGTACGATGCTGCTGAGTCGGATGAACGATGCGCGGTGAGAGATGAAACGGGGAGGTGACGGATGAGGGTGAGAGGGGGGGGGGCCGGGTGAGAGTTGTAACAACAAGTGCAACTGAGACGAAACGCTGTTGAGCACACTCTCCCCTCACCTCTCACTCCTCTGGTCCCTTTCTTACCCTCACAACTTCCTTATCGCTCCTCTCCCTCATTCCTTTCCATTCTCTCCCCCTTCTCCCCCTCTTCTGTCCTCGTTCCCCTCCTCCCCATTAACCAATCAGAGCGTCTGTTTCAGCCACAGCCGTCCCACGCCCATTCGCCGCGCTCCCGAACCTGACCTGGAGCGACACCCTGGCAGGCTCGGCGCAGGCCTGGGCAGCCGAAGAAGCAGGTTCGGTGTGCGCCGGGCCTGTGGACGCGTTTGGCAGCACTCTTTCCCTCTGGTCGCAGCAGCCCGGGAGTCCCTATGGTGTGAGCTGGTACGGGTTTGAGTCCGCTGCTGCCTCTCCTGCCGGCAGCACTCCCTCTGACGCCCTCACCGCGTGGCTCTATGAAAAGGCCTTCTATGATGTGAGTGTGTGCGATTGGTGGGGTATGAGTGTGCTATGTGTCTTGGTTTGATTACCCAACTTTGGTGTGAGTGGCTCGTGCTGAGCTGTGCTGTGCTGTGAGTGGCTCGTCTCCCCTCTGACGCCCTCACCACGTGGCTCTACGAGAAGGCCTTCTATGACGTGAGTGTGTGTGCGCGATATGAGAAGAAGACCAATATGTATTTCGTTTGATTCCCCAACGTTCGTGCGAATCACGTGTGCCTCGCCGCCTCTCTGTGCGAATTATGTGTGCCTCGTCGCCTCTCTGCTCACATTCACACGTCCCCCACCCTCCCATCGCCCTTTACTCTCTTCCCTCCAACCACCCCACGCGCAATGAGTGCAGTGACACGGACGACTGTGAGGACTACCGGCAGATCGTGTCAAGGCACCTCACACGTCCTCTCCCCACCTCCCTCCCCCCTCTCTGCTCCCCGTCCTTCCCACCCATCAGCCTGCCCGCAACCAGTGCTCTGACACGGACGACTGTGAGGACTACCGCCAGATCGTGTGTTGAGATGACTCACAGGTCCTCTTACCCCTTCCGCCTCCCTTCCACTATCTTCCCCTCTTCCCTTCTGCTATGTCCCATATCAGCCCATACGGAACGAGTGCTCAGACACGGACGACTGTGACGACTACCGCCAGATCGTGTGTCGAGGCACCTTATCCTCACGCTCTCTGCTCCCCTTCCTTCCTCTCTGCTCCCCACTCTGCTCTCCCTCTCTCCTCCTCCCATCAGCCCGTACGGAACGAGTGCGCGGACACGGACGACTGTGAGGACTACCGCCAGATTGTCTGGCGCACCACCACTGCTGTGGGCTGCGGCATGGTGAGATGCAGAGCGGTGCGGTGGTGTTGTGAGGTGGGGCGTGGGTGCGGTGCGGCGCTGTGTTGTCGGATGGGGTGTGGTGTGGTGTGGTGTGGTGTGTCATACGGGATGGGTGTTGGAGCTGGTGCATGCTTCTCTACAGCCTATCACAATCCCTCCTCCTCACCCTGCTTTCTCTCGCCCCCGGGTCACATGCAACGAGGCCAATGCACCCATCCCAACCTCTCTCTTCGTCCTCCTCTGCTATTTCGACCCTCTCACACTTCCCCCCGCCCCTCCTTGCACAATCCCACCCTTCTCTCTCGCCCCCGGGTCACATGCAACGAGGTCAATGCACCCATCCCAACCTCTCTCTTCGTCCTCCTCTGCTGCTTCCTCTCACGTTCTCACACTCCTTCCTCACCCCTCTTCCCTCCCTTTGCTCCTTCCCCCTTTTTCCTTCACCCCCTGCCCCCCCCTCTCTCCCCCCCTGGTAACATGCACTGAGGCCAACTCACCCATCCCAACGTCTCTCTTCGTCCTCCTCTGCTACTTTCACCCCTTTCACACTTCCCCTTTCCCTTCCTTCCTCCTCTTCACCTCCTTCACTCTCTCCCCCACTCCAGGTCACATGCAACGAGGCCAATGCACCCATCCCAACGTCTCTCTTCGTCCTCCTCTGCTATTTCGACCCTTTCACACTTCCCCTTTCCCTTCCTTCCTCCTCTTCACCTCCTTCACTCTCTCCCCCACTCCAGGTCACATGCACCGAGGCCAACGCACCCATCCCAACGTCTCTCTTCGTCCTCCTCTGCTACTTCGACCCCCCCGGAAACCTTCCCAACCAACACCCCTGGCTCTCCCCCCCCTCCCCACCTTCCCCCGCTCCTCCCCCTCCCGCCACCCCTCCCCCTCGCCCACCCCCACCCTCTCCTCGCGCCGCCCCCACTCCCCCCCCACCTCCCCTCCGCGCGCCTCCCCCCAAAGCCTCCTCACCTCCCCCTCCTCCCCCTGTGCGGAGCCCTCCCCCCCGCCTCCCCCCGCCCGCTTCCCCCAGCCCTCCCCCTCCGCGCGCTTCCCCCTTGGGGGTGACCAGCGTGGGGGAGGGGGGGAGGGAGACGCTGCTGCAGGGGATGAATGGAGCGAGGTGAGCAGGGGGGGAGAGGAGGGGGGGGAGAAGTGGGGGGAAAGAAGTGGGGGGGGAGAAGTGGGGGGGGAGAAGTGGGGGGAAATAGCATGGAGAATGGTGAAGCAAGGGAGGGTGGAATGTTGCTTAGTGGAAGGCTGATTTGTTTCTGTCTTGTCTTTGTTGTTTAGCTTTTGCTGCATTGCGTCCTGCCGGTGCGTGATTGCCGCTCTGTTATTCCTCTCTCATCCATCCCCCTCTCTCCCCCTCACTCTTACAAACAAACTCTTGATTCCCCCCCCCCCCCCCCCCCTCTCTTATCCTCTCTCCCCCACCACCACCCTCCCCCACCAATCGCAGGCTCGCAGTCCCCTCTGCCAGCCTGTCAGCGCTGACCTGGAGCGACGCCTTGGCCACGTCAGCACAACAATGGGCAGCCAATCAGACAGCATCCCTCTGCTCGGCCCCTCTAGACGCCTTCGGCTCAGCCCTCTCTTTCAGCGCAGCCATTCCTGTAGCCGCTGCCACCCTCCCCTCTCTGTTTACTGCTGCTACAACCTCTCCTCTGGTAGGAAAGCAGAGCAGCAGCAAAAAGGGCAGCGGCAAGACCAGTGGCAGCAGCACGAGCAACAGCACGAGCGGCAGCAGCAGCGGTGGCGGCGGCAGTGCGTATGGAGTGAGCTGGTACGGGTTTGAGTCGGCTGCTGCCACTCCTGCCGGCAGCACTCCCTCTGACGCCCTCAGCGCATGGCTCTATGAGAAGCAGAACTACAACGTGAGTGTGTGAGCAGGGGATGAGGTGAGTGCATGATGAATGGATGAGTGTATGTGTGCCTCCGCCAACACTCCCTCTGACGCCATCAGTGCCTGGCTCTATGAGAAGCAGAACTACAGCGTGAGTTGCCTTGACTTGACTGCCTGTGATTCCCACTCAGACTCCTTCCAGACATCTGTTCAGTTTAGCGTTGGTACCCGCAGCTCTTCGTTCCCATCTCCTGTCCCCTCCTCATTCCCTGCTTTCCCATACCACTCTCCCTTCCTCCTTAACTCCTTTCTTCCCTTCCTACTTCCTCCCTCCTCCCTTCCCCTGCCTTTCTCTGCTCGTCTCTCTTCTCCTTCCTTCCCCACCCCTCTACGTTCTCCCTATCTTAGATTCTCCTCCTTTTCCTTCGCTTCCCTGCTGTCCTACCTCCTACCTCAATGTCCCATCCACCAGTCAGAAGCTGACACGTGTGCAGCAGGGGAGCTCTGCAGCAATTACCGGCAGATTGTGTGGAAGGCTGCTACAGCCGTGGGGTGTGGCATGGTGGGTGTAAGGCTGCTACAGCCGTGGGGTGTGGCATGGTGGGTGTAAGGCTGTTACAGCCGTGGGGTGTGGCATGGTGGGTGTAAGGCTGCTACAGCCGTGGGGTGTGGCATGGTGGGTGTAAGGCTGCTACAGCCGTGGGGTGTGGCATGGTGGGTGTAAGGCTGCTACAGCCGTTGGGTGTGGCATGGTGGGTTGTGGCACTTCGATTAGAACTGCTGCAGCAATCACCTATGCCTCTCCCTCTTCCTCTGCTTCCACATTCACTGCTGCGTCTTGCACCTCTCTCCCTCTGCCTATGCCTTTCGAGTCATCTCAAATCCCACCTCTCACTTATTCTTTCCTCCTGCCTTTCCCCCTGCCTCTTCCCATGCCTCTCCCCCCTTGCCTCTCCCCCATTGCCTCTCCCCCCTTGCCTCTCCCCCCTTGCCTCTCCCCCCTTGCCTCTCTCCCATTGCCTCTCCCCCCTTGCCTCTCCCCCTCCCTCTCCCTCCACCATACCTGACCACATACCTACCAACCATCCCAGGTTACTTGTTCAGAGACCCGTGCACCCTCCCCCACCACCCTCTTCACCCTCCTCTGCCTCTTCAACTCCCAAGCCTCCTCCAACCTACACCCTTGGCTCGCCTCCCCTCCCCCTCCTCCCTCTCCGCCCTCCCCTCCTCCATCCCCCCCTCGCTCTCCCAACCCTCTCCCATCCCCACCTCCCCCTCGCCGCCCTCCTCCTTCTCCTCCTCTCCGTTCCTCTCCCCCTCCTCCCCCTGCCACCCGCTCCCCCCCTCCCCGCCCCCCTCCCCCTGTGCTGCGCCCCCCTTCCCCTCCCCCCCCGTCCCCCCCCCCGGCACGAGGGGCGGGTATGCTAGGGGGAGGGGGGAGGGCGGAGCTGCTGGCGCTTATCAACAGAGAGAGGTGGGTGGGGTGGGCGGAGTATTTTGTCTATTTGTGCGTGTGAACTTTGAGTCGACATTGAGTCCCCCTGTGCGGGGGCCGTCTGTGCTGGGGGGAGGGTGGAGGGCGGAGCTGCTGGCGCTTATCAACAGAGAGAGGTGGGTGGGCAGAGACTTTTGTCTATTTGTGTGCGTGCATGGGTGCGTGTGCACTGCATGGGTGCGTGTGCACTGCATGGGTGCGTGTGCACTGCATGGGTGCGTGTGCACTGCATGGGTGCGTGTGCGCTGCATGGGTGCGTGTGCGCTGCATGGGTGTATGTGCACTGCATGGGTGCATGTGCACTGCATGGGTGCATGTGCACTGCATGTGCACAGATGCTTGTGCATGGTTGCACGTCCATGGGTGGTGATGTTCTTGACATTCCACCACTGACTTTCCCCACCTAACCACTCTTTACCAAGCTTCACCACTCTCACCGCCCTTATATATCCCCCCTGTCACTTGCCTCTCTGCCCATGCCACCGCTCTCGTCCAATCAGGGCGCCTGCCAGCCTGTCAGCGCTGACCTGGAGCGATGCCTTGGCCACGTCAGCGCAGCAGTGGGCGGCCAATCAGACCGCAGCACTGTGCTCTGCCCCTCTAGATGCCTTCGGCTCGCTCCTCCCTCTAGCCGCTACAACCGTACCTACAGCCGTGGCTCGGGGTGTGAGCTGGTACGGGTTTGAGTCGGCTGCTGCCTCACCTGAAGGCAGCGCTCCCTCTGACGCCATCAGCGCATGGCTCTATGAAAAGCAGAACTACGATGTGAGTGTGTGATATGAGGAACAGAAATATGACGTGAGTTTCCTGCCTTAGTGTGTGTGAGCTGAATCCCCACCTTTTACTTTCTCTCACTCAACAGCTATCTTCTGTTGCATTTCTTCCTCCCCCGCTGTTTGCGTATCACCTTCCTCACCCCTTTTCTTTTGAGGCCGATGAAATAACAAGTGAGGAATATTTATGTATGAATGTATGTATATATATGTATATATATAGTACTTTATTCCTCGTGTCTTCTTGTGCCTACCCTCGCTTCCCCTCGCGCCACCAGCCAACCACCAAGACCTGCTCCCCTTTTGATTCGTGTGACAACTACCGTCAGATCGTCGGCATCACAACCACAGCTGTCGGATGTGGAACGGTGTGTGTGGTGGCATGGTTGTGATGTGGCGCGGTGAACATGCCTATTTTGTCTGCTTCTCCTTGCTCGTTCCCCGCTCATTTCCTCTCATTATCCTGGTTTTGTCTATTCATTCTCACCCTTTCACCCACCCCACCTTTCCACTCTTCATCCTCCTCTCCTTCTTTTCCCATCCCTCATCTCCCTCCCCTCTCCTTCATCTCCCCTCCCCACGTCTCCTTCCAATCTCCTTCCTCTCTCCTCCCCCTCTCCTCCCCTCACCTTCCTCCCTTATATCTCATTACTCTCCACCCCCCATGGTCTCTTCCTCTCTCCCCTTATTCTGCAGATTTCCTGCCTTGAGTCCAAAGCACCCATCCCCACCGGTCTCTACATCCTCATGTGCCACTTCGACCCCCCTGGTTACACGCTAACCACCCGCCGCCGCTTCTAGTTGCAGTTCATTCATTTTTTCTTTATTCTGTTCATTTCTGGAGTGTTGGTCCATTATGTGGTGGCTGAAGCTTGTAACATATGTGCTGCTTTGTCATTTATATAAAATTTTGATCGATCATAACTCTGTTCGTGCGAAGCATGTATAGCTGGAGTGTGTGAGATTGCATCTTTCCTTAGCCGCGACAAGTAAGGCTAGCTACCCCACAGGACTCAGTCATTGTGACTGATACATACAGTACAGGCGCCGGCAGTCGGTATCCCTTTGAGCCGACTCACAAGTCACCTACGGTATTAAGGCTAGCTACCCCACAGGACTCAGTCAGTGTGACTGATACATACAGTACAGGCGCCGGCAGTCGGTATCCCTTTCCAGACACTTCAGAGAATTCCAGGTGGTTTGCCAGGGATTAGGGGCTGCAAGAAAGGCCCTGGTACCGTAACTTCATTGGGGCTGCAAGAAAGGCCCCGCCACATGTCAGGAGTTGACACACACATCCCTGGTAATTCTCCAGCCTTTTTAGTAGGATGTATACGGCATCCATCTGGCTTGAGTTGAGATTTTGCAAGAGCGCATGGAAAAGAACTCTGTTACCCCGTTGCATTCAGAGAAGTCGGCCACATGGTAGGTCCATTCTTTTGCGTTGAATTGAATTACTAGGTGAATGTCAGAGAGTCAAATCGCACACGGGGGAGAAGAGGCGCCCGTTGGTGCATCTAAGCTCGTGAATCAAGTTGCCTGATTCTGTGCTGATGTCAGCAATGAGGAAATCGGCAAGGGATGATGTCAGCAGGTCAGCAAACACAACTGCTGCTTCCGGCAACGCATCTGCTCCTGCTGCTGCTGAGGCCAAACCTCCCAATCCATCTCTTTCCCCTCCTCCTCCTGCTTTTGCTCCCGCTCCTGCTGCATCGGCTGCAGCAGCAGCAGCAGCAGGCAGCAGAGCAGGTGGGTTGCGGGCGAGAGTGGAGTGTAGGAGGGCCCAACCACGCTCCTCCAGATGCTGCTGGATGGGCTGGGGAAAAATAGGGAGGGGAAGGGAGGGGAGGGGGCGCGTTTCACGAGCATCTCAAAGAGCCGCACTCTCCCCACCCCAAGTCCAGACTCAGCCACTGCAGCTGCTGCAATGCTCGCGAGGGTGCTATCTGATCTGAATGACTCGAATTGTTCGCTCACCGTGTTGATTACAATCAATCACTCCCCATTTCACGTGCATCCCCAGACAGCCACACTCTCCTCAGGTTCAGACTCAGCCACTGCAGCCGCTGCAATGCCTGCGAGACTGCTGCCTGCCATTGAATGACTCAAATAATTCGCTCACTGTGTTGATGAGAATCAATCACTCACCGCTTAACGACCATCCCCAGGCAGCCACACTCTCCTCAGGTTCAGACTCAGCCACTGCAGGCGCTGCAATGCCTGCGAGAGTGCTATGTGCCGTTTGAACGGCTCGAATCACTCTCTCACAGTATTGATTAGAGTCAATCACTCACCGTTTCACGTGCATCTCCAGATAGACACACTCTCCTGAGGTTGGGATTCAGCCACTGCAGCCGCTGCAGTGCTTGCGATACTTCTGCTGTCCGTTGATCTCCCCACTGTCCTGCTGTTTCTCCTGCCGTTTCTCCTGCCTTTTCTCCTGCCCCTTCAGTCCTTGCCTCATCCCCCCTGCTGACGTGTACAGCTGCTATTGGACGAGGCAGGTAGGGTTCCCCGCCCAGCGCTATAGTCACCGGGTCTAGAGTCAACAGATCGCCCTGCCCTATAGTCGCTATAAGCTCATCCACTGTTGTTGTGTTAGCCATCATTGTAGCACCACACAACCTTCCCATGGTGCTGGTGCTGCTGCCACCTCCCTCACTCTCTCCCTCACTCGCTCCCTCACTCCCTCCCTTTCCTTCGCTCCTCACTCTTCCCCCAGCATGCACACTCACTCGCCTCGGCCCATCCCTCCCCACCCATACGTGGGTTTCTAGTAGGGAGGAGTTGGGAGAGTGGAGGAGAGAGGAAATGGTAGGGGAGGGGGAGGAGGAAGAGGACGGGGAAGAAGCAGAAGCAGCAGCAAAGGAAGAAGCAATACGGGACGAGAGCACATGCGCTTGTGCACTAGCCTTCCCAGCCTTAGTCAACACAGCTGCCTCCTCTGTTGTATTCGGCAGATTCTTGGAATACCGGACTGCAAACGTCGTATTGGTAGCTGCGGTGGTGCCGGGAACAGTACCAGACGAGAGGGAGTGGAGGAGAGACGCTTGGCTGGCAACGGCGGGTGCCAGGCTGGCAGCCACGTGGAGACCCACGCTTACGTGGCGCTCGCGGTTGATGACGTGGCAGAGGTGGAGGGAGGGCCAGCGGAGGAGGAAGCGGGCGGCTTGGGATCGCCGCCAATGGAGCTGCAGGGAGGAGGGAGGGGGGAAGAAGGAGTATTGGGAAGGGGGGTGGGTGGAAGAGAAAAGGAGATGGGGAAGGAAGAAGCGGGTGGATTGGGATCGCCACCAGTGGAGCGGCAAGTGGGGGAGAGGAGAGGAGAGGGCATGGTTGGCGGAGGGGAAAGTCGGAGCGGGAGGGGTGAAAGGTGGCTGGAATGGAGGGTGATTCTGGTGTGGGTAAGGAGGGAGGGCCGGCGGAGGAGGAAGCGGGCAGCTTGGGATCGCCACCAGTGGAGATGCAGGGAGGAGGGAGGGGGAGGTGGGAGAGGGTGAGATTTCTCCTCAACCAACCTCTAGGATTTTTGTTTGAGCAACGATCGAAACTCCCATTTCTTTCTCATGGAAAAGAAGTTCCGACCATTATCATCAACGAAAATCCGTCCTACCTGGGCTTTTTCCTCCGACATGGTGTATAGTGCGCCCTGCCTATCCACCATAACGGGTCGCTGCTTATGGGGATAGCCCCATCGGCTCACAACCGCTGCTGCTGCTGATTGAATGGCTGATGCCAGGGATGCTGACGCTGCTTCCCCTGGTGCCCCTGCTGATGCTGCTGCTTCCGAGACTACTGACGCTGATGTTTCTGATCCTGCTGCTGCCGGTGCTGGTGCTGCAGCGGAGGCAGCAGCAGGAGCCGTTTCAGCAGCAACCGGGAAGCTGCCGTGCACCGGTGCGGGTGCATCAATGGGTTCTGTTGGAAAGTTAGTATCAATGCACACAACCTCCTGAGGCGACGCCAGGTGCTGCTGCAGCTGTGACAATATCTGTGACTGTGATTGTAATGAGGACTGTGACTGTAACGAGAAACAAGTGGGCATGTGACCGTTGGCGAGGAGGTGCGAGATGAGGGAGGAGCAGGCGGGGTGAGAGAGAGGGAAGAAAAAGCAGGTCCACTCGCTCGTTTGGTTCAGCTCTGCATGTTCAAGCAGAAGAATAGAGGGGCACACATAGGGAGGCAGGTGGGCATGTGACCGTTTGCTTGGAGGTGGGAGACGCGGGAGGAGCAGGCGGGGTGAGCGAGAGGGAAGAAAAAGCAGGTCCACTCGCTCGTTTGGTTCAGCTCTGCATGTTCAAGCAGAAGAATAGAGGGGCACACATAGGGAGGCAGGTGGGCATGTGACCGTTTGCTTGGAGGTGGGAGACGCGGGAGGAGCAGGCAGGGTGAGCGAGAGGGAAGAAAAAGCAGGTCCACTCGCTCGTTTGGTTCAGCTCTGCATGTTCAAGCAGAAGAATAGAGGGGCACACATAGGGAGGCAGGTGGGCATGTGACCGTTTGCTTGGAGGTGGGAGACGCGGGAGGAGCAGGCGGGGTGAGCGAGGGGGAAGAAGAAGCAGGTCCACTCGCCCGTTTGGTTCATCTCTGCATGTTCGCGATTGCACACACCACACACAGAGTCGCAGAGAGAGAGGCCCAGAGGTACGCACAAGAAAACAGAGACACGCAGAGGGAGCAGCATGAAGAATGGGTGAGGGGAAAGAAGAAGCAGGTCCCCTCGCCTGGTAAATTCAGCTCTTATGTTCATAAGTGTACACTCTCCTCCTCATGAGAAGTGTACATTCTCGCATGAGGAGGAGGAGCCCCCATGAGGAGGAGGAGCCCCCATGAGGAGGAGGAGCCCCCATGAGGAGGAGGAGCCCCCATGAGGAGGAGGAGCCCCCATGAGGAGGAGGAGCCCCCATGAGGAGGAGGAGCCCCCATGAGGAGGAGGAGCCCCCATGAGGAGGAGGAGCCCCCATGAGGAGGAGGAGCCCCCATGAGGAGGAGGAGCCCCCATGAGGAGGAGGAGCCCCCATGAGGAGGAGGAGCCCCCATGAGGAGGAGGAGCCCCCATGAGGAGGAGGAGCCCCCATGAGGAGGAGGAGCCCCTATGAGGAGGAGGAGCCCCCATGAGGAGCAACGTGCGGTTGTGCTGCACTGGTCCTTCCACCCACCCCCATAATCACCCACTCCCCCTATAGACAATATCGGCTAAATCACGCACCCCGGCAATCACTGTTGAGAGCCGGCCCGTAGCTGCCAGGCAGGGTAACCAACGTGCGGTTGTGCTGCATTGGGCCTCACATTCACCCTATAATCAACGACCCCTATAATCAGGCACCCTTCTCCCACTCAATCCCCTCACCCTCCCCCCCCAATACAATCACACCACCTCTGCAATCACTGTTGAGAGCAGGACCGTAGCTGCCAGGCAGGGCGACCAGCGTGCGGTTGTGCTGCATCGCCAGGCCCAAGAAATCCGCCATGACGTGGATCTGACTCGCGATGACGTGGAACGGGTCGGCGCTGACGTGGCGGTCGGTGGGCATCCACGGAACCACCAGCAACCGCCTCCCCTCACACGTTTCTCCCCCTCCTCCTCCTCCGCCTCCGCGTCCTTCTCCCCCTGCTGCTGCTGACGCCAGCATCTGGTGAGCCCAGATGTCCCGCTGTGCGACACGTGTCAGCGCGAGATTGGCTGCATCCGTGCCTTGCACCTGGGAAGGGGAGTGGGGAGAAGGGGAGTCGGGGGACAGGGATCGGGGGGAAGGGGGGTGGGAGTTGAAGCGCTTGTGCGCTGAGGAATGGCAGTGGAGGGAGGCGGGGAAAGGGGAGGGGGCGAGGATGGGAGGGGGCAGGGAGGAAGGGGAAAGGGGAGAGAGGAGGGAGAGAAAGGCGAGGGGAGGGGGAAGCCCAGGGAGGGGGAATAGAGGAGCGGGGAGGAGGGGAAGAGTGGGTGGGGGAAGTTGAAGGGTGTCTCCCGGCCTTCACTTGTTCAAGCTATACTTTGCGAGTCACAGGCGTTAATAACAGGCTACAGAAAAGCAGAGACGAACCTCACGAGTCAAACGATTTTACATACCCATGGAGTGCGGGGAGGACTTTTGAGTCAGAAAAGCAGAGACGAACCTCCCCGCACTCAAAAGTCGTCATTTTACATACCCATGGAGTGCGGGTAGGCAACCGATCACAGCATTCGGATAAGCTTTCCTCTTTACCACCAGTCTGCTGCTGCCACGTGTCCTCCCAGCGGATCCCATCCCCCCCTCCTCCCACTGTGCCTCGCCACGGTCCCCCTTCCGCCGCCTCCCGCGCAAGAGTACGGGCGGCGCAGTCAGCGAGATGAGGGGGAGGGGGGAGGTCGGGCGGAAGGGGGAGGGGCGATGGCGGAAGGAGGGAGCCCCGCTGCAGGCCATAGGCGCTCTCCCACGCCTGCAGGGGGACGGGATGGGGAAGCGCGGGGGCGGCGGCGGGGGAGGGAAGGGCAGGGCGAGTTGTGAGAAAAGATGGAGATAGCAGGTCGAAAATTGCGGAGTCACGCTAACAGGTGGGTGAATGGGAACGACGGAAGCGCGTACGCGATATAGAGCTAGAGTGGGCTGGTCCTTGGGTTCAGAGCCGAGGGGTTCCCATCCGTCCAGCAAGGCATCAGAGGCTGCTCCGCGCGGTTGAAGAAGCGCGCACCACACGGCGAGAGACAAGAACGACGCAAGGCGCCATTTTGACGCCATAAATGCAGGAATTTTGGTGTGCAGAGGAAGAACCCGCGTATTATAAATAAAATATATTTTCATGCGATATCTAGATATCCTGCTATAGCTCAGTTGGTAGAGCGGAGGACTGTAGATGAGCAATCCTTAGGTCACTGGTTCGAATCCGGTTGGCGGGATCCTTTTGCGCATATGTTGTTATTTTTTGTGGAGATCCACTCCTTGCCATGAAAGAGAGTTTTCTATATGGTGTCAGCCTGTGCCCGCCCTGCGAGTTGATTGTCCTGCAAGTTGATTCCATGTTTACAAGCAGGCAGACCTGGTGGACTATTCAGAAGTCCATTCAGCAGGGTACCCTACCTGCTTGACAGGTGATGAAAGGCATATGCATACCACCTTTAGATGGCAGAGTTAGGTGCTTCTGTTGGAGTGGAGTATTACTTCAATGCACGCACCCCAGTAGGCCTGAGGTGAGTGAGAGAGAGTTGCCTTGTCAATGCCCTGCACGCACAGTATTATTATTGAGTGAGAGGCACAGACAACCTACAGCTCATTTCAGAGTACTGCTAGTGGCTATACTTCCATACATCCTGTGTTTCAGTAAGCAATCCTGGGATCTTGTCACGTCAGCACTCAGCAGCAGCCTTGCTGATGGGGTTACATATCCTAGATTGTCAAGGACCTTGTGTCGGGTAGCCTGTCACGAAAGATGAACGCAGCCTTAGCAGCTCAACTAAGGCTTATGCCTTCCAGCTTCTCCTCTAGTCCACATTCCACGTCACTCCACACCCGATCCTTCGCCATAATCAGCACCAATCCCAGCCGTCGCTGTTCAACCAGCGGATTCGGATCCGCTGACGTGGCACGCGCCATTCTCTCTTCCAGCGACTCGTTCTTGCGGGGATCTGCGGGATCCGCGGCGGCAGACGCGCGACGAAACTCGACAGTGTCGTGAAGGATAATATTCCCCTCCTTGTCCAGGCAGTTGAACCGGCCTACAAACACTCGACCGTCCGTTATGCCGATCCGGAGCCGTCTCTGAAGAAGGCGACGCGCTCCTGCCATAGCGGGTCTTTTGACGGATTCGTTATAGTCCGATTCTGGTACAGTTACGGATGGCGAGCTGGGAAGCGCAGGATCCGGGTCCGGTATATCCGCGCGGTGCGACGCTTGAACCACCATAGCTCAAAAGCAGCAGGCGGTAACACGAAAGATGGGACTGATGTTTCTGGTGTGATCTGGAATGAATGTCACAACACGGTGCACGTAACAGCCAGCACAAAACGGACCCCTGAAGCAGCGTATGAAGATAAAGCGCTACAAGAATAAAGCAGACACACAGGAAGAACGAAATACACGGTGATTGTGCCGACGCCGGATGTATAATGCGGCGACAAGCGAGGACGCAGGGACGCAAGCAGAGACAATTCTGAGCAACGAGGAACGAACGAAGAGCTTGGGAGAAAGAGAAGCTTGGGGAGAGAATTTGGGAAAGCACGAATGGGGGGACTTGGTGAAGGTCGGAACCTCCGATAATGAGGGCCGCGTAACATTTGGAAGCTGGATAAAGCGGGGTTGTTAAAGCAAGGGTGCACATTCCTGGGGGTGGCTTTTGGGTGTATTGTCAGTGTGCTGCGCACCCTTTGGCGCTAGCTGATTCGAGGGAGAATTGTGCAGGGTACGTAAGGCTGGTGCGAAGAATTGGAACAAGGCAGGCGATGCCTACCAGTTTCGTTCGAATGTTTGGTTGGGGGAATACACCGAAGGGAGAGAGGGCTCAGAGAGGAAAGAGGACAGAGAAGGGGGATAGGACAGGGCGGAGAGGGGGCATAGGAATGGGAGGGGAGATAGGACTGGGACACGAGATAGGACAGGGCAGGGAGGTAGGGCACGTGAGGGGAGAGAGGACAGGGAAGGGGATGGCAGGGAAGGGAGATGACAGGGAAGGGAGAGATGGCAGGGAAGGGAGAGATGGCAGGGAAGGGAGAGATGGCAGGGAAGGGAGAGATGGCAGGGAAGGGAGATGACAGGGAAGGGAGAGATGGCAGGGAAAGGAGAGATGACAGGGAAGGGAGGGATGACAGGGAAGGGAGAGATGACAGGGAAGAGAGAGATGACAGAGAAGGGAGAGATGACAGGGAAGGGAGAGATGGCAGGGAAGGGAGAGATGACAGGGAAGGGAGAGATGGCAGGGAAAGGAGAGATGACAGGGAAGGGAGGGATGACAGGGAAGGGAGAGATGACAGGGAAGAGAGAGATGACAGGGAAGGGAGAGATGACAGGGAAGGGAGAGATGGCAGGGAAGGGAGATGGCAGGGAAGGGAGAGATGACAGGGAAGGGAGAGATGACAGGGAAGAGAGAGATGACAGGGAAGGGAGAGATGACAGGGAAGGGAGAGATGGCAGGGAAGGGAGATGACAGGGAAGGGAGAGATGACAGGGAAGGGAGAGATGGCAGGGAAGGGAGATGGCAGGGAAGGGAGAGATGACAGGGAAGGGAGAGATGACAGGGAAGGGAGATGACAGGGAAGGGAGAGATGACAGGGAAGGGAGAGATGACAGGGAAGGGAGAGATGGCAGGGAAGGGAGATGGCAGGGAAGGGAGAGATGACAGGGAAGGGAGAGATGACAGGGAAGGGAGATGACAGGGAAGGGAGAGATGACAGGGAAGGGAGAGATGACAGGGAAGGGAAATGGAAGGGAAGGGAGAGATGACAGGGAAGGGAGAGATGGCAGGGAAGGGAGAGATGGCAGGGAAGGGAGAGATGGCAGGGAAGGGAGAAAGGTAAGGGGCCGTTTTGTCAGGGAGGGGATGTAGGGCGAGATTGGATGTAGGTCAGAGAAGGGAGATAGGACAAGGGAAGGGGATAGAATGGAGAGGGGGGCGATTGGTTTTGCATGGTGGCGCTCGGAGTTACGATGCGAAGAGTACGGACCTGGTTAGCGTTGGCGTGGGAGTCGTATTATGAAGCGGAAAGTAAGCGCTTCGCAGAGGCGCGTCGATGACAGCGCAGAGAATGCGCGGAAGGCGTGCAGTGACGGCGCGGTAGTCTCGCCGCGCGGGCCTAGATGCCGTGATTTGAGTGCTCAGTCGCGGCGCTCTGGGTCGGTCGCGGCGATGGCGATAGGACACAGAGGGAGGGTCGGACCGGGGCTGGATAGAGGGCAGGGAGGGGAGGGATTGGAGCCAGCAAATAGCGGAGTTTGGGAGTGAGGGGAGTTAGAAACCGAGTGTTTCGCTGACACGATGGATAATTCGGTGACTAAACGAAGTGGGGGATTGTTTTTGAGACGATGTAAGGCCTGGACCTAGACCACGGCATGGCGGTGGTATCCGGACCTACTGCGCGAGGGCGTGTCCTTCGTAAAGTGGCGTGGAGTGGGCTGCGTCGTGGGGGCTATGATAGCACTGGATTTCACGGCGCGATACGCGCGATTTGAGTGCGCGGTAGTCTCGACGCCTCCGGTGGGGAGATCCCAGCGCGCGGTCGCGGCGAATCGCGCGCTCGGTTCCCGCGGGGTACGGGAGCGGACGCGTTGAAATGCGGGTGCGATAAGGTAATGGGCGGCCGCGGTGAGAACGATGGGCACCGGCGGGAGCTATGTTGTGATGGTGGGAGAGTGTCCCGTGCGCGTGCAGCTCTAGTTATTAGCGGGAAACCCAGCTCTCAGGGCGGTGCGCTGTGGGAAGTGGGAGGTGGGGTATGAGTTGCTGGGAATACGAGAGTCACCTGCGGTTTGATTCACACTCAAGTTCCCAACTCCCTATCACCCCCGTCGCTACTGATGGGGGAGCGAGCGAATACCGCTCACCTTCGCCAACACTAAATATTTGTTCGTGTCTCACTCCCAACCACAAACCGGGTAACTACGGAAGGCAAATGATAAACCTTGCCTCCACCCCCTTCAAAGTGCACCCTTGCTTTAACTTCAATACAGTGGCCTTCGCTTCACCCTACACCTACAACAAGGTTTATCCGGTTTGGCCCAATCCCAAGGCCCTCCCAAACTCCACAAAGCAGAATCAGCAATCCCACCATCAGTAGTTCTGGTCTTCCTCTATTGTCAGGAGACGAAGTGTTTTAGGGGTGTTCAGTTCACACAACCTTGCTCTGTTTCCTAGACTCCTGGTCTAGATCCTCGGACATTGTGCTTAGTGCCGTCAGCCTCACGCGCGACTCGTTTTGTCGCCAAACGAAGCTCTAGTACTCGTGTGATCGTACGCGTTTGAGCGATCAAATCAATGGCCTGTGCGGCGATGTCGCATGCGATTAGGCCAGCGATGACGGCGACAAACGGTGCGATTGCGTCACAGCTATCGAGTCGACTGTCGTCAGCGACAAGCGTCTCATTGTTCTCGCTGAGAACTGTTTCGCTACAATGCAGAAGCCGGTCATCTGTAAGGTGAGCATCAGCCACGTGGCAACCTATAAACGTCGACAGCGCGGTTATTTCTCGGTGAATCGCGACAATGTTTCTGCTTCTATACGTGAGTAACGGGGCGTTCGAACGAATGCGTCAAGACGCAATGTTTCGCTTTGATATGCGTCTTCGGTGGCAATTCGCCGTCGCCAGACGGTTATCATGCCATGTAGTTATTTCCACATTGTAGGACGTCTCAAAACTCAATCATCTGAACCTCGACGTTTTAATGCGTCTTTCGTGCAATGCAGGGGTTGCGACTTTGCTTAACAGTTGCATGTCTGCGTATTTCTTTCCCTTTCTCCTCTCCATCCCCCTTCGCCTTCTCTATCCCTCTGTACCGATTCCCGCCACTGCAGCCGCTCTAACCGCCTGCGAATCACGTGCAACGCTGCTTCGCCAGGCGCGCAGCCCGCGGAAGACCCCTACCAGGTGCTGGGAGTCCGTCCCCTGGACTCGTTCGACGCCATCAAGCTGGCGCACCGGAAGAAGCTGCGGGACGCGGAGGGCAAGGGGGACGAGGCGGAGATAGAGCGGGTGAGCGGGGGAGGGGGAGGGGAGAGGGGTGGGGAGAGAGGTTTGGGGGATAGGGGGACGGGGTGGGGATTGTGAGGCCTCAGAACGGCGCACAAGAAGAAGCTGCGGGACACAGAGGACAAGAGGGACGAGGCGGAAATAGAGCGGGTGAGAAAAGGGGGAGTGGGAGTGGGGAAATTGTGTTAAAGAGGGAACAGAGTGAGGGGGGAGCGTGAGGCCCCAGCATGGCACAGAGAGAAGCTGCGGGACGCGGAGGGGAAGGGGGACGAGGTGGAGATAGAGCGGGTGGAGGGGGGGGGGAGGGGGGGGATAGTGGGAAGGGAAGTGCATGATTAGGGGGAGGGGGAGTGAGGAGGAAGCGGAGGTTGGGGGGCGTGGAAGGCAAAGGGGACGAGGCGGAAATAGAGCAGATGAGAGGGGGGAAATAGAGCAGATGAGAGGAGGGTAGTGAGGCCGAGAGGGAGATGTTGGAGGCAAGGACGCAGGTTGGTTGGGATGGGAATGCTGAGGAAAAGGGTGACGGTGTGGGAGGACCCCACCGTCCACGATGTGAGGGATATCATATCAAGCTTGCCGACCAGACGGGCTTTGCTCCCTCTCTCCTCTTCCCTCGCTCGCACCTTTCCGCCCTCCGTTCCATCACTGTCCAGATCGACAGGGCATTCGATTCGATGCCATAATGATGCGGCAGCTCACCATGCGCAAGCATTGCGTCACCTATGGGTCCCTCGAGGTCTCAGAGGACATCAAGTTTGCCGACCAGATGGACTTTGCTCCCTTCTATTCCCCCATCCACCTCATGCACCACCCCTATCCTTGCAGATCGACAAGGCATACGATGCCATCATGATGCGCCAGCTCACCATGCGCAAGAAGGGCGTCACATATGGCTCTCTCGAGGTGTCAAAGGACATCAAGTTTGCCGACCAGACAAACTTCCTCCCATGGCTGCCGCGCTACGAGAAGGCGGACAACAAGGGCATCCTCATTAATGCTGCTGTCTCTGCCGTCATGGTAACAGCATAACGTGGTAACCGTGTGACCTAACACCATAGCAAACAAGCTCCGGTACGAGAAGTCTGACAACAAGGGCATCCTCATTAATGCTGCTGTCTCTGCTGTCATGGTAATGCTGTAACACCGTAGCCACTGTAACACTGTAAGAAAAGCAGGCAACCACGTGGACTTCCTCCTGTGATGGCTGCGCTACAAGAAGGCGGACAACAAGGGCATCCTCATCAACGCTGCTGTCTCTGCCGTCATGGTAACCCTAAACACAGTAATGTCGTAACCACTGAATGCTGTAACAGAACCAGACAACCAGACAAACTTCCTCCCATGGCTGCCGCGCTACGAGAAGGCGGACAACAAGGGCATCCTCATCAACGCTGCTGTCTCTGCCGTCATGGTAACAGCATAACGTGGTAACCGTGTGACCTAACACCATAGCAAACAAGCTCTGGTACGAGAAGTCTGACAACAAGGGCATCTTCATCAACGCTGCTGTCTCTGCTGTCATGGTAACCCTGTAACATGCTAAAAGTGTAACACTGTAGTTACTGTTGCACAAACACCATAGCGATGATGACCATGCTATGAGAAGGCGGGCAACAAGAGCATCCTCATCAACGCTGCTGTCTCTGCCGTCATGGTAATGCCATAACATGGTAACAGTGTTACACCGTAGTGACTGTAACGCTAACACCGTAGCGATTATGACCATGCTATGAGAAGGCGGACAACAAGAGCATCCTCTCTGTCTCAGCCATTATGGTAACACGATAACACCGTAGGCATTGTAAAACTAACAGCATACCAATGTTAACTCTGTAATACCACTGGAGCACTGTAGCACTATATGGAACGCTGTGTCATCATTCCTCCGTATCTCTCTCTGTCCAATCCCCGCTTTCTCTCTGCTTTCCACGTGTGCAGGCGGTGTGGATGGTGGGGGCGCAGAGCACGGACTGGAAGATCCTGCAGTTCCTCCTCTCCTTCTACATCTTCCTCCTCTCCATGAAGCTCCATGCACATTCCCCCCCGCTCCCAATCCTTGCCGCTCCCGCCCTCCCTCCCTCCCAATCCTTGCCACTCCTTCCCTCCCTTCCAATCCTTGCCTCTCTCTGCCTGCAGGCGGTGTGGATGGTGGGGGCGCAGAGCACGGACTGGAAGATCCTGCAGTTCCTCCTCTCCTTCTACATCTTCCAGCTCTTCATGAAGCTTGACCCCTTCTACCCGCAAAACACTGTACGCAATTACTCTTCTACACCCCAACCTCAATCCAAAGCATCCGTCAAACTCAACTTTCACACCGTCCTTTCCCGTCCCCTGAAAAACCCAAAGTCTGCTCTGTTTGCTCCTTGTGTTTCTTGCTGTTGTACTCAATCTCTCCTGGTGGTTCTCAACCATTGGTGCAGGAGGAGGGGGAGAAGAGATGGCAGAGGAACGGGCGGCGACTCACACGGGCGCTTAGCCTTGTCTTTGGCGTCATTGCTCTTGCCTCTTTGGTATGGATGGGAGGGACTCGTGCAATCATATCGGCTCGCAATGGTGGTAATCATGCCACGGCATTTCGGATGAAGTCTCTGCACGACTTGACACAAACTTGTTTTTGCCATTTCAGGTTCACACTCTCCTGATTAAGGCCTACTCGCTTGCTGGGATGTATGTTCCACGTGCACTTTACACCTTCCAGGTGAGGCTTGGAAACTGCTTTTCCACCGTTCCATTCTCTTGATCAGCGGAAACCAGGGTACTGTAACTAGTGAGGGGCATACCTCTAATTCTGCATTAACCATTGTGTTGTGTGTTTACAGGAAACGTTCATCACCCTCTTCACAAGCGTCAGTTTGTTCTTCATGGGATCATACTACCGATGAGCTCAAATGTGTGACTGACAATGGATGGTGTAGAGCTTTCTTAGTTTACTAGGAGACATAAATAAACTGTAACAAGTACTTCATGTTACACGCCTTGAAAATTGGCGGTAGAGCCAAAGCATGATCTTTTCGTCTGTCCGTGACGTGGCCCCTGATCTTCCGAGCTCACCCACCCAACTTCACCCTACCACTCCGCTCACCCAAGCCTCACCCACGCCTTTATTCCAGCGCGGCGGAAAGACCAAACCTCACCCGCAACCTCCCGCGAGGGGCATCCCCGCACGGCGGCAATTTCTAGGTAGGCGCTCTGGGTTGCTAGAAGACCGCGCTTTTCTGCAAAGGCTCCGCCCTGCTGCGGAGAGCTCGAGACATTCTTCCGCTTCCGCTTCCGCGCGCGCCTCAGGTTTGATCCTGCTGTTGCACCCTCCACTATTCCATCTTCTTCCGCTTCCATATTCCCTAACTACTTATGGCGGAACGGCCTTATTTCTCCTACTTTTGGCGGATCTGTTGCTCCATACCTAATTAGACCTCGGCTCGTGGTCCGATTAGGAGTTAGTCAAACGGCTTTTGCGTCGTGCAGAATAGGGCCGTCATACCATACCGCATTATTAGCACCACATTTGTGTGTTACGCCACTTGATTCAGCCTGAAGCTCCTTACCTAAAATTATAATTACTCTCACCCTCTAACGGCTGTCGTCTCGCGAAGCCCGATGCGCATGTTTATCTTAATCGTTTCCTTATGAAGAACGTCAAGTGACCCAAATCACTCTCTTTCCTTCTTCGACATTGTGAGTCTCCAAGTCTCGCTTCCCTTAATCGTGCTCTATCTTAGCCAATCGCTAGACACCATAAAATCAGTAACCGTACTAACCTTTTCAAGTCGAACATTTCGATCCCTATTTGATCGCTTAGTCGAAACCCGAAACCGTGGCGTATCAGTTTCCGTACACATTTTTACCAACATCACATTTCATCCCACATTTCCTGCTACTGCAGACTTAGGGAGGGGGAACTATGGCGGAGGCATCAGAGCGCGCACCTGGGAACCCGTGGCTGCACGTGCGACGAGAACCGTTCGATTTCGGCCTCCTGCCTATCCCCGCGATCGCATCGTACAAGGAAGCGTCCACTGAAACCCTAAAGCTCCTCCGTCAGCGCCTCATCGACGCGTCTTTAAACTCCGAAGGCGCCTCGACCACCTCCCCGACTCGCGACGGCTCGCAAGAGCCACGTGTCACATGCGAGGCGATAGAATCGTGCCTGAAGCTCTCTAAAGACCAAGCGCGGCTCGTTCTAGACACGCTAGCGTCCGTTCTCCTCACCGGCAGCGAAGACATCGATTCGCTCTCCGACGCGTCGCCGTCAGATGCGGCGAAGATCGGAACGGACGTGGACCTGCTGTTGCTCTTCCTCTTCCTCCAGCGGTACCGCCGCGTTCCCAACCGCTCGTCGCGCGACGCTGCTGTGCTCGCGGACGTGTGGCCGCAGGGGCCGTCGCCGTTCGACTCTGTCTCCCCCACCGCTACCTCCGCCCTCCAGGTAACGTTTTCTCTCGGTATATTTCAAGCGAATGACCTTTAATAGGAAAAAAAACACGTATAGATATTCGGAGGGGCCGTTGCCGCAATGCTGCTGTGCGCACCGGTGTCTGATAAGTGAGTCGACAAAAATCACGTTCGATAGAGGGGGAAAATCCGTGACAATCCTTGTTACCGAGGGGCCGCCGCCGCAATGCGCTGTGCGCGCCGATGTCTGATAAGCGAGTCAGCAAAAACGCACGTCTGATAGAGGGGGAAATCCTCGCTCTTACTCGTCACCCAGATGTCTAGCTGCTGGCTAGAAATGCTGCTGTGCGCCAGCGTCTGGCTGCAGGGGCCGATGCCGCCGCTCGATTCCGTAGCCGAACGCAGAGAGCGTTTATGAAAATTTTGAGGTATTGTAGGTGGATAGAAAATGTAATGACGAAGCATCTGGCGTTCAAAAGCCAGATACTAACGCTCGTCCCGTGATGCCGTTGTGTTCGGCGATGTGAGCCCACATAACTCGTCGCCGCGCTTGATGCGGTTTCACCTACTGTAACCTCTGCTGCGCACTTTTCCCCCGACGGCATTCTGAGCTGGTTATATATTCGATGTTTTAGCGTGATGGCTAAAACGATGTTTGTGTGGCATTGGGGACGTGAATGGTCCTGTATCGTTGTCATTACGGCGAATAGAGCGTGAGGCATTGTTAATACTGCTCGGCGAATGCAGCTCTAAACGGGTTCGCACATGTTTTTCCTGTCTCCGCGATGTGCCTAGGCGAGTCGTAAGACGTCTCGGAGGTTGCTTGGAGAAGTCACCGGTGACATAGTTGTGGGAATGTCGGAGCTGATTATAACGAAAGTTTGAGCAGAGGAGCGAACAGTAGAGTACCGAGCCGGCCGGATGCTGGCTGCGCCATTTAGGGCATTTTCGGGCATCATCGCGCTCATAGCAAGTCTCGTGTGATCGTCGCTCATTGCTTTAGGGTTACTAGTTCCTTCAGTTCCGGTACCAGGTTGACTCTGGGATTGCATTGTCTCACTCAGCGTATCAGTACGTTCCGAAACCTGTCACGCATTGACCTCCGTTTCCACTGCCTGTCTGACTCTCCTTCTCCCTTGTTTTCGGCTTGAACACGTCATCATTACGCCAACAGATAAAGACAAGCCTGGCCACCCGGCAGCGGTTCCAAACGGGGCATGCGGAGGAGGAGCAGCAGCAGCTGTCGTTTCTGCAGAAGAACCTTCCCGCCGTGCTACAGCTGCTGGCGGAGCATGGCTCTGATGCTGCTGGTAGTGGCGACGGCACGGAACCCGGCACACAAGTGAGTTATAGAGTGCTCCTTGTTGTGCTGTAGCACTTAGAGATCCTTTGCAGGCAGAAGAACCTGCCCGCCGTGTTACAGCTGCTGACGGAACATGGCTCTGACGGTGCTGGTAGTGAGACGGCACGGAGCCCGGCGCACAGGTGAGTTATAGATCCTTTGCAGGCACAAGAACCTGCCCGCCGTGTTGCAGCTGCTGGCGGAGCATGGCTCTGACGTTGCTGGTATTGGGACGGCACGGAACCCGGCACACAGGTGAGTGAGGGATTGAGCGCTCACCCACTCTATTTCTCCCTTGTGTCCCCAAGCTCCTCCTTTTACACGGCGCCACATCTTCTAGTGTCACCGCTTATTAATTCGGCTCTACACTCTATCCCTCTCTTTTCCACCCTCCCTCGTCGTCCCACCACCCCATCCCTCCCATCCTCTCCATTCCCCTCTGTCCCATCCCATCCCTTCCCTTCCTCTCGCCCTATTCCTCCCTTTCTCCCGTCCGATTCTTCCCTTCCTCCAAGCCTATCGCTTTCCTTTCTCCCATCTTTTCCTCCCAGGCTTTCCCTGATCTCTCCCCACCTCCCATGTCCCCCTATATGCCCCCGAACCTCCCTCCCCCTCTCTTCCGTCCCCAACCCCCGCCCCCTCCCTCCCATTCAGGTCATCTCTATCGACAAGTTCGAGTTGCTCGGTCTCTTCCTTCGGGTCAACCGACCCGGAGTCTCCTCCCTCCTCCTATCCCAAGTCGCTCCTTTCTTTGCCGAAGCTGACGCGGCCATGCCTCCTGCGCCCGTACCTCTCTCCGTGGCTCAAGACTGGCTCGGCCCGAGGCTCTGCTGCACGTCCGACCACGGCCCGGACCTAAGGCCGCAGTCCCCCTCCCGCCCCGCCAAGGTCCCCGCGGATAGGGGCGGAGATTCCGCCGCCTCCCCCACCAAAAGCGGAGATACGCCCATGGGGGAAGGGGGAGCAGTTGCGGGGAGCGGGGCAGGCGCAGGGGCGGAGGTTCAGGGATCGCCTAGAGGGGCCGCGGCCAATGGGGCGATGACAGGTGGCGTGCTGTCGCGGCGTGTGTGGGCGGCGGCAGGGATGACGACCGTTGATGGGGTTGCGAAGATGTCGGTTCTCAAGGGGGAGACGGAGGTTGACAGCAGCTGCGTGCGGGTAAGTCCCTGGTCTGACTCCCTCCTCTGAATCCCTCGTCTGTCTCCTCTTTTGAGTCCTTCCCCTCTGAATCTTTGCTCTCGGAGAGATGTAATCAGCCTTTGGATGGGGTTGCAAAGATGTTGGTGCTTAAGGAGGAGACTGAGATGGACAGCAGCTGCGTGCGGGTAAGACCCCCCCCCTCAACCCCCCTCCCCCCCTCTTCTGACTCCCACTTTCGAGTCCCTTCCCTTGGAATCTTTGCTCTCGGTGAGATGTGGCGGTGCCTGTGGATGGGGTTGCAAAGATGTTGGTGCTTAAGGAGAAGACTGAGATGGACAGCAGCTGCGTGCGGGTGAGTCGTTCCCCCCTCCTTTGGGAAAAAAATCGAAAGAAAACAACGTCAAACAGTGCCTAAATGCTAAAGTAACGAAGTGCGCCCAAGTGTGGTGTGGCTGGAACGCGGTGATGGTCGAAAACAAGTACCCACACTCGAACCCCCTGCACTCCCACCCTCTCACGCTCCCACTCCCACCCTCTCGCGCTCCCACCCTCACCACACGCTGCTCCTTCTCAGCCTGCCAACCAGAAACTCCTTCGCCTTCCCGCTCTACTCCCCACTCAGCCCGCCTCTCAAAACCCCCTCTCCTCCCATTTCCCCCGCCCCCTCCCTTCCCTCCTTCCCGCACCTTGAATCACCTTCCGCCTTCCTCTCCTCGCCCTTATCCCCCCCTCTTCGTTCTCCCCGCACACATTTGTTCCCTGCCAATGTCACACCTTCCACGACCCGTACCTACCGGCTGAAATCCCTTCTTTTTTACTCCCTGTCCCACATAACCCTAACCTCCTTTCTCCCCTCCAGGCGGCACGCTGCAATGAGAGTGTGATGTGATCTACGTGCTCCTTCTCTCTGGAACACTTACTCTGCCTCCCTCCTGCCTCTTCCCCCCTGCGCCCCCCCCCCTCCCCCCAGGTGGCGCACTGTCACGACAGTGTGATCTACGTGCTCGCGCCTCTCAAGTACGCCTCCGTTATTGGCTGCTCCGATTCCATTGTGGTGCTGGGCGCCGTGGGCAAGGTAAGAGGGAGCGAGGACGAGATGAAGAGGGGAGGGGGAGGAATAGAGCCAAAGTGGTGGGGCGTGGGCATGTGCAGTCGCTTCTCTCGCGCCTCTCAAGTACGCCTCCGTTATTGGCTGCTCCGACTCCATTGTGGTGCTGGGCGCCGTGGGCAAGGTAAGAGGGAGGAAGGTGAATGGTAGAGGAGGGAGGGTGAACGATAGAGAGAGGAGGGGTGAAGGGTAGAGAGGAGGGGTGAAAGGTAGAGAGAGGAGGGGTGAAGGGTAGAGACAGGAAGGGTGAAGGGCAGAGGGGAGAAGGGTAGAGGGCGGAGGGGTGAAGGGAAGAGAATGGAGGGTGAAGTGGACGAGGGTTGAAGGAGAGCAAGAGAGAGGAAGGATGAAAGGGAGAGAGGGGAGGGGCTTATACAAAGTGCCACTAGACATGCCCCCAATCAAACACGCTCCCTCCTCCCAACCCGCCCCCACACACACCCCACTCCGCAATCCCCTCCTCCCTCCTCAGGTGGTTTTCGTGGAAGCTTGTGAGCGTTTGACCCTCATCGCCCCGTGCGCGCGCATCCGCATAGCCAACTGCCCATTCCATCCTCCTCTTCCTCTTCCTACCCTGCCCCCTCCCCTTCTTCCCTCCCTGCCAGGTGGTGCGAGTGGAAGCCTGTGAACGCCTGACCCTCATCGCCCCGTGTGCGCGCATCCGCATAGCCAACTGCCGCGAGTGCGTGTTCTACCTCGGCTGCAACTCCCGCCCCGTCATTCTCGGAGACAACCACTCCCTCCAAATCGCCCCTTACAACACCTTCTACCCCCGCCTCGACTACCACCTCGCAAAGGTCGGGGTGGACCCTGCTGTGAACAAATGGGACCTGCCGTTAGCGCTGGGATCGCTAGATGCTGCTGCTGCCGCTGGTGCTGCCGGTGCTGGTACTGCTGCTGGTGGCGCTGGTGGTTCGGCTGGTGCTGGGGGGGCGGGTGGAGTGGAAGGGGAGGGGGCGAAGGAGGGAGCGGCGGCCGCGGCGCTTGATTCGGCGATTCTGATGCCTCCTGAGAAGTTTGTGCCGTTTGTGGTGAGTCTCTTGTCATGTCATGCAACGTCATGTCATGTCATGTCATGTCATGTCATTGTCATGTCATTGTCATGTCATGTCATGTCATTGTCATGTCATGTCATGCAACGTCATGTCATGTCATGTCATGTCATGTCAGTCACCTCGTCCGTTCCAGTGCTGGTTCAGCTTTTCCGTGATTCGGCGATTCTGATGCTCCTGAGAAGTTTGTGCCGTTTGTGGTGAGTGGCATGCCATGTCACGTCAGTCAGTCACCTCATCCAGTGCTTGTTCAGCTTCCCTTGCTTGTTTGGGGTTAGTCGTTTTCCTAGTCCACATGGCCCCAGCCTCTCTGTTTGCCGCCAGTCCACAAGCCCTTCAATCCTAATTTTATATCCCCTTCCCCTCTCCCCCTCTTCTCGGCCCCCTTCCCCCCCCATTCCTCTCCTTTCTCAACGCAACAGGTTCCGTTCCGGACGCAGCAGGAGCAGCCAGGCGGAGGGGGAGGTGCCAGTCCACTGCTGCAGCAGGCCACGCAGTTTCCTTGTATGGAAAGGGAATCAAGCTTATCACATCCCCACACCTCCCTTGTTGCCATCACACCAGGTTCCATTTCGGACGCAGCAGGAGCAGCCGGGCGGAGGAGGCGGTGCCAGTCCGCTGCTGCAGCAGGCCACGCGGGCCAACCCATTTGCTCTGCCCAAGACATACCTCATCGCCCTGCAGCACAAGGTGTGTTACTCATTGCTGTTGAATACTCTTCACCACAAGGTACGTAACTCATCACCACAGCAGTCCGCTGCTGCAGCAGGCCACGCGGGCCAACCCGTTTGCGCTGCAGCACAAGGTGTGTGGATGGGTGCCCTTTGTGTTTAGGTACTGGTACTTACTGCTGCAGCAGGCGACACGGGCTAACCCGTTTGCGCTGCAGCACAAGGGATGAGAGTCGCTGCCTTGAACGCGCTGCGGCACAAGGTATGAGAGTCGCTGCCTTGAATGCGCTGCGGCACAAGGTATGAGAGTCGCTGCCTTGAATGCGCTGCGGCTCAAGGTATGAGAGTCGCTGCCTTGAATGCGCTGCAGCACACGGCACATGGCTGGGATCCCTTGAATGCCTTGGACCACAGAGGTGCAAGCAGCCATTGCTTCTGACGTCTCTGCTGTACCACGCCTCTCTTTGCTCGCCTCTTTCCTCTCTGTACACCTCACCACCCCTCTTCCTTTCTTTTCTCCCCTGTCTCCTCCCTGATGTGTGACAGACCAAGACGGTGGAGAGTCTGAGGCAGACGCTCAAGACAGCGGTGCTCGACGAGGGGCGGAAGAGGGAGCTGACAAACGTCATCCAGGCACACTTCAAGGAGTGGCTCCTCAGTCAGTGCCTCCTCCCCTTCGCATTGCCTCCTCTCTTATATAATACATATGCCTCATTCCCTAAGAGGGAGCTGACAAACGTCATCCAGGCACACTTCAAGGAGTGGCTCCTCAGTCAGTGCCTCTTTCCTGCATCTGGCCCCCTGATTTTTGTCTTCTTTAGTGATTATGCCTCGTCTTTGTGATGCCTCCTCCCTAGCAATGCCTCTTCCCTAGCAATGCCTCTTGAACGTCATCCAGGCACACTTCAAGGAGTGGCTTTTCAGTCAGTCGCTCCCTTCCTCCCTCCACCTTTTTTGTCAGTCAGGGCGCCTTGACAGGGACCTGTAGCACCTGCTGAGAGGGGGCGAGAGCCCTAGCACCTGGTCACTCTGCTTCTACCTGCTTCTTCTGCCCCTTCCCACCCCATGTGTGCTCTGGCTGCTGCAGCATCGGGCAACATTCGGCAGGTGTACGATCTCGCACGCCTTGACAGGGACCCCTAGCACCGTGGCTGGTCAGAGAGGGCCCTTGCACCTGGTCAGGGGAACCCCAGCAGTAGCTTTTCGGGAGTAGTCCCTATCTTGCCCATTCTCTACGTCTGTTCCTTAGCTTTCCATCATTCACTTACACTCACCCGTCTCTCTATCCCTATACACCAACCAACCAATCCTAAGCAACGCAGTGCTCTGCAAGAGTAGACCGCTGCTTGTATTCCAAGCAGCTGTGTTTGCATGTGCTTTATCCACCAACAACACGGCAACCAACTTGCCTGAATTACAGACATCAGCTAATTCTAGAACTGCCCTGGGATCGGGTGGGTGAATGGAGGTTTTTCCTCCCAGATGGATCTGTGCCGTAGGGAAGAGATGGGAAGGAAGTTGTCTTCTTGAGGCTACCTGCCGGTATCAATCAAGCTGGTGCTTTATCTAGGTGCCTTGGGGCTAAGCTTCTTTTCCGAGGAGGGTTGGGGGGAGCAAGAACATGGATATGGGTGGTCATTTTCTAGATTATGTTAAGCATTTGATAACACTGAAGGCCCACTTGTTTGTGATTATTGTGAATCGGCTGTAGCTCAATATTGTGGCTGTAACAATGGAAACAAATACATGGAAATGAGGACTGCGCCTTAAATTCCGTCAGCAACAATCCATTTGTAATGTCATTACGTGGATATTAGGGAAATGATGAATCATCATACAGGTATTATGTAGTGTGATGTTATATATTTACATGCAATGCAGAGATAAGGGAATAAGGTTTTGTGTAATGATTTCGCGCAGTACAGCGATTGGATGAGAGAATTTAGATTTTGGCGACGCTTTTTCCCCGATTATGACGAGATGCCACAATACCGGCTGATAACGAACTCTTCGCCAACGTTCATTTGATTCCACGTGGATCAGAATACCCTGAAGGTCACAAAATCGGTCTGCCTTATCGGGTTGGAGCTCACCGATTGGTTGACGGACCCAGTGTGCGAAATTCTGATTGAACGGCGCCACCTGTCGGGATTCTTGTGCTGCTCGATGCTGGGTTTCCCCGAACTCATGGAAAATCCCACCAAGCGGTGTACCTGCAGCAGCGAGACCTCACATCCAGTTTTAGACTCTTCGGGGTTTGCTTTCCTCTCCGCAAGCAGCGATCTCCTTCCAGACCAGACTCAGCAGCCAGACTTCCTCTTCCAGTAACCAAACTACAGAGGAAAAATGGCCGCCGTCACCATGGCTGCTGTTGGTCTGGGTGCTCCCCTTGTCGCACCCAAGAACCTGTCCTCCAAGGCGTCTTTCTCCACCACCAAGGCGTCTTGCTTCGTGAAGCAGGTGTCTGCCAAGACCGTCTGCTCCGCGGAGAAGAAGGAGGAGAACGTTACCGAGCAGGCTGGCAAGATCGCCTCTGCCCTCGCCCTTGCTGCCATCGTCAGCACCGGTGCCTTGGCCGTTCCCGAGGTCGCACTCGCCGATGTCGCTGGCCTTACCCCCTGCAAGGACTCCAAGGCCTTCGCTAAGCGCCAGAAGAACTCCATCAAGAAGCTGAAGAACCGCCTCAAGCTCTACAAGGACGGCTCCGCCCCCGCTCTGGCTCTCAAGGCCACCATTGAGAGGACCGAGCGCCGGTTCTCTTTCTACGGCAAGTCCGGCCTGCTGTGCGGCACCGACGGTCTTCCCCACCTGATCGTCGATGGTGACTTCAGGCACGCGGGCGAGTTCGTGTCCCCCGGCATCGTCTTCCTGTACATTGCTGGCTGGATCGGGTGGGTCGGCCGCTCTTACCTGATCAAGACCAAGGAGGGAGCCAAGCCCACCGAGAAGGAGATCATCATCGATGTTCCCCTCGCTCTCAGCCTGCTCGGCCGTGGTGCTACCTGGCCCGTGGCTGCCTGGTCCGAGTACAGGAAGGGTGACCTGATTGTGTCCGCTGACCAGATCACCGTGTCCCCCCGTTAAATGCAAGATAATATATTTTGAGTTTCATGTACAGCCCTTTTAGAAGGACGGCTTGAGTGGAACAATTTTGTACGCTCAATATTCAGATTAACACGATATTCAATAGCCACCTTTTGGAAGTGCCAACGCTATTCCTTTTGTTTTAACCAAACATGGCTGGCTAGGTCATGGTGCATTAGAGATGAACTTGCAGAAAAGTTCATTTAGATACGTTCACAATTCTTTCACGTTAAGTGGTTCAGGCTCGAACCTCAGTCAAATGCATCATATCCACCGCGCCCTTAGATCAAAGCATTAGAATCACTAGAAAGAATGAAGCTTCATTTTCCTTCTACCAGTTGTCTTCCCTGTTACTTGCAGAAGTATGTTCAATAATCTTGCAAATATAGGGAATACTATACGGCCATCACGCTGTTGCTGTGGATTGTTGGGGCAGCGTCCTGAGATGAAACGAGGAAGTGGTTAAACGCAGTAATTCGAAGGACTGAAAAATCACTTCAGAAAGCCCAAGAAAAATCAACAATGCTGAAGCTTGACTGTACAATCATCAGGGTTCAAAACGCCATGTCACATCAGCTTCCTCGCAGTTTGTGAACAAACCACATCATCATCATCCCCCGTGAACTCCTCTGTTCCAGTTGCAGCCCCATTGGTTATCCCTCCACCATTTTCATGGTGTCTGCGCATTCTCTTACGGCTTGGTGTGCGCATGACTTCCCGACCAAATGTCTTCATCTGGTAATTGACGAACGCCTCCTTCACCTCATCCTCCTGGAAAACAAGAAAATAATAAGAAACGCAATTAAACAATAGACACAAACAAACAACAAAACCAACTTGCACTACATGAACAGCAACAGCGGATAGGTTGTGCAATGACAAATAACGACAACGAATGAGCTTACGAGGCGCTGATCTCTTGTCTTGATGTACACTCGAACGGTCATGTCCTTGTAATTCTGAGGCATCATTGTGCTCATGCGATGGCATGGGATGGGAAACTTGGACAGCTTCTTTGAAGGATCGCCTCGGTCCCGGTGCTCCTGGGTCTGCAGTTGCACAATTCAGAACGTGGAAATTACTGATCGAGGAGTGCTTGGTAGGAGAGACCTGCAAAGAGGATGGTGGTGGTGATTCACATGTCCGCATGTGAAGCATGTCAGACATGCACGTGCGTGCGTGATGTGTGACATTGACCTCCAGGTGGAATGACATCGTGACATGTCGAAAACTCTAGCTCTGACAACTCACATTGAAAAAGCGGACCCTGCAGAGCATATGCACCCCATGTATGCATCACAGGTGCAATTAACAGGAGGAATCAACACCCCACCTTACGCAGACGGGGACCCTGAAGTACACCCCCCACGACTCACATCAAAGAAGCGGACCCTGAAGAGCAAGCACAACCCATGGGTGCATCACAGGAGGAATCAACACCCCATGCAGTCGTTGTGGCAACATGGTTGTTGCAGCCATGTGGTGAGGTGGAGCACACGGGCCCGGCAGGCGAAACGGATGGAGCAGCACCCCCCGTGGTGGTTGTAGCAACATGGTTGTTGCAGCCATGTGGTGTGGTGGAGCACACGGGCCCGGCAGACAAGGAAGCAACATCCCCAATGGTGGTTGTCACAAAATGGCCGCCATACCAACGTGGTTGTTGTAGCCATGGTTTGATTGCGCACATGACACAGGGTGGAGGTGCATAAGAGAGAAATACGAGATTGTATGAGAAACGGCCGATTAAGGCACTCAGCAGTTTCTGAGTGGGTTGTGCAAAGTTGATTCTATCAATCAGTTGCTAAGGTTGAACGTTTTGACTCGCTAGTCAGTGGGTTGTCTGTGTCTTGGCCATAGTCAATCTTTATATTGTCCACAATCACTCTTGGGAAAACCTAGTCCACTCTCGTAATGTACATTACTCAAGACGCATGTGACCAACAGGTTGATATTGATGTTGACATGTGTCATTCTAGACTCACTTGTAAAGGGGGTTATCTGTGTCCTGCCCATAGTCAATCTTGATATTGTCCACAATCACTCTTGAGAAACCTTACCTAGTTCCACTGTCATAACACCTTGTTCGACATGAGTGTAGGAACAGGGTCGTGAGGAATGTAAGTGGAAAGGCTCTCACTTGTCGAGGGGGTTGTCTGTGTCTTGCCCATAGTCAATCTTGATATTGTCCACAATCACTTGGTCGCCATGCTCCCTCAGGTATGACCCCGTGCCCTGCCAAAATACCAAGGAACACAGGTAGACGGGTATGTCGTATGGTAAGCAGCTAGTTATCATTACTTGGTCGCCATGCTCTGGCGGCTACAATCCCGAGTCCTGCCATTGCTCCCAGTCAAATGGTGGAATACAGGTAGCAGGCTTACAGGTACAGGGGGATATGGTATGGTAAACAGCTATGTACCATCACTTGGGGCCACGCTCACACTACTCACGCCCTCACACACTCACATGCTCAGCAGCGCATCCACTGTGAGGTTCTTAAAAAGGGGCAGCACATAACACTCACACGCAAACCCACAAACACCCTCACACACTCCCTAATATACTCGCACACTCCCACAAACACTCTCACTCCCTAACACACTCGCACACTCCCACACACTCTCACACACTCGCACAATCCGACACTACTTACGCCCTCACACACTCACATGCCGCAGCAGCTCATCTACTGTGAGCTTTCTGAAGTGGTGAAGCGCATCCACCGGCACCACAAACTCGTTCATGTACTGGAGGGGAGGGAGGAGGGGAAGGGGGCGAAGGGAGGAGGTCAAACAGGAGCAAACAGAGTGCGGGGAGGGAGGAGGGGAAGGGGGCGAAGGGAGGAGGTCAAACAGGAGCAGACAGAGTGCGGGGAGGCAAACGAGAGCTTCTTGAAGTGGTGAAGAGCGCCCAATGGGACCACGACCTCGTTCATGTACTGAGGGGTTGAATGGTGGGGAGACGGGGTAAAGATGGGATGGGGGAGTGATCTGGGGACATGAGGCAGTAAGGAGGGAGCAGACATTGTTCAGGGAGGAAGGTGAGTGCTGAGAAAAGGTGCAAAACGGTGCAGAACGGTGCAGAGCGGTGCAGAACGGTGCGAAACGGTGCAGAACGGTGCAGGAACCCAGAAGTCACCTGATACAGCTGTCGCCGTTCAAGCTGCCTCAAAATCTCCTGGGATTTCGCCAGGCTGGGGTCCCGAGACCGCAGGATCTCCCGCAGAATCGTATCGTCCAGCTGGCAGAATCTATCGAGATCTTTCGTGAGCGCAATCTCCTCAAAGCGGAAGACGTGGTTGGCGTGGGTGAGGGCCTCTAGGATCATGGCCTCCACTGCCTTGACCGTCTTGTGCGTGTACACATTGCGATACATCTTGGCCCTCAGCCAGAACAGCTCGTTCACTGTCTCCACTGTAAAGGGGGGGGGGGGGGGGGGGGGGGGGGGGGTGGAGGAGAGGGGGGAAGTGGAAGGTGTGGTTGGCATGGGGAGCGCCTCCAGGATCATGGCCTCGACTGCCCTGGAGGCGCCTTGAGAGCCGCTCCCAAAGGATCATGGCCTCGACTGCCCTGGAGGCGCCTTGAGAGCCGCTCCCAAAGGATCATGGCCTCGACTGCCCTGGAGGCGCCTTGAGAGCCGCTCCCAAAGGATCATGGCCTCGACTGTCTTGACTGTCTTGTGCGCGTACACGTTGCGATACATCTTGGCGCGCAGCCAAAACAGCTCGTTCACTGTCTCCACTGCAGGGGGGGGGGGGGGCAAGGGGAGGGGTTAGGGTGTGGGGGTGGGGTTGCGTGTGCACGTTGCGATACATCTTGGCGCACAGCCAGAACAGCTCGTTTACTGTCTGCACTGTTGACAGGGGAGCGGGGGGAGAGGGGAGGAGGGAGGAGGCAGGAGGGAGGAGGGAGAAGGAAGGAGGGAGGAGGGAGGAGGAAGGAGGGCGGACGGAGGAGGGAGACCGGAGGGGAAGCGGAGGATGCATTGGGCGTGGGAGAGGGGAGGAGACTTTTGAGTCGACTCAAAGGGAGACCGGAGGGGAAGCGGAGGATGCATTGGGCGTGGGACAGGGGAGGAGGGAGGAGAGGGCCTCGAGGATCATGACCTTGACGGCCTCAACAGCCAAAACAGCTCATTCACTGTCTCCACTGCAGAGAAGTGCGAGGGAGGAGGGGGGGGGACGGGGGAATGGGGAGGGGGTAGAAGGGGTAAAGGAAAACACATCTTGGCCCGCAGCCAAAACAGGTCGTTCACTGTTTCTACTGCAGAGAAGTGTGCGGGAGGAGGGGAAAGGAGGGGGGGGAGAGGGAAAGGGGGAGGGGCAAGGGGGAGGGGAGAGCAAGAGAGGGTACGAGAGGAGAAGAGCAGGCAAGAGAGCATACGAGACAAACAGGAGAGGGCGGAGGGTAAGAGTGGGCAAGAAGGGAAAAGTACGGCAATGAAGTAGGGCATCACTCACACTCTCTGTACTTGAAGCAGATTTCGTCGTCTATGACTCGCATCATCTGGATTATTCTGTGGGGAGGGAGAGAAGGACAGCAGGGGGGGCGATGGGGGCGACACGGAGGAGAACGCAAGGGTTTTTGAAGGTGCCAGCGCTAAAGAAAAGCCACGCAGCAAACACTGAAGGTGCCACCAAATAGTGCATCCAACGCTGCAGGGTTTTATTGAAAAATCTCAAAAAAACCCTCCTTACACTCACCCTCCCACCTCACCCTCCTCATCTCCCCATGCTCATCCCACAGCCCCCCCTCTCACCTCTTGTGATCGAAGCACGACTTGATGTTGCAGAAGTAGCTGTCACGAGCCAGGTAGTCAAACCTGTCAACCACAGAGCATGCACTCACGCCCTCCTTATGCTCACCCTCCTTACATTCACACCCTCCTCACCTCTTGTGATCGAAGCACGACTTGATGTTGCAGAAGTAGCTGTCTCGAGCCAGGTAGTCAAACCTGCCAGCCACAGAGCATGCACTCACGCCCTCCTTATGCTCACCCTCCTTACATTCACACCCTCCTCACCTCTTGTGATCGAAGCACGACTTGATGTTGCAGAAGTAGCTGTCTCGAGCCAGGTAGTCAAACCTGCCAGCCACAGAGCAGTGCACAGATCGGGACACCACATAAAGAGAGAGAAGCAATTCTACTGCTAAGGAATTAAGGAAAAACGGGGTGCACTGTTGAAGGATTGGAGAGAACACGGGCTCACTCACTTGTCCACGTCTATTCCCGTGCGTGCATTGGCTACAATGTCCCATAGAAACTCCTTCTCCTTATAGTCCTGCATAGGACACTCCACACCACACACACAGGGGAGGAGGGAGACAGTCAGTCAGGTGCCTCACAGCGCATTGGCCACGATATCCCATAGAAACTTCTTCCCAGTTTAGTCCTGCAGATACTCCGGGCAGCGGAAAAAAAATCTTTCAGCGACCGTTCGTGTGATGCTTCGAAAATCTTTTTGTCACGATGATTCATAATAGCTCCTTCTCCCTGACCCACAGAGAAAACGAGCACTGCATACTCTCCACAAATGAAAATGCACGTTTCAGGAGTTTTTTCAGGAGCTTTTGAGCCCTCAGCCTCACCTCACCCTCACATCACTGACATGACCCAACCATTCCATTCCCCTCACCCACCCACCCTCACCCACCCTCGCCCACCCTCACCCACTCAATTCTTTTTCCCCTCACCCACCCATCATCTTTCCCTGCCCTTTTTTTTCCTGTCTCCACCCGTTTCCCCCCTCACCTACCCTTTTCCTCTTGGACTTGTCAGGTAGAATGAGGCTCTGGGTGTGGGGGAATTAACAACGGGCGGGCAGCAGGGGGGGATGAATAGTTGGGGGGAAAGAAGGGGAGAAAGGAAACGGAAAGAACAGGGCAGGTAGGTGGACGGAAAAGGCAGAGAAAGCCACTTGTAAATAATCCTTTGCAATGGATTATGGACCCAAGCATGCGGAGGGGTGGAGGTGGCAAAATGTTGAGGATGAGACTCACCTGGATGGTGGTGACAGTGTCAGGGTCAATGTCAATGCTGTTGTTGTCAATCACTCGATCCCCCAGCTGCACTGACCATCTCTTGTGTACCTTCACCCCCTCTCCCCTTCAGCACTATCTCTCACTCTTCTCCTGGTTCTCACCTTGATGGTGGCAAGCAACGGTGTCAGGATCAATCAATGTCAATGCTGTTGTTGTTGCCATTGCCAATCCTCTTCACTTGCAGGCTGTCCCCGATAATGCTGCGCCGCGCTCACCTCTCACCTGCAGTATTATCTCACCTTGATGGTGGCGACGGTATCAGGGTCAATGTCAATGTTGTTGTTGTCAATCACTCGATCCACCAGCTGCACTGACCGACCGCCTCTCATCTACCTCCACCCTCTCCCCTTCAGTGCTATCTTACCCTCATGCTCTCACCTCATCCTCTCACCCTCATGCCGTCATGCCCTCTCTCACCTTGATGGTGGCCACGGTGTCAGGATCAATGTCGATGTTGTTGTTGTCAATCACTCGATCCACCAGCTCCACTGACCGCTTCTCGTGGTGCCTGATGATTCAATGCGGTGCAAAGGTGTTCAACAAGATTGAAAATTGTTTAGAGAGATGCAAAGGTGTTCAAAAAGTGGCCTTGCAAGTGGAATCATGCAGGTACAATCGACTGTGCAGCACATACCAGTCGGATCCAGGGCAGAAGCGGGAGAAGATGGCGTTATCCAGCATGTGACTGAAGCACCCATGCCCCATGTCATGGCACAACCCAGCTTCAAGACGCCTCAAAAGATTGCCAAGTACGTACCAATCGGATCCAGAGCAGAAGTGGGAGAAGATGGAGTTATCGAGCATGTGACTGAAGCACCCATGCCCCATGTCATGGCACAGCCCAGCCAGAGTAACCGCCATGACGTCATCATCATTGATCCGCAGCTCTGGCTGCTGCCGCCTTAATGATTCCACCACCTCATTGGCCAGATGGGAGGTCCCTATGGAGTGCTCTAGTCGTGTGTGATTGGCTGACGGGTACACGTAGTGGCAGACGCCTAGCTGGCGGATGTGCCTTAGCCGCTGAAACTCGCAAGTGTCGATGATGCTCAGGCTGGTCTGTGGTGGGATTGAGGAGGGGAGGGTTGGAAGGGATGGGGAGAGAGAGGCGTGGAGAGGAGTGAAATTAGACGAGCAAAGGAGAAGCTGTTTTGCTGCACGAAAGGAAGAAGCATGAGTGTCATCCCCTGTCATTGGCACTGAATCCTGGCTCACTCACCCGTTGTGCTGAATCTTGTAACTTGACAGCCATGTGCTTTTATCCCGTGACCTTTGCTCCGTAGCCATCGTGACCTTTGTCCGTGCCTTTTCCATTTAGACTCAGCAGCATTTCCATACCGTGTGAGAACGTGATATGGCCGTGAATGGGGTCGTAAAACAGCTTTCGAGCGACTAACCAAAAGCCAACCCGTTACAATGTCACACGATATACCCGTACGTTGTTGAGGATGATATGGTCGCGATTGGAATCGTTAAACAGCTTCGAACCGTTCCCGTAAATCGGATTGTTAGCAGTCGACTCAAAGCACACCTTCGTACCTTGTCGACCGTGATATGGTCGTGAATGGGATCGTTAAACAGCTTCGAGCCGTTCCAGTAGAGATGACTCATCGCAACGGCACGTCCGAAACCGATGTCGTTGGCCGTGACAGCACTTTCGTGAATGATCGAATGAGATCCCGCGAGGGAGTCGCTATCACGAATCCGGTAACGTAATCTAATTCAGGTCCAAGGTTGGGATTCTAAGCAACTCCGCTACGAATGTTAACGCAACGTTATTCTGGTTGAAGAATCAACGGTCATATCAGGATACGCCTTGCAGGAAAAGGAGGGAGACTAGCTAGCCAAGCACCAGCAACAAGAAGCTCTCATCAGGTTATATATTCAAGGAGCGTGGCGTGGTTTTTCTCAAGGTTCTGGTAAAGGTGATAGGTGAGAGAATCTTTTGTGCCTGCCGAACTGGGCTGTTGCCATGCCAAGCATGTTTTACTGCCTGAGTGTGTGCGACATTCCCGAGGGGCACAGGAAGTGAGTGGTGGTGAAGTGATACATGCATGGCGGCGTGGTATGGTAACGTCCAGAGCGTGATCCATTCGAGTTTAGACATTTACCGCTCTTAACCGTAAAATAATCGACTGTAACGCAAAATACCGTGTCCAACATGCGGACTTTGGCACCACGCCCTCTTGCGAGAGAGGTCGAACGAAACCACGCACTCACCACATGCATTCGTAAGAACGTAGTGTTACAGACAGTACAGTGCTACACGCTGGTGTGAACAAATTATCTATCAGTGGTACAGTATTCAATTGAGGAAAACGGTAGGCCCTGGGGAAGTGACAGAATTTGCAGCAACAAGGTAGCCCATGAAAAAATGAAGGTGTAGCACACCACAACGCTTTGTGGAGATCTCCACTAACATATTACAGCAGTAAACTTTGTTAACATTTGTTTCCTGCGTGCTATTGTACAGTGTAACGAATGTCTGTCAGTTCAGAATGCACTACTGTGCAGCACTGGTTTTGTAGTCATGATTGTCTTTCTCTTGGCTTCTCTCCCACACCTTTTGCAGCGGCACTGTGTCAGCAGCGCCACCCACACCACTCCCACTGTCACCACCACCACCACCACCACCACCACCACCACTACCAGCAGCAGCAGGACCACCAGAGGCAGACGCAATAGGCGCTGCTCCAATCGCAGGTGCATCCGGGGGAGGGTTCATCTCGAGCAGGGTGACGAGCTCAGCAGTGGTCTTGAGCGCATGGGAGAAGCGCCAGAGCGTGTTGAAAAGAGCCACCACCTCGTTGCGCTGCAGACTCAACTTATCAACACCGTTGCCATTGCCGTTGCCACCGATGCCATTGCCGATGCCGTTGCCATTGCCATCAACAGAGAAGAGGATCTTCAGGGCTGTGGCAAGCCCGAGGATCTCCAGCTTGCCCCACAGGCGGCACCGCTCACACCCCACACAGTCCATGATCAGGCTGGGGGAGTGGGGAAAGGTGGAGAGTGGTGGAGATAGGTAAGGAAGGAATGGAAGAGCACGCCAGCTTGCCCCACAGGTGGCAGCGCGCACACCCCACACAGTCCATCTAGACTAATAGACCATTCAACACGCACCTGATGTTCCTGGTGACTTTTGAGGTGACTCAAAAGTCACAGGTGGCATCGCGCACACCCCTCACAGCCCATCTAGACTAATAGATCTATTAGTGCCCCTCACAGACCATTCAACACGCACCTGATGTTCCTGAAGTGCCCCTGCAGTGTCTGCTTGAGCATCGGACCCTCATCCCCTCGCCACATCCTCGCCTCATCAAACGGCAGTGGGCAAGCCGCCTGCAGCCTCCCATTCCTCACCACCTGCTGCACCAGCGCTGCTGTCTGCTGGTCTTCAAGGGGGTTCCCTGTGTCATAAGACGCGCGTGATAAGAAATCCGCTGCCTGTACCAAACAAGGGTGGGGGAGAAGGAAGGGGGGAAGGAGGGAATGTGTGGTTGGAGGGTGTTACCAGCAAACCTGAAAAGGGTAGAGGTAGGGTGTTACAAACCTGAGAAGAGCAATGTTTTACCCAAAGCGAATGTGCACAAGTGGATTGTCCGGCAACATTATTGCCAACTAATTGGTGTGTGGAGTTAAGGAGGAGGGGAGGAGGGGGAGACCACTTACTTTGGTAGCAGCGCGCAACACAAAGAGGAAGGTAAAGTAGAGGTTGGCAAGGCGCTTAGATGATAAATGATCTCGACACAACCGCAAACCCATACCCAAACCCAAAGCATGCTTACCTTGGTGGCCGCGCGCAGCACAAAGAGGAAGGTAAAGTAGAGGTTAGCGAGGCGCTCAGGGAACTTGGCCACTCGGTGGTGGAAGATGGTGATGTTGGGGCCCCACTGTATGGTGGGAGGGGAGAGGGGCGAGGGGAAATAGGAGGTAAAGGGATGGGAGAAGGCGGGAGCAATGGAAGGGGAGTGAGATGGCGGTTTTGAAGGGAACTTGGCAACGCGGTGGTGGAAGATGGTGATGTTGGGGCCCCACTGGTGGATAATGGGCAAGGGAGGGAGTATGGGGGACACGGAGGAAGGAGGGCGATGGAAGCAGGGGAAGGGGAATGAGACGGAGCTGAAAGGGAACTTGGCGACGCGGTGGTGGAATATGGTGATGTTGGGGCCCCACTGAAGTGAGGAGAGGGGAGTGGAGAGAGAACAGGGAAAAGGGCAAAGAGAAGGTGGTGATGAAAGGGTTATCGAAGCACAAAGAGGAATGTGAAATAGAGGTTGGCGAGACGCTCAGGGAACATGTCTTTGGTGCCATCCTGGAAGCAGCTCTCCTGATAGCACCAACTCCCCCACAACAAGCCCCCCTCCCTCCCTCACCCGTCCTGGAAGCAGCTCTCCTGATAGCACCAATTCCCCCACAACAAGCCCCCCTCCCTCCCTCACCCGTCCTGGAAGCAGCTCTCCTGATAGCACCAACTCCCCCACAACAAGCCCCCCTCCCTCCCTCACCCGTCCTGGAAGCAGCTCTCCTGATAGCACCAACTCCCCCACAACAAGCCCCCCTCCCTCTCTCACCCGTCCTGGAAGCAGCTCTCCTGATAGCACCAACTCCCCCACAACAAGCCCCCCTCCCTCCCTCACCCGTCCTGGAAGCAGCTCTCCTGGTGGATGGCCTGCCAGATGCTCACCTTCCCAGCTGCTCACTCTGCAACTCTGCAATGCCAGCTCACCTTCCCAGCTGCTGAGTCCCATATTTGCGACGCGGCCACGTGCACTGATATGGCCTGGTGCAGACCCGAAATTAGTCGGTACAGCACGCGCCTCTCCGTGCATTCATCCCTGGTGCCGTCCTGGAAGCAGCTCTCCTGGTAGATGGCCTGCCAGATGCGCCGCGCTGAGTCGCCCCCGTACCCTGTGTAGCGCTCTGGGTTCAGGGCTAGGTTCACATACACCTGGGAGGCTGTGTGTGTGGCGGGTAAGGTAGAGGGATGCGGGGAAAGGAGGAAAATGTGAGAGGAGGGCTTTTGGTCGAGCCGTCCTGGAAGCAGCTCTCCTGGTAGTGAGAGGAGGGCCTACCAGACGCACCATACCTTCCCTGCCTCACTCTCATCATCAGCCGCCCAGTACTATCTGCCTCCACGATCAACGGTGGAGCAATCACCATCCAGCCAGGGCTTTTGAAGCGCCTCAAAAGTCGCCTCCACGGTCAATGGTGTAGCAATCCCCCATCCACCCAGGGGCAAGCCGTGTTCTGGTAACTCAATTTCCGTACCCATCTGTTTCACTGCACCTGTGTCACTCTAATCATCGACTGTCCATGAGTTATCTGCCTCCACCCACGCCTGAAATGAACCGGGGCACCCCGGAAACTGCAACTGCAACTGCCTTGTACCAATCATATCTGTATCATATCATATCTTCTCACCTGTGTCACTCTCATCATCAGACGTCCACGGGTTATCCGCCTCCACCCATGCCTGAAACGCGCTCCGATCCACCGTTCTATCCACCGACCCCGCCGCTGACTCAGCAGACGCTGACTCATCCGCACTCGGGTCCAGGTCAGCGTCGCGTGGCTCGTCCACGTCAGCAGGGAGCAGCGAGGGTGCGGGTGGGGAGGGGCAGCGGAGGGCGGGGGGAACCTCGTCGTCCTTACACTCCCCCACAGAGCAGTCTCTGGAGTGGCACATGCCGTCGTCCGGCCAGAAAGGACAGTCACACCACAGACGAACCTGGCAGGGGGTGGATAGGATGGAATGGAATGGGTTGGAATGGGTTGGAATGGGTTGGAATGGGGTGGAATGGGGGGCTGGAACCTCGTGGTCCTTACACTCCCCCACGGAGCAGTCTCTTGAGTGGCACATGCAGTCGTCTGGCCAGAAGGGACAGTCACACACACCAGAGACGACTTGGCAGGGGAGGGGGCGGGAAGTGGTGGAATGGGTTGGGGTGGTGTTGACGAGCTGTCAGCAGCAGCTGCAACACACGTGCGAGAAGCCCCCCTGAAACCACTACGCACCTTGCAGTACCGCACTGAACCGACCTTGAAGTATTTGAAGAAGGTGGTGTTGACGAGCTGGGTCAGCAGCGGCTGTAACACGTGCGAGTTGAGTTCGTCCACTGTCTCATACTCGCAGCAACAGTCGTCCACCACGCCTGACAGCCGCTTCACCTGCGAGTGACACGTGGCAGGGACAGGTGACACGTGGCAGCAGGAAAGTTGAGAGAAAAGAGTGCGAGTTGAGTTCGTCCACTGTTTCGTATTCGCAGCAGAAGTCGTCCATCACGCCAGACAGCCGCCTGCAAGTGACACGTGGCAGCGCGGCGGCATGACGCAAATCGGAGATTTGACTAGCGTGAGGGGCGTACTGACACGTGATCTGCATACTTGACACAAAAGGTACGTACCTGGCACGTGAAGTGCGTACTTGTGTGAGGAGCGTACCTGTCACGTAACGTACGTACCTGACATGTGCAGCCAGAATCCGGTTGAGATGTAACGGAAGCTGACGACGCCGGCTGATTTCTCGATATTGCCGCCGCTTCGACAGGCGGTGTAGAATCTCCTGTTGCTGGCACCTCCTCAACAGGCTTCACGCCCCATTGTCGCATCAACTGGTTACAAAACTCGCTGCTTTTCGCAGCAGCGGCGGTGACATATTCCGGTCGCGATACTGTCACCGCTACAGCCACGACGGCGACTGTCGCGGCCAGAGCTAACCAAAGAAGCCCTCCTGATCCTTGATGCGATTTGTTAGCCTTCTTTTTTGCGATGTCGTTTTTCTGGTGCTGTCCGTGAGCCGGCTCGCCGTTTGTCGCCGCCATGGATAGGCGGCGCGTGATGTCTTTGCTTTCTCCTGAAGCACGAAGTTCGAAAATTGGAAAGGCAAACAAAAAACTAAGTTTTTGTTCCTAAATGTACGAAGCTAGGTTACTGAGACGCGTTATATCTCAGGCGAGCTTCTTTTTCCTTGAATCTCGTTTCCGAAAGGCAGGTTACGACGCGTGATAATGGCAAACTAGTAGCGACTTCACGTTGCCTTGCCTCGATTCTCCGTGACCAACACGCTAGTAGCCTCGATGTCTAAACAGCTAAGACTGACGTAACTTCATTGCCATAACTGGAGAAATGCCTGACATATCTATCTGCTAATGACGATCCAGCAGAAGAAAGCTGGGAAAAGCATTACGGATTTGAGATGTGGAGATATTGATGCTGAACAAAAAGGGCCGAGGTAAACAACCTCGTCCTAATCTTAGACAGGTGAGAAACGGTTCAGTGCGGTAATTAATATTTAACCGTTTTGCAGACCACGGCATCAGGGTCGTGTATCGTACAAACCGCTCCAGATTGCAGATCATCGTACCCCACTGTTTTGGAATGCTGGTTCCACGCCCTCATCCGACGATCCCGATTCTTCCCACGGCTGGTTGCCGTGTCGTGCGTGACGGTCTGGAAGATCGCGTTCCTAGTCGTGCTTCTGGAAGGCACCTGACGGGTAAACGTGTTCCGACCAATCAGCCTCGTTGTTGCTCCGTTAGTTAGGCGAGACCGTGCTGTGCTGGCGCAGACTCGTACTGTCTGTCGCAATTGCCCGTAGCGAGATTCAGCGAGATTCTTACATTCGTAATAGTTACAGCATACCTGTTACGTCTACCCTTTTATGCTGTTTAGCAGAATTCCACATAGCCATATACTCCAAATTGCGCTCCTTTCGCAAGGCGAGCTTCGCAACCGATTCGTCAGCACGAACGAGGCTGGACGATGAACACCAGCAGGGATTTGCGAGGGTCGTCAACTATCAAACGGCCTTCGCGGTACGTGGCGAAAGGCCTCTCGCACCGCCATGTCCAACACCTTCGAGCCGCATTTGACATCCCAATTTTGCTTCATAATCAAATTTGCCATTTTGCACTGCCATTTTGCACTACCTTTCTCTCTCCACCATTGCACGGCCACAGAAGAGCACATCTCGTGCTCTACTCGTTCAAGAGTGAGTCATCCCGCTAGTGCGTATCAACTCTGGTATTCACCACTCACGGCCGTGCTGCGTCGATAATTTTCACTTCAGCGGAAATTAGACGCGCCATCATGGAAAGCAAGGCAACGTCGCTGCCCCGTCCGCGTTTCTCTGTTTGTCCCCAGACTCTCGTTGTCATCGTCGTACTCTTCTGTCTAAACACGGTTCAGGCTCGCTCCTCCGGCGATCCTCCCCTCCACGTCGACAGTATGGCATTTCACGCAGCACGCGTACCGTCTCTGCTTCCAAGCGTACCCATTCGCATCTCAGAGACGGTCAGAGCGCGCCTTCCCCAGCCGCACCTCTTTGCAGACAGATCCCACCTTTCCCGGCCAGAACTCCCAGGCGTCAGCCCGCAGCGCCCCGTCACGAGCGCCGCCGATGGTGCAAGAAAGCTGCTGCTGGAGGAGAGCCCTTATACCGAGCCTTCCACTGGCGAGGATGCGTACAGTGCGGCGGTGCTTGCGCCGACAGCAGCAGAAGCGCCGGCTTCAGAAGTTGATGGAAGGAGTGGGGGAAGCGGCGCCGATGGCGGCGAGACCGAGCGCCACACTTCGACTGGCGGAGGGGACGGGGAAGTGGACGGGGGAGACGACGGCAGAGGGGGCGGGGGAGGGGGCGGGGGAGCCGACGGCGGTGGGGGCGGGGGAGGGAATGGGGGAGGCGACGGGGGAGGGGACGGGGGAGGGGACGGTAACGAGGGGAGCGCGGAGAGCCGCCCGCCTGCCACGTGGTGCGATAACGAGGCTTGCTTACGTGGCGCGCTGCTGGATCGCGCGCCCGCCGTCTACCTCACGCGCCACGTGTACCTGACCAACGGCGAGCTGCCAGCTGTCAGGCACACGGTGGCCGTGACGGGCTTGTGTTCGTCGGATCAGTGCACGATCGACGGCCAGGGGAAGTCCAGGGTGAGAGGGAGGAATTGAGGAGGAGAGGCTTACCTCTCGTGCACGAATCCAATCTCACACCCCTCCAACCCGTTCTCATATTGTGTCCCCCTAACCTTCAAAACTTCACCGTTTGGTCAGGAGGTTTCCTGTCGCTCCAAATCAACGCACGGCCTGCACGGAATTAATTCCTTCTCCTCCCGACTCATTCCATACCCCATATCGAACCTTCCCCAATGTGTCACACTGCCTTCAGATCTTCACCGTTTGGGCAGGCGGTTACCTGGCACTGCAAAACATCGCACTCGTGCACGGATTGCAATCCATCTCACATCCCAACTTACCTTGAATCCCCCAATTGTTAACCCCACCTCCCCCTCCTCCCCCAATGTGTCACACTGCCGTCAGATCTTCTCCGTTCAAGCAGGCGGTTACCTGGCGCTCCAAAACATCGCTCTGCTGCACGGATTCGTCCCACGGGGCAAGTTCGGCGGCGCAATTTTCGTTTCCGGGCTGCCCGACTCACCGCCTTCACCGATGGAGACCCTGCCCCAGGCCTACCTGTCCGCTTTAGGCACGAGCTTTTATAATAACAGTGGAGAGAGCGGAGGTGGGGCGGTGGCAATAGGCAGTAATGCGGCGGCGTTTTTCCACGGCGCCAATTTCGCTTTCAACTCCGTTTTCATGGTAGTACGTGTGGCAGAATTAATGGGGGTTGATTGTACTGCATAGAGATTTTCGGGAATTGTACGATATGTCATTGCTGCGTTTCCTGAACCCGTCAGCATCCCACTGATTTCACCCTCCATCCTCTTCCCTCCACAGGACGCCTCTGGGAAGCATCGAAGCAGGGGAGGCGCCATGTATCTGGGGGCACAGGCCGACAGGAGCATAACAACCACCCATGCCCCTCACAAAGCGCGGGAATGCCCGCAAGGAGTGGGCTACACAAGCACCTCTCCCTGTGTGACTGTTCTCGACTCTCTCTTTGTTGCCAACTCTGCTGCTGTGGGCGGAGCCGTGTTTGTGGATGGGAGCGACGCTGCCTGCCACAACGCATCATCAACCAACCAGGTACTAGCCTGGCTTTCGAGGCACCCCGCTCGCTTTCCCCTCACTCTCACTCTCCCTCTCCCTCTCACTCTCCCTCTCCCTCTCCCTCTCCCTCTCCCTCTCACTCTCCCTCTCACTCTCCCTCTCCCTCTCCCTCTCACTCTCCCTCTCCCTCTCCCTCTCCCTCTCCCTCTCCCTCTCCCTCTCACTCTCCCTCTCCCTCTCCCTCTCACTCTCCCTCTCACTCTCCCTCTCACTCTCCCTCTCACTCTCCCTCTCCCTCTCCCTCTCCCTCTCCCTCTCACTCTCCCTCTCCCTCTCACTCTCCCTCTCACTCTCCCTCTCACTCTCCCTCTCACTCTCCCTCTCACTCTCCCTCTCACTCTCCCTCTCGCTCTCCCTCTCCCTCTCCCTCTCCCTCTCCCTCTCCCTCTCCCTCTCCCTCTCCCTCTCCCTCTCCCTGTGTCACGGTGTTCCACTTGCTCTTTGTTGCCACCTATGCTGAGTGCGGAAGGTGGAAAGTGGAGATGTGCATCTCTTGAAAGTGCATCTCTTTTCCCCCACTAACCCACACCATTCAGGATGTGAGCACACTGGGAGCCTCTCTCCACATGAGCAACGTGCTGCTTGAGGCCAACACGGCTGCTGTGGACGGCGGGGCAGTGGCTGTGGGGTCTCATGGCCAGCTTGGGGGGCGAGCTTCGTTCTCCACCGTCCGTTTCAATGAGAACTCGGCTGGGGTGAGTTCAGATTCAATCTCCACCGTTCAAAATGGCTCTGAAGGCCAACAGGGCTGCTGTGGACGGAGGGGCAGCGGCTGTGGGTTCCCACAGCCGAGTTGAAAGCCGAGCCTCCTTCTCCACCGTCCGATTAATGAGAACTCCGCAGGGGTGAGCTCAGATTTGATCTCCACCGGTTGATTAAACTCAGTGTGCGCAGGACGCTCTCCACCGTCCGATTGATGAAATGACCTGAATTATCTGTCCTTTTCTCCCGTCGTAAGGAAAGCACCTGAACTACTGTTTTCTGCCCTTGCTGCCGATGCCTTATCCTGTCCAGAGGGATGGGGGAGCGCTGTTTGTGGGAGGGGGCCGTCCCGAGCATGCCGGCAGCACAGCCACTATCTACCATGCAGTTTTCCTGAATAACACCGTTGGTGCCACTGCTGGTAACATTTCCAGTGACCCTGCTACAAGGCCTGTGACTAGAGAGTCTGGGCGACCTAGGAGGGGGGAAACCTGCAGGGCGGTGCTGACGTGGCAGTGAGGCGATGGGCGTCAGCTCACATCCACCACAGCAGATTCCAGGAAGCTTCACCGCCAGTCACCCAATCAGCCTCCTCCCATCCCTCCTCCCCTCCCTACTCTCACCCGTCCACCACCCCTTCTTCCTCCTCCCTCCCCCGTCATCTCCCCCCTTCTTCCTCCTCCCTCACCACCCCTCTTCTCTGTGTGGGTTTCTGCATCATCTGCCGGAACATCACCACCACTCCAGTTACCCCTCGTGCAAGAGGCAACGTGACTGTAACCGACTGTAAGTGTAACGGATACACCTTAAGCCGTCTTTCCATTCCTCCTCCCTCACCGCTCCCCTTCTCTGCGTGGGTTCCTGCTGCATCATCTGCCGAAACATCACCGCTGCAGCTCCTCGTGCAAGAGGCAACGTGACAGTAACTGAATGTAGGTGCAACACTACCTTTCTGCAGCATTCGGTTCCCTTCTTTCCTCCTCTCGCACCCCCATTCCTCTTCCCTCGTGCACCCAGAAATGCCTGGGCACGGTTTTCGAGGCGCCTAAGAAATAGTCTCACCTCACATGCGTGGGTGCGATCCTTCTCCATTGCCTGTCTCTCATGCACCCATGGGATTGACTCCCATTACCATCCTTTTCACATGGATAAGGGCACCATCCATCCTTCTCTCATATACGTCACCCTACCCTTCTACCTACCTTCCCCTTTCCCCTCCCACCCTCTCCACCAGCTGGTTGCTTCCGCGCCCCTCCACCCTTCACCTGCCCCTTCCTCCCCGCCTACCTCAGGCCAGCCACCTGCGTTAGCACCAGCATCATCAGCAACAGCATCAGCAGCAACAGCATCAGCAGCAAAAAATCCTATGCTCAGACACTGAAGTTTGTTCTCCCCACCCCTTTCCCCTCCCACCCTCCCCACCAGCTGGTTGCTTCCGCGCCCCTCCACCCTTCACCTGCCCCTTCCGTCCCGCCTACCTCAAAGCAACCCCTCCCCGATCTGCACTAGCACCAGCAACAGCAGTAGCACCAGCATCAGCACTAGCACCATCATCAGCAGTAGCACCAGCATCTGCATTAGCACCAGCATCAGCAGCAGCACCAGCATCAGCAGTAGCACCAGCATCAGCAGTAGCACCACCAGCACCAGCACCGGTACCAGCAGCGGCAAATGCAGCTCCTCCTACCACACCTCGTCCCCTCTCCACCATCTCCTCCCTCCCTACCTCTCCTGCTACACCTGCCACTGCCCTTGATGCTACACCTGCCTCTTCTGGTACTGCCACTGCCGCTGCCCCTTCCCCCACGCCCACTCCCACGCCCACCTCTACGGTCTCTGAATGTGCCTGCCCCCAACCGGAAGGGCCACCGCTCTCTACCCTGCCGACTTCCCTTCCCACTCCAACCGCCTTACCTCCTCCTCCTTGCGCTCGTCACCTGCGGGAGAAGCTTCCTAAGGAGCCACAACCACCAAGGTGAGCCCAATCTTTCTAAGCAGACTAAAGCTTTCTGATTTCCTATGTTGCACATGCCAGTTTCCCACACATGCTGGAGGAGGTAAATATGTGTTCTGAACAAATGTGTTTTTTATCCGAATGTGTTCTGAACCCATTTCCTGGTTCCCTGACCTACAGCTATAATGGGACAACGCAAGGCAACGTGACAGGAGAACCCCACTTTGTGGGGCGGCACGGGGAGAGATTTGACTTCCACGGCAAGCCTGGGGAGAGCTACTGCTTGCTCTCAGATACTTGACTTCCATTATCTTTCTTGTATGTTTCCCTGGTGTGCACAGGTATAATGGGACATCGGAAGGCAACGTGACAGGAGACCTGCACTTGGTGGGGCTGCATGGGGAGCGACTTGACTTCCACGGCAAGCCTGGGGAGAGCTACTGCTTGCTCTCGGATTCAGACATCCACGTTAACATGCGATTCGTTGCTTGGGCACATAACAGCACGACGGTAAGAAATCAATGAAACGTATATTTTGCGCTGACGCAATGGTTTCCCCTCTTTGTCTAAGCTCGTTTCTCTTGCAGTATATGGATGAAGTCGGCATACTGTATAAAAACAAGGGGGCAGGCAGCAGTGAAGATGATTTGATGGAGGTTGTTGTGGTTGCGCTGTCACATCCCGGTGCAAGGGTTTCGGGTTTTCAAGGAGGGCTCTTCATTAATGGAGCCGAGTTGCCTAATGTTGATTTAACAGTCTCCATGAGCAATAAGATGCTCAGAGTGGATCGTACTAGCAGATCCGTTCGGATTCGCGTCACAAGTACATTCGATATGACTATTGACATCAGAAGAGCAGCGTTCTATCACAACACCGACAAATGGGTGCACCAAAACCATGTAAGTGTGTATGCTGGTTGGTGCTGTTTCAATTCAATGGTTCGTCACTACCATACATCTCTTTTTTTGCAGCTGAATGTGAGGTTAGGGAGTTTCAAGGAGTCGAACTCTGTGCAAGGGCTGCTTGGGAACACCGAACAGACCAACTCTTCAAGGCTTGCAAGGACGAAGGGATCAATAGGAAAGGAGGGTGACAGCAAAGAGCATGTAAATTTTGGTGGTAAGGAGGATCATTTTAGGGTATCAGGCTTGCTCGAAGCTGATTGCAAATACACCCAATTCAAGATGCCCTGAGCAGTGGTAGTTGCATACAATCGCTACCTAAGTCCCAGAAAGATCATACCACCATATGTGTGTGATGCTTGTTTATGACATATTTGTTTCCTACAGCACGTAGCTCCAACTCTAATGATGTCAGAACCCGTTTCGAATCCCACGCTTTGAATTCTCCTTCAGCCAATCAGCCTCGGCCATGCCCGCACGCCTCGAGAGCATCCCATCATTTCCCGCCCAGAGAGTGTCAGTTCCTTCAGTTCTCAAGGCAGGTCCTCCTGTCAGTGGGATTTCTCAGGTATTGTCAGTTTACATCGCGAATTCCAATCCAACTGCAGTGCTTAGGGCGCGTAACCATTTTGCATTTTACGATTTTGACGGACAGTCCGCTTAAAACGAAGTGGGCGGTCCACCTATCGAGAACGGGGCCGTCCGACTGACTTTTTTGCAACTTCGGACTGTCCGAAGACAGTTGTGACACTTTTTTCATAATGTACAGTTTCGCGATCACTGTACAAGCATTACGCAATTCTCTCAAGCTCGCAAATGTCGTTATCGAATCATTTTTGTTTATGGGTTGTCTCTGGTTGGTCGATGTCGATTCGTGAAGTAGCCTCGTACGTTTTTGTTGGTGGACGAGGTGACTCGACAGTTTTTGCGTCGCCCTCCAATCGTGTGCAAGGACTGTCGGACAGTCCGTTTGGGATTCGGACCGTCCACGGTTCAGATTTCGGACCGTTGAAGTGGGAAAAAGTGTCACTACAGTCCGTTTTGTTGGCGATGTCGCCAACACCTCAGCGAACATGATTACGACATTGTGCGAAGCTTGTTACCGTTTCGTCACCCGGACGGTCCACGGTTCGAACCGTCGGGTGCAAAATGGTTACGCGCCCTTAGAGAGGTTGCCGTATGACTCTCTTGAGACTGGCGAAGAAACGCATAATAGACAGAGAGTCAGCATGAGAAGCAATTAGGAGGTCCGTACACAGAGAATTGCTGCTTGACTGAAATGCTTTACCGTGTTTCCTTCCTAGTTGACTATGTATGCGGAGCACCTCAGGATCGCCGAAGCTTGGAAGTTTAACACGAGTTCTAGAACTGTATTTCGAGTTGTTATTCCTCTCATACACCCAGCTCCTTAGAAAACGTAGCAATGACCAAGGAATGCAGTAAAGAGCAGCTGCTTCGGGCTTTAGAAGACCCCAGCCCGACCGCCTTTCTCGAGTTGACGCTTCGCCACGTGTCGAAGCAGGATCCGTTGAACTTAAGCCACGTGGTATCAGGTTTCAATAGAAGCACCACTCCCCGCCTGTGCTCCGCTCTGCTCCACCTCACGACGCGCACGCTCGATAAGGTGCTTCAGCTGATCGCAGTACGCGACACGACTGCGTCGCAACACACGACTCCAAGCACCGCCAACGCCTCAACCGCTGCCTCCGCTAACGTTCCCGCGCATGCCTCTGCTAATGTCTCCGCACATGCTTCCGCTAACGGCTCCGCTAACGTTTCCGCCAACGTCTCCGGGACAGCAGCAGCAGTGGCTTCAGCCGCGGGAGCTGCGGCAGCAGCAGCAGGAACAGTAGCAGGAGAAGCAGCAGCAGCGGGATCAGTTTCAGGAGCATCCTCGCAATCCGAATCAGAGGACGAAGCCCGCGCAGTTCTCCGGGGAATTCTCACAATAACGCGTCTTCTCTTATCGGAGTCGTTTTCAGGATCCGGGAGCGCGGTTACCCCGCCAGCTGACCTGCTGACCGTCTGCCAGTCGATACACAACGTTCTTATCGACTTGAGTGGTTTTGACCCAGTAGCACAGGAAGCAGCAGCTCGCGTGTTCGAATCCTGGTGGCAGTCGGATTTGAGAGGCAAGGACACCCTCATCGCACAGACGCTTCCGTATCTCCTCGCGAGATCGCTTGAGCTCTCTCGACCAGTGGACGTGCGACGCGTGTACGCCATGCGCGACGCGTTTTCGCAGCTTGAGTTCAGCCACGCGGAGAGCATAGCCGGGACTCGCGGGCTGCTACTTAGGTGTCTCTTCGCGCCGGTGTATTTGAAGACCACAGAAGGTCGGCGCTTCCTCTCCTTCTTTTTGCTTCTAGACCTCCAGCTCCTTAAAGAGTCCATACTCATTATAAGGAATCAGATTCCATCGGGAAGGAAGTCGCTGCTAGAAGCTTACGGCGAGGTATTTTTCCGAACCTGGCGATCTGCCGAGCCTGGCCCGAGCCTGTTGGAAATCGAGTACGGCTTTCTGCAGGGGCTGATCGAAGCTGCAGTCTTCGCTCGGACACCCGAGCTGGGAGCGGCGGTTCGGCGAGTGGTGGGCGGATTCTCCAATCAGATGCTGCAACGTGGCGTGGACGAGCTGCTTCTGCGCGTATCAGAGCCGATCATATTCCGAAGCCTACAGGTGTGTTGCTGCGGATGCCACGTGAGAAATATGGGTGCCGTGTAGATGCACCGTGCTGCGCTTGAAATACCTTTTGCGGATGCCACGTGAGAAATATGGGTGCCGTGTAGATGCACCGTGCTGCGCTTGAAATACCTTTCTACACATGCGTTTCTCTTCATCTTTCCCCTATCCTCCCCGCTTTTCCCCCCTGTGCTTCCCGCGTCCTGACATTTCAGGCCGCCAATCCAGCTGTCCGCCGCAACGCCCTTCTCCTATTGGCCGAGCTCTTCCCCCTCCGCGACCCGGCTCAAGGACGAGAGGCGAACGAGTCGCTCCTTAATCGGCAGCTATCGCTCCTCTTTGATCGCCTCTTAATGGATCCCTGTCCCGCGGTTCGAGCCTCCGCTGCTGAGGTGGCAGGGCGTGTGCTTTGCGTCTTCTGGGAGGTTATCCCGTCGAGCGTCGCCACGTCAGCGTTGACGCGGATGGTTGACGAGCTGGCTGCTGACGTGGCCAGTCCCCTGGTGCGGATGGCAGCAGTGCGGGCGGTGGGACACCTGTTACAGGGTAACCCGGTTTGCCATGAGCTGTTACGGGGGATGCTGCCGCGAATGGCTGCGGGATTGAGGGACAGGTCGCGTGGGGTGAGAGTGGCAGTGGCGGAATTGCTTATAACGGTGGCTAGTAACACCAGCATAAGACTAAAAGAGGTTATTTCATCGGGCCAGCTCATACAGGCTCTGGAGGAGCCCAACGATCCAATAGTATCGCGCCACGTCACCCGCGTCCTCCTGCCGACTTACCTGCCGACCCACCTGCCCCCTGTTGCTGCTGCCGGCCGTTTTATCACCCTGATGCAGCGGTCTCTCCCTGCTGCTGCTGCATTTGCGCGCTGCAGCTTCCAGGAAGGTGCGGGACTCGAAGCTGTGATTGAAGCCGTGAGGGCTGTTGTAGACTTGTTGGTGATTGTAACGGATGGAGGGGAGGGAGGCGAGGGGAGAGGGGAGGTGAGAGGGGAGGGAAGAGGGGAGGAGAAAAAGGAGGGGAGAGGGGGCGGTGGTAAAGGGTGCAAGAGGAAGGGAAAGAGGAGGCGAGGGAGAGCGGGAGAGGGAGAGGAGGGGGCAGATGGAACGGTGACATGTGGGGAAGGAGGGAAGGTTAGAGGTGGGGAGGCTGCTTCTGGGGAGGGTGGATCTAAGGACGAGAAGGAGTGTAGTAAGGAGGAGGAGAAGGACCGAGAGGTGATGTATCGTGTGGTGTTGGGGTTTGTTCAGGGAGTAATGGTGGAGGGGGGAGGAGGAGGAGGTGGAGGAGGAAAAGGAAGCGGATGCAAGGCCGGAAACAGGGGTGAATGTGAAAGCTCAGATGCAGCTGCAGCTATGGCTGATACTCTGGATGCTCCTGCTCTCAAACGGTTGCTTCTCTCGGCACGCAGTGCAAGTCAACGGGCAGCGGTGCTGCGAATCGCAGCCCTGCTGCCGCCCGTGTCAGTGGAGGAGCTTGCTGACGTGTGCCGGGAGGGGCTTCTGAGTGTGGGGCGGCAGAGAGAAGAGGGGAACCATGAGGGAATCAATAAAGCGCTTGCGGAAATCTCTGATAATCTCGCTGGTGTGAGGATGGGTGAGGTGATGGAGTGGATGGAAGGGAGGAGGGAGGAGAGGCGGGAGGTGGAGGGTGTGGTGGTGCTGACACGCGCGTGGGGCGGGTTGGGTCAGCTGGTAGACGCGTTAGAGGTGTCTCTTGCTGCGGGTGTTGAGAGGGAGGTGGAGAGGAGAGAGCGGAGGGGGAACGGAAAGGAGGGGAAGGGAGGGGGGTCGGATACGATAGAGGAAGGAGAGGGAAGGGGCGGTGAGGAAAAGGAGGAGGAGGAAGAGAAGGAGGTGGAAGAGATATTACTTTCGGATGATGAAGATGAGGAGGGTGGGGAGGAAGGCGAGGAGGGAGAGGGGGGGGAAGAGGAGGAGCTCACGGGGGCAAGAGAGGAGGCAGAGGTAGAAGAGGTAGAAGAGTTGGTGAAGGAAGAGGAGGTGGAGGAAGTGGAAGTGGAAGTGGAGGAGTTTGAGGATGGGGAGACGAGAAAGGAGGAGGGAGAGGAGAAGGTGATGGTTGGGGAGGAAGCTTTGCGGCGAGGAAACAGGCGTGTGACTCGGAGCATGGGAGGAGGCAAGGAAGCTTCCAGGCAATCAACTGAAAGCCCGTCAGTTGCAAAGGATGGCACGGGGAAGAGGGGGCTATTGGAGGGAGGGGGAGGGAAGGGAAAGCTAGGGAAGAGGCAGCAAGAAAAGATAGGGCGAGGAAACAAGGTTCCTGGAAGGAAGAGAGGTGCTGCTGGTGTGAGAGAGGTCTATAACGAGGATGCAGCAGAGGGAAGTGATTCGGACCAATCAGAGCTTGCCAGCGAGGCAGCAGCCACTGTGATGCCTCCTTGTGTGGTGGCCTACCGCCTGGAGATTCTCCTGGGCCAATCAGAAGCGAGAGCTGAGTTACTGCGCATGCCCGGGGTGCCTGGGCGGCTGCTGGGCCTGCTGAGGACAGCTGTCGACGCGCAACTGGCCGGGATGAGCGATGTGGCGAATGCTACTCCTGCTGCTGGCCCTGTTTCGGATGGTTGTACTAGGACGGACTCAGATGCTGCTGTGAAGGATGATCGTGCTGCTGATGAGCATGATTTGGAGGTTAAGGAAGCAGAGTGGGTTCAAGGAGCGGCTCTGCGTGTGTATGTGAAGTTGCTGGTGCTGATGTGGAGTGAGAGGCAGCAGGAGGAGGAGGAGCTGGGACGGAGGGCGCAGAAGCAAGGACGGCAGGCGGACGACAAGGGGTGCTCCAGCCTGGTACGTGCTTTCCTTCCCTGCCTCCTCCACTTATTCTTGAGTCTGCCTTTGAGTTTCTTCGGACGCACGGGGCTCAGAAGCAAGAAAAGCAAGTAGGCGATGAGGTGTGCCCTAGTGTGGTACATGGTTCACTGCCTTGTCTCCCCGTCCCTCCTGTCACCTCTAGCATATCCCCTCATGCTTCCTGCCATCTCCCTTCTGTCTCTATTGCCTTTCAACCCCGCTTCTTCTCCCCCCCCCCCACCTTCCTTCCCTTCTTCCCCTTTTTGCTCTCCCTGCATCACAGAGCGAGCTGTCAGATGATCTTCTCGAACTGATCTCAACCGTCCATGCAAAGCTGGCCCTGATCTCACAAGCACACCAAACTCCCAGCGAATCTCGACCGTCCAAGGCAAGCAGAGCTGCCATCTGGGCCGTCGCTCCTTCCTTCCTGTCCACCCTCACTGCTGTCCTCGCAGCTTCCTACACTTCTCTCCTCCTCCCTATGTTGAAGTGTAAAAGGGAGGCAGAGAGAGGAGAACCGCAAGCACTGGTGCTTGGATGCTGTGGTTTAGCGCTTGCGCTGCTGAGGAGGCAGGCTGAGAGTGTGAGGGAGGGAGGGGAGGTGGCAGGAAAGGAGGGAAGGGACGCGGCTGGGAGGCAGGGTGGTGCAATGGTGTGGATTGCGCTGCTGTCAGCTGTTGCTTGCTGTAAGAGGGTTCTGACTGCCGCTGGCCCTGCTGCTGGTGTTGCTGCCGCCACTGGTACTGGCCAACAAGAGGGGAATGGGGAGGAGGTCCGGTGTCTGCAAGGAGAGGTGGATGCTGCTAGTGCCTTGTTGAAGGGCTGTTTGGGGGGGATTGAAGCGGAGGGGGGAGCTGGGGATGGAGAATGCAAGAACGAAGGGGGTTGTGGGGCGAGGAATGCGGTTGGAGGTAAAGACAATGAAGCAGGAGATGTGGAGGAAGGGGATGCAGGGGACGCAAGTGGGGAGGAGGGTGCAGGTGTGGCCGATGGGTTGAAAGGAGGATGTGAAGGAAGGGGGAAAGGGGGATTAGCAAAGCATGGGCCAGGGGTTGATAAAAGGAAAGCGGGACGGATGGTTTTGAAGGAAGTGGCAGCCCGGGAAAACGAGGGGAGGATAGATCCTGCATTGTGGAAGATAGCTCAGAAGGTGCTGGGGTGAGTTAGAATGAGCACTTGTTTGTTAACAAATGCATATATCAAACACTGTTTGATCAAATTAATGAAGCTGGCGTAATATATCGTAAATATTCCGCCATAATGGAAAGAGTGAAGTCCCAAAAGGTAACTGACAATGCTCTCCTGTGGCTGGCAATTTTTCCATTCCATATGCTCTCTAGAGATGAAAGTTTTCCATAGGGATATCATAACAATGGAATGTGTGTAACAAAACTACATTGGCACTTCTCGTGTCGTTGACGCCTTTCTTGAGTAGCTTCCACTGCGAGTTTCGTGAGGGCACGCGACAGGCCTTGCGCGAACTTGTGATATCGCGAAATCTCAGCCGCCCATTCATTCCAGATTCATCCACCTTGAAAACATCACGTTTCGAAATTTCGAATTTTGAACACTCGCGCAACGCACTGCAGTGGCGCACGGAATTCTGCAGGGGCGAGCAGAAGAAGTGGGGAAAATAAATCGGTATCGAGGATATTTAGCGGTGTTTTCCATGGTACCCTCAGCTTCCATTGATGGTGTCTGCTGACAATGGCGATGGTGATCATGGTGGTAGGATATGGTAGGCAACGGATGGAACCAGAAGGTCGGGGCCAGGGATCACCATCGGGATTGCCGTTCAGCCATTCATCAACTCTCCAACACCTCCTCTGCTTACCGCTCAGACCAGTATTGTAGACACTCTGTCGAAGGACGTCTTTGATTAACGACTTTACGGGATCTTATACTACTGTTCTCCTCCAACACTGTTTACGAGATTCTAGATTATCATAATTCTTGAAGCATTGCGACGAATACTGAGCTGAAGAGTGGAAGCGGCTTCTGTCACCTTTAGCAGCGAGGATTAGTCCATTCGCGATTCTAAGAATTTGTTAGTCGACGATACTGGCTGACTTATAGCGCGTATGCCGATCTGCTTATAACGGTTATGGAAGACCTCGCCTTGGACGAGAGTAGGAACATCTTGTTTCTCATTGACGTCAACCCGCTTCTGGTGACGCCAGCGAAAGCCGTTTCGATTCAAGCCAGTATCTTAAAGTGTCTCCTCGCCTTCCATTCCTCCTCTCCTCCTCTGCGATGGGGTTACCACCTGTTTGACTCCAGCGTCAGCCCGTTACGATCAGAAAACAAGATTAAGAGGCTTCTTAAGAGGAGCGCCAGCTCGTATGGCGCAGCGTGTGAGGGTACGGAGAGTAACCGCAGCCGAGCCGCTAAGGACAGCGCGCATCGGCCGGTCTTCCTTCCCGTTAGAGAGCAGGATTTTTGCCGCTTGGCACGTGAACTGCAGACGCTGGCACACGCCGCGCGCAGCGATACCGCCGTAGCCGACAGCACTCGCGGTTCCGGTCAACATACTCTGTTGTTAACTGCAACTGCAGGAGCATGTAAAACAGAAGCAGAACCTCAAACTACGGCTCGTCTGTACAAGGAGAACGGCGGGGTTTCTGGTAACCAGGCTAATCCTGGATCTACATTTCCGGGTGACAATATGGGGAACATCTGGCGGACTCTATCCGATTTAGTGCAAGTTCGGTACACGTGGAGCCACTATAACGCTCGAAGCCCTCCCAGGACCACTCCCGCTATAGTTACTGCTGGTAGGGGGGGACAGCATAAGCGAACGGGTACAGCATCTGACGATGATAACGGTGAATATCTTAAAGGGGAAGACCGTTTGGGTTTGGACTCCAAGTGTGCGAATCACGTGGTCTTGTTTAGCAACATCTGGGAGAACTCGGCTGTAGCAGCGCAAGCTGCGGGTGCGGCTGAGGCGGCTGTAGCCGAGGGGCCGGCGGGACGCGGAGGAGAGTGGGCGGGTGCCGGCGGAGTGGCGAAAGTACAGGCGATGTTCGCACCACTGGGAATTCAAGTCTCGTGGGTTGACGTTGGCGCTACGGAACGGGTGGTGGGGCCAGCAGCAGTCGATTCGCGTGCGCAGGATCGGCGTGATAGTAACGAAGGGTGCAGATCGGCCGCACAAGGAGAGAGCGCAGCGGCAAGGGAAGCGAAGAACGCGGCGTTGAACGCGGGCTGGTCGCTCTTGAGATTAAAGCCGTATAGTTCAGCAGGAGGAGCAGACTGTCACTTAATATCCGCCGTATGGGAGGGAGTAGCAGGGAAAACGGAACCCTTAGCTGCTTGTCGGATGTTGCTGCCTTGCAAAACGGCCGCATTGGTAGGACGCAGTAATCCCGAGGTTAATGGTGGGGTTAAGGTTCTGGGTGGATTGGGTGGAGGGCAGGAGACTCTGCCTTCAAACACCCAGGTGCAATGCTTTTTGCGAGCGTACACCGTAGCTGCTGCGTCAGGCGTGGTAAAAGCCTCTTGCAATGCTTATAACGAGTACGAAGGCGAATACGACGGTGCGGAGGGTACAGTCTCAAGAGCCAGTAGGATTCTTTCCGGCAACGTGGAGCTGACTCTGCTAGACATCCAACAGAGGGTAGAGGGTCCGCGGACAGAAGCAGCTGAGGCGCTTGCAGAGTGGAGCGCTGGGGCTGGAGGGGCGGAGGGGATTGGTACGAGGGGTTCTGATAGGGCAGGAGCTGCTCAGGACGAGCCGTTTCTCCAGTACGTGCTTCTGGAAAAGAAGCCCGCGGTGACAGGCGGTGGTTTGGCAAAGGAGCCGCAAGGGGAGCTGTTTGGGGTTCTTCTGAGGTTTTTGGAGGGGGAGGGGCTGGAGGCGCATGTTTACGTGAAGAGCAAGCGGGTGTCGTGCGCGGGGATCATTGCGCCGTTCGCTGGCCATGCGGCCGTGTTGAGGATCCGCGATTGCCCGACTTTGCTGGGTCGCCAGCGGCGTAAGCCTGAGAAGCCGCTGAGGAAGCCAGAAGGGGCTAGGCAGAATCGCAGCCGGGGTTTCCCGGTGTCTGGCCGAGGCTGTGCGAAGCGGAGGCTCCAGGAACGGCATCAACAGGGTTACCAGCAGGAGGGTTACCAACAGGCGAAGATTCCCCGTAGTGGTGCTGGCGAGAAGAAGGGAAGGGCGGATGGGGAAGGTGGGAGTGGGAGAAAGACTGGTGTAGAGAGGGTGCGGCATAGACTGCGGAAGGGGGAGGAGGAGGATGATAAGGAGGTGGTGAGTGGCTGTGGAGGCGTGTGGAAAAGGGAGGAGGGAGAAAAACGACGTTCTCTGGAAGAAAGAAAGCGGTCAAGAGCGGAGGGATGCCGAGAGAGGAATGATAAGAAGGGTGGGAGGGTTGAGAGGGCTGAGAGGGAAGCTTATGGGACAGGCGGAAGGGAGTCTGAGTGGGAGGTTGGATTGCAGTTAGTAGTGTTTTCAGAAGCAGACAGGCAGGATACGTGGGGGGAGGCAGAGGGACGGTACGGGGGGGTTGAAGGGGGAGCGGGCGGGATGGAGGGGGACGCGGAGGAGGATGAGGGGTCGACGGGGGAGTGTGAGGGGGAAGGGGAGAACGAGACGGATTTCGTTATAGGAACACAGGCGTCGCAGGTTGCAGGGGAGGGGGATGGGCGGCAAGCCGTGGCAGGGGCGGTGTGGGAACGGAGTAACGGACAGGAGAGGGTGAGCGTGCATGAATGGGAGGGTTCTGAATGGGGCTTAGGGGCCAGTTTTGGCCAGAAGCGGCTGGGAAAGGCAGAAAGGGGACAAGGATTTGAGAGGGAAAGAGCGGCTGAAGGGGGTGGGAGTGTTGATATCTGCGAGAATGGCAGCACAGGTTACAATAACGATGCTGCTTGTAACGAGAAAACGGAAGGCTCGTGCAGGAGAGTCGCGTTGGGTGATGACGTGGCATGGGATGAAGCGAGGGAGTATGAGGAAGCTGAGCTGGAGTTCCTGCTGAGTCAGCAAGAGAGTCAGCCAGGTGGCGGGGAGACTGGGAGAACGGCATGTGGGGACCAGCTGACGTGTCATGAGGTGGCGCGAGCAGCAGAGGGTGGGGACCACATGACGCGGCTTACAGCCATGCTGACTCATACCTGGGCGGCAGCGAGGGGGGGACAGTGGAAGGTGCAGGGGGCCACGGCTGGAAGGACAGGAAGAGGGTTAAGAATGGATAAGATTAGAGCAGATGAGGAGAAAACAGAGCAGACTCAGGAGCAGGAGCAGGGCAGGGAAAAGGGAAGAAGAAGGGCGGTGGGGGAAGGACAAGGGGTAGTCAGAGCACAGGAGCGAGCACCAGGTGAAGAAGGGTTGCAGATGGTGCTGTGGGGTGGAGCAGGAAGGGACGGGGGAGGGGCTAGTGGGGAGGTTGGGAAGACGGAGGGTTCTGGCCGTGTTGATTTGAGCGTGGGTGTGTCTGGTGGGAAGAGTGCAGCGGAGGGCAAGGGTGATCGGGAGGGCGTGGGGGAGCGGATGGGAGAGCGCTTGGGGGAGGGTTTGCCAAAGGAACGGGACTCCACCGTGGATTTTAGACCCATCGAGCGAGCTGACAGGCTGGCAGAACGCGTGGCTGACGTGCTGCATGACGTGGCAGCGGATCTGTACAGTGCTGCCGTGGGATTGGTGCGGGAGGCGCGACGGTTGTTTCGAGAGGAGGCGGCAGGGAAGGGGAGCGGGGGAGAGGGGATCGAATCAGTTTCTGGGAGACAGATGGACGAAAGGGGGATAGAGACGCAGATGGAAGAGGGGGAAACTGGGCGAAGGATCGATGAGGAGGAAGTGGAAAAGCGGGTGCACGAGGCTCTTCTGTTGGGCAAGGCGGATTTGCAGCGGCAGTTCCCGTTGGGTTGCTGTGCTGACACACATGAGATCTCGAGACCAGGGGAGCCGGGGCCGCCCACACTGGGGGATCGAGTGCGATGGTGAGTGCACATTGGGTTGAGTGGAGCTTGGGTTGAGTCGAGGTGGTGGTGAGTCCAGTTAAGGGTATCTCTGTGCACAAGGCACCACCAGGTTCCCAGTGGGCCGCTGTGCTGATACACATGAGATCTCGAGACCAGGGGAGCCGGGGCCGCCCACATTGGGAGATCGAGTCTGATGGTAAGTGAGGGTGGTGGTGGTTGGAGTTGAGGTGGTGGTGGGTGCAGTTTGGGGTAAGTCTGTACACCAAGCATCAGGTTTCCGTTGGGTCGCTGTGCTGACACGCATGAGATCTCGAGAGCAGGAGATACAGGGCCGCCCACACTGGGAGATCGAGTCCGATGGTGAGTGGACTGGTGGTGGTGAGGTGAGTCAAGATTGCAGTGAGTGGAGGTGCTGGTGACTCCAGTTTAGGGTAAACTAGTGTGCAGGGCATCAGGTTCCTGTTGGGTGTGCTGACACACATGAGATCTCGTGACGGGGGGGCCGGGGCCACCAACGCTGGGAGATAGAGAGTTCGATGGTGAGTGGACTGGTGGTGGGTGGAGTTCAGGTGGTGGTGACTTGAGCTTGTGATGAGTCCAGTTTGGAGTACGTTCATACACAAAGCATGCATCAGATTTCGAGGGCGGGGGAGCTTGGGCCTGCCCCCTGCCTCCCCGCGCCCGCTCTTGCCGTTCCCTCTTGGTTCCCCCTTCGTTTTCCTCCCATGCGCCGGCAGCTGCTCCCCTGCGGCCTCCCCTCGCACACCTGTTCGGCCCCGATTCGGATTTTGACAATTGTAAAATTGTCCCTCACCCACACACATCCACCCCCGTCTCCCCCCACGCCCTGCCCTTTTTCTCCTAACCCCTTCCCCCCACTCTCCCCTCTTATCTCTCCCTTCCCAGCCACGAGCTGCAGATCCTGCTGCGTCTGGAGCTGCTGCCCTGCGACCTCCCCTCGCACCCCCTGGTGTCCCGATTCGCCAAGCAGACCCGCACGCTGCTGGAGAGGGTGAATCTGAGCCGAGAGGGCGGCGTGTTTGGGGAGAGCCTGGAGGAGTATGTTCGGCGACTGCTGTGCTCCAGGTGAGGTTCTTCCCAGGGGAGGTTCATTCAGGTGGGTTCAATGTCACTCATATCCCGAGAGGTGCCTTCATTCGCCAAGCAGACCCGCACGCTGCTGGAGAGGGTGAATCTGAGCAAAGAGGGAGGCGTGTTTGGGGAGAGCCTGGAGGAGTATGTTCGGCGACTGCTGTGCAACAGGTGAGATTCTTCCAGGGGAGGCTCATTCAGGGGAGGCTTATCTATGTCCTCATAGATGCCTTGAAGAAGCAGACCTGCAAGTGCCCCAATTTCCTCTCGCTTCTCTTCTCCAAGCTTCGCTTCCAATGCAGCCCTTTCATTGCCCTTCCTCCACCCCCGACTTTCTGTTTTCCTCCCCTTCCATTGCCATCTCCCTTCCCCTCATATCTCGCGTGCTTAACCTCTTAGGTACCGCACCAAGTGCCCCAACTACCTCTCAGTTCTCTTCTTCAAGCTTCGCTCCCCCCTCACCGCCCCTCCTCCACCCCATGCTTTTGTTTCTGTGCCCTCCCTTTCCTAACCCTCCTCCCAGGTACCGCACCAAGTGCCCCAACTTCCTCTCTCAGTTCTCTTCTTCTCCAAGCCTCCCTTCCAAAGCAGCCCCTTCATCGCCCTTTAACCAACCCCTGCTCACGTCTATTTCCCTCTCTGTCCCTTATAACATTCCCTCTGACCCTCTCAGGTACCGCACCAAATTTCCCAACTTCCTCTCGCTCCTCTTCTCCAAGCTTCGCTTCCAAAGCAGCCCTCTCATCGCCCCTCCTCCCCCCCCGGCTGTAGCACGAGCCAACTACCACCCAGGGGCCCCAGAGCCCACTACAGCCGTCGATCCCCCAGAGGCAGGCGGGAATGCTGGCCCTCCCGAGAATGCTGCACGGGGAGGGAGTGCTGGTTCGGATGGGCATGCTGGGATGGAAGAGGGAGATAATGCTGCTGCGCACGCCACGATTGTGCGTGATCTGTCGCGTGCCTTTGATGCTGTGGCGGGGGGAAGGGAGGGACGGGAGGGGGAGGAGGAGGAGGAGCAGCAGGGGCAGGAAGAGGCTGCAGAAGGAGAGGAGGGTAAGGAGGATGGAGAGGTGGGGGAGGAGGAAGAGGGAGAGGTGGTGGGGGATGAGGAGCAAGAGGAGGGAGAGGAAGGCGAGGAAGGAGAGGAAGAGGAGGGAAATCTGGGAGTGAAGCAGAAGGAGGGAGAGGAGGAAGGAGAGGAGGAGGGAGAAGTGGGGGACGATGAGCAGGAGGAGGAGCAAGAGGAGGTGCAAGAGGAGGAAGAGGTATCATTCAATGGGGTATCGGTGCGGGTTCGATTAGGTCAGCAGACCAGTGAACGGTGCAGAAGCAGAGGTATGAGCCGGGGTGTGACTATAGCGGGCTGCCAAAGCAAGAGCCAGAGTGTGAGTATAGCAGGGTCTGGCGCCCGTGGCCCAGTGCAACAGAGAGGTGGGTTAGGTCGAGCTTACCATGTTTCTTCCGCCTTCCAGGGGGAGAGGCAGCGGCAGAAACAGGGGGAGAGGCAGAGGGGAAGACAGGGGGAGAGGCAGGGGGAAAGGCAAGGGGAGAGACAGGGGGAGGGGCAAGGGCAGAGTTGTCAGGAGAAGCCACGGCAGCAGTCACAGGGGTTTCAAAAGCCACGAAACCGCCAGCAACAGCAGCAGCAGCAGCATCAGCAGCAGCGCCTGTGGAGTGAGGCTGGCGCGGAGTCTTCTGGCAACTGCTCTGCTGGTGCAGGCATGCGCAGCAGTGCTTTTGAGGCGCCTCTGAAGTCGTCTCAGTACTCGGGAAAATGCTCTGGTGGGGGGATGAATGTGCGGGGCAGTGTGGGGGCCACTGGGCGGTGCAGTGGTAGTGTGGACAGGAGGTCGGGTAGCTGTGCCCCTGCTGCTCGGGGTTTACTGGGACCAATGGGACCATACAGCCGCCGTGTACCAGCTGATAGCGCTGCTGCTGCTGCTGCTGCTGCTGCTGCTGGTGCTGCTGGTGCTGGTGTTGGTAGTGTTGGTGCTGCTGGGAGTGCTGGTACAGGAGTGCATGTCGGGGTCCCTCGTACTGCTCCTGGTAACGCCCCTGTGGACGTGGCGAATATGACCAATCGGGCGGCGAGGATTCTGAAAGCTGCAGCAGCTGCTGCTGGTGGCGGCACTGGCTTAAAGGTTACTGGAGCAGGCGTATCTGGTGCAGGTGTATCTGGTGCAGGTGCCACTGCATTTGCAAACCTGGGAAAGAATAGGCTTGGGACCCAAGGTCAAACATCCAACTGGCTTTCTAAACCCTCCGCCCAACAACCAATGCCGCCTCCTGCTCCTCCTCCTCCTCGCTCCCATCCTCTTGCCCGTCCCTCTGCTCGGCCCGAGTCGAAAAAAAGAAAGAGTCCAGAAGGTGGGAGGGGAGGGGATGGCGGAAGGGGAGGAGGAAGGGAAGGAGGAAGAGGAGGAGGAAAAGGAGGGAGAAGGGATGGTGAAAAGAATAACGACGCGGCTGACTGTGTTACCTCCTGCTATCGGGGTCCCTTGGGGGAGTCTGGAGGGGTGGAAAAGGAGGGAGGGCGAAAGGTGCCCAGATGCAGTGGAAAGTTTGTTGGTGATGTGGGGCGGAGTAGGAGAGGGGAGGGAAAAGAGAAGGGGGATAGGAGGGAGAAGAGGAAGGGGGAGACGGGAGAGGAGCGAAGAGAGGGGTTGGAGGTTGTGGGGGATGCTGCCTGGTTGGCTAGAAGGCATGGGTTGGGGGTCGGTGGAGGGAAGGAAAAGGAGGTAGAGAAGGGGGGCCTGGGATTGAGAAGGGAAGGAGCAGCAGCAGGAGGAGGATTAGGAGGAGGAGGAGGGGGTGAAGAAGGTGGAGGAGGAAGAGAGAAGGATCCATACACTCGGAAAGTGGAGAAAACTTTAGAAAAGGCAGGTTTGAAAGCAGAGCTGAAGGATAGGAGAAGAGAAGGCGGAGAGGGCTTAGGAAAGGCCAAGGGAGTCGGTGAACGAAGTCTTTACACTGGAGAGAGGAAGGGGTTGAACCATCCGTACATGGGTGAGAAGAAGACAAACAATGTGAGCCAGTTCTCCAAGTGGCACAGCTCCCTGCCGCCCAAAACCTTCCGCCGCCCGATGCAGCAGCAGAAGCTTCCGTTTGGCCTCCCAAGAAGCACTTCTGGTGGTGGTGGTGGTGCTGCTGCTGCTGCTGCGGCTGCTGGGAAGCGTGCTGCTGGGTCTGCTGCTGATGGCGTTCTTGGGGATAGACTGAGTGGCAAGGGGGGTAGTGTGAGTAGCACTGGCGCCGCCACTGCTGCCGCCTCCGCCGCCGCAGCTGCTGCTGCTGCTACTGCAGGTGCTGCTGCTTCAGTGTCTGTGTCGGTGTCTGTTCCGGGGAGTCTTGCTCCAGATGCCTCGGCAGCTGCTTCCGTAGCTGCGCCGGCGGTTCGGGTGGGTGGGCAGGCCGACGGACCTGCAGTTCGGAAATCAGGCTCGGGCAGCGGAGGGTTCATGCTGATTGGTCGGCAGAGCAGCCTCGGCAGGCTGGTATTGACTCAAGAAAGCAGCAGGGAAGGCGGGGTTGGGGGGGACCAAGCGAATGGGTCGAATCAGGAAGGTGATGCTGATGCTGATGCTGCGGCACGAAAAACTATTGATAATGGTCAAGACGATGAAGAGAACGGAAAAACTGGTGCAGCAAGCACAGCAGCAGCCACAGTACCAGCAGTGACGGCAGCAACGGCAGCAACAGCAGCAACAGCAACGGTTACCACATCGGTAACAAGGCGATGGGACCTTGCAGGGGCGTCTGAGACCACAGGAGGTGTGGAGTGCCCAAGGGGAGATGCACTCAGTGCTAAGCCTCCTGCTGCAGACATTTTCTTAGACTCCCTGGCAGACATGCTGCTGGGGGAGAATGGTGCCGCTGCCCCAGCGCCGCTGACTGCTACTGGGTGGATCAACCGTCGTCAGCCGTCCCTTGGGACTGCTACTGGTGGTGCCGCTGCCATTGCTGCTGCGAACGCGGCGGCTTCTGCTCCTCCTGCTGCTCCTGCTAGTGCTGGTGACGCTGCCGCCGCTGCTGCTGTTCCTGAATCTGCCGCTGCTGCCGCTGATCCTTTCTTCGGGTCCCTGGCAGATATGCTGCTGGGGGGGAGTGATTCTGCTGCGCCAGAGCCGCTGACTGCTACTGGGTGGATTAACCGCCGTCAGCCGTCCCTTGGGGCTGCTAGTGATGGTGGCGCTGCCACTGCTGCTGCTGCTGCTGCTGCTGGGGATTGGGGGAGAGAGCAGCAGACACAGAAGCAGGGAGGAAGCAGAGAGGAGGCGGAAGACAAGGTAGAAGAAGAGGAAGGAGCAGCAACGGCAGCAGCAGCATCAGCATCAGCAGCAGCAGTTACAACGGGAATGCAGACGATATTGGGGGCGCCTAAAAAGGTAGAGCGGGGGGAGAAGGAGGTGGAAAAAGGGGGGACAGTAGGGGAAGGGGCTGAAACAGCAGGAGAAGCGGAAACAGCAGAATTGGCGGGAACAGCAGCAGCGGCAGCAGCAGCGGAATTGCGGATGAGCCTCAGGTGTGGACGCAAGCCCACGAAGCCTTGCAAGATTGAGCTGGGACGTCTCAAAAGGGTGGGGAAAGGGAAGGAGGTGGAAGAGGAGGAGGAAGTGAAGGAGGTAGAAGGGAAGGACGAAGGGAAGGAGATGGAAGGGAAGGAGCATTCAGGAGAAGAAGCCGAGGCGGTGGGAGCACGGATGAGTCTCAGGCGCGGACGCAAGTCTGGGAATCCTCGTAAGCTGGTCCCAGAGCGGCCTAAGGGGGTGGGGAAAGTGAAGGGGGGAGAAGTGGAACGTAGGAGGGGAGGCAAAGCCCAAGGGAAGGCGAATGAAGAATGTGAGAATGGAATAATTGGTTCCCCTCGTTGCACGCGGTCACGAGGGAGAGTAGAGGAGGCTTTTGAGGCGCCACAACAGAAGCAAGAATGTGAGAAAGGAAAGAATGGTTCCCCTCGCTGCACGCGGTCACGAGGGAGAGTAGAGGAGGAAGAGAAGGAGGAGGTGGAAGAGAAGGAAGAGGAGGTAAAGGGGGAAGAGGAGGAGCGAAGGGAGAGGAGAAGTGGCAATGGAAAGACGAGGAATTCAAATCAAGGGGCAAGAAAGAAGGGCGACGCTGCGGTTGGGGGTCCTTCCTTGCACCACACTCGATCACGAGGGGGGGTGGAGGAATGTGAGAATCCGGGCAGGGGAATGGTTACACGACAGCGGATGGTTACGAGGGCTAGTATGCAGGGCATAGCTGGAAAGCGCGGGGTGCAGATAGGAGAGAAGAAGCGAGGGCAGGGGGTGAGGCGAGGAGTGGGAAGAGGAGGGAAGGGAAGGGGGGGAAGGGTGCGAGGTGAGAGAGGGGATAAGGGGGCGGAACAGGTGGAAGGGGGAGAGGGGGAAAGTGAAGTGGAAGAGGTAGGAAAGGAGATGGAAGAGGAAAGGAAAGGACAGGAGGAGAAGAGAGAGGAGGAAGCGAAGGGAGGGGAGGAGGAGAAAGGGGAGGATGAGATGGAAGAGGAAGAGAAGAGCGAGGAGGAAGGTCAACGGGAGGTACAAGAGCAGGGAGCTGGGAACGGGAGGCACAGCGAGGAGGAAGGTCAGGGGGAGGTATGGGAGCAGGGAGCTGGGTTGAAGGGAGGTGATAGAGGGAATGATGATGGGGGGAACGATGGGGAAAAGGGCGGGGGAAACGACAGTGGGAACGATGGGGAGAATGACGGAAAGGGAGGTGAAAATGGTGGGAAGGGGACAGAGGGAGCGGAAGAGCAAGGTGGGGAAGAGGAGGGGGGGAAGGAAATGGGGAAGGAAGGGGGAACTGCGGATGGGGAGATGGAAGAAGGGCATGGGAGTGGGGAAAGGGAAGGGGAAGGGGAAGAAGGGGAGGAGATGGGAGAAGGAGAGGAAAGGGAACAGAGAGTAGAAGAGTGGGGAGGGAATGAGGGAGAGGATGCTAAGAAGGAAGAGAAGGACTTCAGGAGTGGGGAGAACGGAGAGTGTGAGAATCATGAGCAGCGGGTGGTGGGGAGAAAGGAGGAGAGGGAGAAGAAAAGGGCTGAGGAGGAAAGGGAGGAGAAAATAGAGGAGGAGAAACGAGAAGAGGACATGTGGGAGGAAATGGAGGCAAGTATAGAGGAGGGGAGGACGGAGGACGAAGAGAAAGGAAGGGATGAAGAGAAAGGAAGGGATGAAGAGAAGAAGTTAGTGGATGGAACTAATGGTGAGGGAGAGGCGGAGGCGGAGGAGGAGACGGAGGAGGATGGGGAGGCGAAGGAGAAAGAGGAGGAGGAAGAGGAGGAGGAGGAGAAGAAAGACGAGGAGAAAGATGCGGGGGAAGAGGAGAAAGAGGAGGGGGAAGAAGAGGGGGAAGAGGGGGCGAAAGAGGAGGCGAAAGAGGAGGATAGAGAGGCAGAAAACGAGAGGGAGGAAGAGGAAGATGAGAATGGGGAGGCAGCAGGGGTGAAAGAGGAAGGGGAGGAGGAAGGGACGGGGGGTGGGGATGGGTCGGAGGTTGGGGAAAGGGGCCAAGGAAAGGGAGAAGCTGCGGGTGAGGAGCAAGGAGATAAGGAAGATGAAGAGGAGGTAGAGGAAGAGAAAGGGGAGGAGGAGGAAGAGAAAGGGGAGGAGGAGGAAGAGAAAGGGGAGGAGGAAGAGAAAGGGGAAGAGGAGGAGGAGGGTGAGGAAGGGAACGAGGGTGAGCAAGAAGGTGAAGGGGAGGAGGGTGAGAAAAGGGAAGAGAGAGAGAAGGCAAGGAAAGAAGAGGTGGAAGGAGAAGAAGGGAAAAAGGGAGAGGAGGAGGTGGAGGAAGGGGAAGAGGGAGAGGAAGTGGAGGAAGGGAAAAAGGAGGGGGAGGATTTTGAGGGGGAAAAGGGACAGAAGGAAATGAAAGAAGAGGTGGAGGAAGGGGAAGAGGGAGAGGAAGTGGAGGAAGAGAAAGAGGAGGGGGAGGGTGATGAAGGGGAAAAGGGAGAGGAGGAAGGGAAAGAGGAGGTGGAGGAAGGGAAAGAGGAGGTGGAGGAAGGGAAAGAGGAGGTGGAGGAAGGGGAAGAGGAAGAGGAAGTGGAGGGAGGGAAAGAGGAGGTGAAGGAAGGGGAAGAGGGAGAGGAAGTGGAGGGAGGGAAAGAGGAGGTGGAGGGTGATGAAGGGGAAAAGGGAGAGGAGGAAGGGAAAGAGGAGGGGGAGGAAGGGAAAAAGGAGGGGGAGGAAGAGAAAGAGGAAGGGGAGGAAAGGGAGGAAGGGGAGGAGGGAGAGGAAGTGGAAGAAGGGAAAGAGGAGGTGGTGGAAGGGGAAGAGGGAGAGAAATCGGAGGGAGGGAAAGAGGAGGTGGAGGGCGAGGAAGGGGAGAAGAGAGAAGAGGAAGGGAAAGAGGAGGGTGAGGAAGTGGAAGAGGGAGAGAAGGAAGACAGAGAGGAGGTGGAAGAAGGGGAAGAGGGAGAGGAAGTGGACGGAAGGAAAGAGGAGGTGGTGGAGGGCGAGAAGAGAGAAAAGGGAGAGGAGGAAAGAAAAGATAAGGAGGAAGCGGAAGAGGGAGAGGAAGTGGAGGGTCAGGAAGAAAGGGTCCTGAACTTAGTGGATGGTATTGAGGAAGGGGAGGAGTGTGAGAGAGGGAAAGAGGCAGAGGAGGAAAGGGAAGAGGAGGTGGAGGAAAGGGAAGAGGAGGTGGAGGAAAGGGAAGAGGAGGTGGAGGAAAGGAAGGAGGAGGCGGAGGAAGGGAAAGAGGCAGAGGAGGAAAGGGAAGAGGGGATGGAGGAAAGGAAAGATAAGGAGGAAGGGGAAGAGGGAGAGGAATTGGAGGAAGAGGAAGAAAGGGTCGTGAACTTAGTGGATGGTATTGACGAAGGGGAGGAGTGTGAGAGAGGGAAAGAGGCAGAGGAGGAAAGGGAAGAGGGGGTGGAGGAAAGGAAAGAGGAGGTGGAGGAAAGGAAGGAGGAGGCGGAGGAAGGGGAAGAGGCAGAGGAGGAAAGGGAAGAGAAGGTGGAGGAAAGGAAAGAGGAGGTGGAAGAGAGAAAGGAGGAGGCAGAGGAAGGGGAGGAGGGAGAGGAGGAAAGGGAAGAGGAGGTGGAGGAAAGGAAAGATGAGGTGGAGGAAAGGAAGGAGGAGGCGGAGGAAGGAGAAGAGGGAGAGGAGGAAGGGAAAGATGTTGACGGTGAGGGTGTGGAAGAAGAGCTCCTGATTGCAATGAAGGATATCGAGCAAGGGGAGGAGAATGCGGACGAGGGAGATAACGAGGAAGAGAGAGAGGAAGAGGGTCGGGAGATAGGGCAAGGAGAGGAGGAAGCGGAAGTGAAAGCGGAAGAGGGTCACGAGGAAGAGCATGGGGAGGAGGAAGCGGAAGAGGGAGAGGAAGAAGGAGAGGAAGAGGGAGAGGAAGGAGAGGAAGAAGGAGAGGTTCAGGAGATCGAGGAGCGAATTGAGAAAGCGGGAGTTGGAGTGAGAGGGAAATTTGGAGTAAGCTTTGGGGAGAGAGAAGAGCAGCGAAATGGGGAAGGGCAAGAGGGAAGTGAGGAGGAAGAGGAGCAGGAAAGGAAGGATGAGTTGGCAAACGAGGGAGCGGAAGAGGAAGAGGAAGAGAGAGAGGGAGAGGCGAAAGAAGAAGAGGGAGGACTGGAGGAAGAAGGTGTGGTGCATCGAGCGTCAGAGAAGGAGCGAAGGGAGATGGAGCATACAGAGGATGATGAAAAGCAGCAGAAGGGGAGGGAAACTGGGAAGGAGGGGGGGGAGACTGAGGGAAGTGGAGAGAAGCAGTGGGGTGAACAGGCGGAGGGAGAAGGTGGGGAGGGGGATGAGGGTGTGGGAGGGACGGTGGGATGCAGGAAAAGAACAAGGGAAGAGGGCAACTGGGGCAGGGGAGGGGGCGTGGAAGGGGAGAGGCAGCCTGGTTGTATGGAAGCTCATGGGGTGAAAGAGCGAGGAGAAGGGCTGCATGCAGGGGCAGAAGGGTTACTGAAGGACGGATTTGCGGAAGGGAAAGGGGGAGGAGCAGGAGAAGAAGCAGGAGCAGGAGGAGGAGCAGAAATGGAGAGTGGCAGTGCAAGGTCTCCTGTTAGAGAGAAGGACGAGGGGGTTGGAGGGAGGAAGAAGAAGAAACAGAAGAGGCGAGAATCTCAGGGCAACGTAGCAACAGTTGTTGAGTCGCCTCAAGGATCGTCTCAGCACACGAAAAAGAAGACAGTGCAGAGCGGCAAAGCAGCGGGTGTTCATTCCCCTCAGGGATCGTCTCAGCACACAAAAGGGAGGGCAGTGCAGAGGAATGTAGCAGCACTTGTTGATTCCCCTCAGGGACCGTCTCAGCACATGAAAAAGAGAACAGTTCAGAGCGGCATAGCAGCGCTTTTCCTGAAAAGGTCTGGTAAGAAGCCTGTGAGTCAGTCGAGAGATGGGGGTGTGGGAGGGGAGGGTGCGGGTGTGGCGGATATGGGAGCAGGGGGTGCGGGAGTGGGGAGCGTGGGAGAGGCAGAGACAGGGAGCCTGCGGCAGGGGGTCATGCAGGAAGCAACGTGTGGGGAGGAAACAGCAACGGGAGTGAGTGGGGTGGCTTGTGCGAAGGCAGGTGGGGGGGGTGCAGGAACAAGGACGGGAGGGGGTGGTGCTGGGGGAAATGCAGATGCGAAGGCAGGAGGGGGGAGTGCAGGAACGAGGACGGGAGGGGGTGGTGCTGGGGGAAGTGCAGATGCGAAGGCAGGTGGGGGGAGTGGGGGGGCAAGGACGGGTGGAGGGAGTGGGGGAAGGAAGACAAGGGGGCGGTTGCAGGATATTCGACAGTGGTTGGGAGTGGTGGTGGATGGCGGGAAGAGGTTGGAAGAAGGGAAGGGAGAGAGAGGAGGGCTGGAGGGAAGGAATGGAGAGGGACAGAGAGGAGGGCAGGGAGGAGGGGATGGAGAGGGACAGAGGCGAGGGGATGGAGGAGGAGAGGGAGGAGAGGGAGGAGGGCATAAAAGGAAGAAAGCGTCGAAGGGGGGAGAGGAGCAGGAAGCGTTGGAGAGGGGAGGGCAGGAAGAAACCGGGAAGGGGCTTGCTTTGAGGCGCCTCATATCACAGGAGGAGTGGCGGATGGAGCCTCAGGCCGTATCATCTTCCCTCAACAGCAACAGCAGCGCCGCTGGTGCTGCTGCCTCTATCAGTAATTGTGCTCCCACCACCACCAACAACAACACCACTACCACCCCCAACAGAAACGCCAAGCATGCGTCCAGAAAAAGTGCCTCTAGAATCAAATCTGGGGCTGCTGGGACTGCGGGTGCTGCTCGGCCTCCTCCCTCCAACCTCTCCCACGAGCTCACTCCTCAGAAGCGACGAGCTGACTGCGTCTCCGCAGTAGCTCCTTCCTTCTCCGAGCACTCCTGCTCGCCTCCTCTTCACACTCCTCCTCCCCGGCCGGGGTTTGAGAAATCTAGAAAAACAGTTACTTCTTTCTCGGACCACTCCTGCTCGCCTCCTCTTCATGACCCCTCTCCCCCCTCCCACACTCGCTCCTCACCTTCCCATCGCTCCTCCCCTCCTCCTACTGACGCCAATTGCTGCACTCCTCGAAAGCGGCAAGCTACGAGTGTGCAATCCCGTTTACCTCCCTCTCCCGCTTCTTCTTCTCCCCCTGCTCCCTCTCCTCCCCCTGCTGCCCCTGCTGCCCCTGCTCCCACTCCTCCCTCTTCTCCCTCTTCCCCCCCCTGCCCCCCCTGCCCCCCCTGCCCCCCCTGCTCCTTCTGCACGTGGGAAGGCCTTGGAAACTCCTCTAAACCCCTGTGAGAAGGGTGCAGCTGAGGGATCATGTGAGAAGGAGAATGGTTCTCTAAACAAGCTTGGCCCTCTGCCTTCCCTCTTTCACAGGCGCCAGCAGTCACGTGCCATGCTGCCTGCCCCACTCGCTGCCCCTCCTACTGCCCCAAACACCGCCACTCCCGCTGCCTCTCCCATTTCCCCACCCACTGCCCCAACCTCATCTCTGGACATGAACACTGTTCCTTTCACCCATCCAGCCGTCGCACCATCCGTAACTGCCACAGCACCAGCCCCTCCTCTCGCCTTCCCTTCCGTTCCTATCACTCGCCCGCATTTTGTGCCGCAAGAGTTTACGAGCCTACACGTTTTCGCCGACCCTGCCACCGTGCCTGTCACCGTGCCTATCACCAAGCAAGCTGCCGTACCTGGTGCTGCCGAGCCTGGTCCTTGCACTCCTGGTCACAAGCTCGGGGGAGGCTCGGGGAAAGGTGGTGCGGGGAAAGAGGTGTTAAGTGGTGTGGGAGTATCCAGGGCAGGTTTACCTGGTGTGGATGTATCTGGTTCCGGTGACGCCCGGGAGTCAAGGAGTGAGGGGAGTGGGGGTGTGGGTGAAGGGGTGGCGGTGGAAAAAGGCTCGCTGGGACTGAAGCGAGTGACTGCTGCCGATCGTGAGCAGACGGGCGGTGATGCTTCAAGGATGAATGGAGCTGAGAAGACGCGGAGAGGGACGGGAGGAGGCATCAAGAACGATGTTCAGAAAGGAGAG